TTTTTTTTTTTTGAGGTACGCGGGCCTCTCACCGCTGTGGCCTCTCCTGTTGTGGAGCACAGGCTCCGGACGTGCAGGCTCAGCGGCCATGGCTCATGGGCCCAGCCACTCCACGGCATGTGGGATCCTCCCGGACCGGGGCACGATCCCGTGTCCCCTGCGTCGGCAGGCGGACTCTCAACCACTGCGCCGCCAGGGAAGCCCAATATATATATTTTTAAACTCATTCAATGAATCCATTTCTATAAAAACACATCAGAAACCCTCAACTGTTAAATTATCAAATACTGGCTTTTAGGATACCCATTCTTCAGACAATGGAGAAAACACAAATAAGCAGGAAACATTCACACACACACACACACACACACACACACACACACACAAAGAGCAAAGTGCAAGAATTCATTTCAGTCAAGAGAGACCAGGGACAGCCCATATGCCTTCAGAGAAAAGATCCAAGGTGGCACCAAATGAAGAGGGTTGCAGCCTGCAGATTTCAAATTGAAGCTGCAGTGCTGCCCACATGTCCCCACCACTGGGGGGTATAGTCAGTCCTCCACGAGCCTGCCCCCCAGCACCCACTGCCATGTCACAGGGAACAAACTTCACAGTTCTGACGTGGCAAGCTCTTCAGGTACTCCGGGGGTAGCAACCTGGGAGCCGCCGCTGTAAAGAGGAATGGGTACCACCACCATCCTCCTCACGCCCCGGTCTGTTTTCTCTTCTAAGGATCAGGATGCTCTTGTTAACGCTCCATCAACCTCACGAGTTTCTAAAGCCCAGGAAGACGAGGTCTAAAATTGGATTGAAAACAAGGTCCTGGCTGGAGTCGGTGCCCTGAGTGGCTTCTCTCCTCTGGCCTCTGGAAGACAGACGGCCAGGCCAGGCAAGCACCAGCCACCTCCTTGCCCAGCCACGACCAGGGAGACCTCCGGGACAGAACCCACATCTGACATAGCCCAGGCTGCAGTCTTCTAGGAAGCAGTCTGCGCCACGGTGAATGCGCACCCACGGCACACACGTTAGCCCTGGATGGCAAGGCTGTCCACCAGGAATGCTTTTGCAACCTTCAGAAACCAGTTCTCAGATTCCGAAGTCAGAGACAGAGTTCTCCCTTTGAGAGCTAGCAACAAAACTGAGGAACTGCTCTCAACAGCTTCCAAAGCAGAGATGGTGGGGCTGGGAGGAAGGGGCAGAGGTGAGGCCACACTGGAAGCACTTGGCCCGGCTCTCCTCCGCCAGCAGATTATTTATGCTGACCGTTCGCAGGCTACGCTCCATCATATGGACCAGCTGACTCTGAGAGAGAAAATGATAACACTAAGACGGAGTTTAAACACTTTTTACCTACAACCTTTTCTGCAAAGGTCAGACGGTATTCCTGGCTTTGAGGACCCTATGGTCTCTGTGGCAATGACTCAGCTCTGCAGTGGTAGCACAAATGCAGCCAACAGACGTGTGACTGACCAGGCGTGGCTGGGTTCCAATAAAACTTTATTTACAAAAACAGGCAGGGCCGAGTTGGCCCATGCACCACACTGGGTTAACCCCTGGTCTTCGAGGTCATAGGCTTTGGCCTCTCCCCTGGATGACAAGTCCCACCAAGGCACCAAAGACCTCAAGGGTTTCATGGAAACCTCAAGGGTTTCAGACCCCACTTGGAAAGCCAAGGCAGCACCTCTACCAAGTACAGCGAGGGCTCCTCCCACAAGCCTGAATGCGATGCTGGTTAGGGTTTCTCTTAGTCCAGGACTCAAATAACGCTGTGTGGGGCTCTCAGGTAGTAAGCACCGTGTTCCACACGCTCCTCCTTCACACACAGATCGCCGCGTCATCCTGCCACCCCTGCTCTCTAGCACGCTTCTAAGCAGCGCTTGCTTCTCCCTGCAAATGAGCTGAAAACCAAACAAGCCAACCCCACCTCTAGTGTGCTGAACATTTTAGCAGCTGACCCAAACTGGAACTCAAGCCCCCGTGCATCTTCCACTGACTCTGCCCTGAGTCAGCATCACAGCCACAGAAAGGGGCTCTTCCTTTCATCTTTTATAAAAAAGTTTTTTTTACAGAGTTATATTTTAGGCTTTTTATTTTTATTAAAGTTTTGTGTGCATATGTCTGTGTATTATGCATTCTGTCATTTTCAGCAAGGAGGAATAGTCATTTCGAGAAGTCTCTACTGTACTCCAGAAGGTCCCCAGTCTCCAAGGCCCACCTGGAGAAGACGGCTGAGTGCAGTCCAGGGGCTCTGACACTGGGAGAATCGAGAGAAAACCACATACGTAAACACGTACTGCTGACCTGTGCTCTGGCACTGGGACCTGTCACTGTGCATCTGTGTAGGCTACGGCGTCACGAGCAAACAGCAAGATCAAGTGATATCACTGGAAAGAAGACAAAACCCTCTACTGCCATGTCAATAACCTCAAGCCCCTCAGCCACGAGGCAAATGTAACGTGTTCCAGTCTTTAGCTTAGAAGCCCTTGTTTCTACAAGAAACAGTCTACTGAATCCTGAGCTTGGTGCTGTGTTTTCTTATGATTAACCCATTTTGATGTTTTATAAGTTAAACATCTAGTAAAAGACTTCCTGATGCTAAAGGAATTATAATTCATCCTTGAAACATTACAAGTGAGCCACTGCTTTTTTCCACATGGCTCCTTCTTAAAACTCTAACGTCTTCCTTGGAGATACTCAAGGTCCACCCCAAAAATTAGCAAAAATGGAATCAAAAAATTGCCAGGGGCATGCACATTTCTGTGTCGGGAAGAAAGGAGCGATCCTGAGTTGCCGAGTTAGCCTTGTGCTAATCAAAACTTGGATCAACTAACCACGTAATCAAGCTTAGATTTAATACTCTGTTAGTCCCGACTGGAGGGCACAAGAGCAACACCCTAGGTTCCAGGGATCGTGCCGGCCACCCGGAGACCACAAAACACAAGAGTAAATGAAAAATGAAATCTCTTTACTTTCAAATCATTCTGCCCATGGCTAAGAAAGACAGTAAAGACAAAACCTCCCTTTTCCCCTTGCACAAGGACTGACGTGGGTGCAAATGAGAAAAGCTATGCGGTACCCTGCTGCTCACCCACCAGCCACACCAACAGGCAAGGGCTCCACCCGGTGTCAGCCAACCTCCAGCACCTTCCCTGGGCTGGAACTCCTGCCACTGGCCAACAACTGCCACCGATGTCGGACTCACGTGTGGAGGGACTCACTGAGCTACTGTTCTTTTGCAAAAAAATGTCTTTCTCTTTGCAGTCATGCTCGAATATGAGCCTGGAGAAAGCAAAAGCATCTACACCTCAGTAAATGCAGCTCAAATCTACCCACAATACAACACAGCTCAAATCTACCAAGAGAATCCCAGTACAGAGGAGAAAGGAACTCTCTTTAAAAATCAGCTATTTACTTTACTTTTAAATAAAAGAGAAACAAATGTAAGCCCATTTAAAATCTTAAGTCCTCACGAATCAACACGGTCGCGTTTTGCTAAATGGGGCCTTAGAGCAGTGTCTGAGCCTTGGCACTGCTATCTTTGGGCTGGCTCACCCTGTCGTGGGCCTGTCCTGTGACTGTAGGATGTTTAGAAGCAGCCCTGGCCTCGACCTACTAGACCCCAGTAGACCCCAACTGCACACCCTCCTGGTCCTAACAACCAGATGGGAAATGTCCCCAGATGTTGCTAGGTGTTCCCTGTTGTCAAGATCACCCCCAGGTGAGAACTGCCACCTGACAGGACTTACGTGGTCTCTGCAAGAAAAGCGAGGCCAAGCACCAGCAGTCTCGTGTGTAGCTGTTAAAACGCTGTAAAGACCTGAGTTTTGGGCACATCACCAAAAATGTCTTCTGCAGCATCAGTCCTGTGCCAGCTCCCCCCAAGAAAGGAACCTCCAGAACCTTCTAGGAATCCCATCTTCCCACCCCTCGCAGAGCTCACGCCATCAGGGCTGCACCTCTACCTCAGAGATGACCCCTGGCTTACATCCAAGCCCATTCCCCAACCCCAACTCTTCAAGTCACTCCTCAGACCCACCGGCCTCCCCAAGGGGCCTTCCGCCACCTCTGGTGTCACGGAGAGCTCCCTGAAACGAAACCAAGCCCAGACCTGTGGCCCTGGCTCCAGGTCAGAACTCCACGGACGCCAGAGACGTCAGGCCTGGACACAACCCCCTGGGCCTGAGCTGGCGTGAAAGCAAACTCCGCCGGTGGTCAGAGTCAGGGCCCGCTCTTCACAAAGATGCAAAAAGCGCCCTCCCCGCATTGCTGGCATTAAGAAGCTGTGCAGAACAAAACCATACATCACTAATCAACTTCCTTTTACTCTGCTGTACAATGACTGCAATTACAAAACCATAAGCTATTTTTGAACTGAAAACCTGAGTATTTTTGTGGAAAAGCTGCTCCTTGTTTTCATAAAATAAAGTGCTGTGATAACCTAAAAGCTCGCTGTCTTCTCAGAACTCTGTCTTTGTCACGAGGAGGATGTAAAATGACTCCTGAACCAGAAGAAACATCCCCCACTGTCACGGGACTGTCACCAACACAGATGGGAGAGAAAAAGTAAGACCGAACGTCGATGCGTCGAGCCCCCCCCACGATTTAGAGGCTCAAAGTCAGCCTTTGACTCAGGATGGAACAGGGCCCCCCCCGAACCTGGTGGCAGATCAAACCAATGCATCCGCTTCTTAGTCTACTTCTCAGGTGGTTTCCAATTAATTTTTTATCAAAAGACCAGTTTGAGAATGAAAAATAACCTGAGAAGATCCAAGTGAAGTTCCCAAAAGCCTTGAGGAAACTACAGTACCCTCCGATCCGTCTGGGCTTCTCTGCACTCCAGTCCGACCGTCACGGCCCCGCCTCCTCCGGGCTTCCGGCATCAGCCATTCGGCCCTCAGACTCCTCCTCCTCCCGGGCCAAGAGTTCCTTAAAAACCCCAAACTCCTCAGCAGAAGAACAGGCTGTCTTGGCCAGAAACTCAGCTTCTGAAACCCTGAGGATGTCCTTGAGTAAAGGGTTGGGGACCAGCGTCTGCCCCTTCTTGTCGGGGGTCTGGTACCGGCCCAGGCGCTCCAGGAACACGTGCCTCTCCTTGGTCTTGGTCATGGAGTACTGCAGGAAGTCGGTCTTCACCACGTCCACATGTTTAATCCCCATCCTGAAATAGGCATACTGGAGACACAGCATGGTTAGGAAGCGCAGCTGCAGAAAGCTTTGTAGGCTCCTAAGGCACAGTGAACTGAACTGTCCAAAAGCACTGGGAGAGACCTGCCTCACTAGCGATGGCAGAACACTACGATCCCGACACCTGCGTGATGGCTTTCAAAGCATTTTCAAATTCATATCGAGAAAAATGCAGCAGAAAATAAAGGGCAGGAGGGAGAAATTAAGTTCTATTTTTCTTCATGGGGTAAGGAAAACTATGAGTATGGAAAAAATAGGCAAAAAATTCAGAAAACATCTAGGATTTGACCTAAGCCATCATAATTGTTACCAAAAAATTAGGACACCCTTCACAATTATGTTTCTAAGATCAACATGCAAAATAGGTTCTAAAGATAGGAAGGTTCTAGCTATTTTTAAATTAAGTATTTTAAGCAGAGGCCTCATTAGGATTCTAAGAATAGGCCTGGGTCATCCGTTATTAATGGCAGAAAAGTTGCAAAAGAGGTTTTTTTACCTGTAGTAAAGAAGTGAAGAACGAAAACCGAACTCTCTTTGGCTGGTGCAAGCAAAGAGGGTCTAGGCCTTTCACCTCATCCACTCGCCCCCGCGAGTCAGCTAACCCTGACTACACTCGAAAACTTGCTGTTACTAATCACGCCACCAGGAATTCTCACCTGGAATTTGTATTCCAGTTCACCAGGGTCCTCCCGAAGAACACAGGGGCATCTGTGCAAAATCTCGGTGACTTGCTTTACCGTGAAAAGGCACTTCTCCTTGAGAACCCCGACGATGCTCTCAATGTCCCGCTGACGCATGGTGAAAATTTCAGGGCAACAGTAAAGCACCCGCTTTAATTTCCCTGAAGAATGTAAAAAAGGGCAAGTACATAATTTTAGGATATTCCAGAAGCCCAAGTGGCCAACCACACCCAATACAAGCCAGCATTTAAAAAACAAACAAGGATGCTCTCCTCCACAGAAGGAGTGCCAGCTTCAGGCGTCGTGGAAATGGGATGGGCCAGAATGAGACATCTCCCCACTGACTCCCTCTCACTTCTCAGACTCGCCAACCCTCCCTCCTGGTATCAAGAGGCCTCTTTCTGGCCTCACAGCTGAAAGGCACCTACTTCATATTCTAGGTCTCCTCTTGCCCTTCTCACCTAGAAAAGCCTTTCACAGGGATTTACTGGAAAGCTCAGACAGTAAGATGGGATAGTAGCTTCCCCCATGTCAGGGCTTTGGGTTCATGTTTCCTTCTATGATAAAATAGCCCTTGAAATATTCACAACCAACATTCTTAAGACCTAGGAGCCTGAACTCAATGAAAGGGCGTTCCGCTATAATAGTTAATGTAATAACCACAAGAATCATGACGCACAACCAGAGACTGGTGATCTCCTGGTTAGTGGGTGACCATATATTTTATCCACACTAAGGTGCTTCTCAGTGAAAGAGTCCCTATTAGTAACTGCATTAGGATAACTGGTATAAACTGAGACTCTCCCAGGCAAATTAGGGCATATGGTCTTCCTACAGGTAACTGAGTAAAATTTAGTACCTAGAAACTTAGAACAACTTATTTAAACTGTTAATTAAAATCTTCCTAACAGGTGAGTCAGTCAGTGTCTTGATAAAACGTGTCAGGAATGAATTTCAGGAATTTAGTCTTCATCTTTGAAGCTTAAGGCCACGCTGAGCTGAGCTTGTTAATTTATTGATATAACCGCTGCATGTAAGGTGCTAAGATTAGCTTTTTAGATTATACTGCGATAGGTAATCTGTTAAGAGAAACACACACCACTATCTGTTTGTTTGTTTGTTTGTTTTGTTTTGTTTTGTTTTTTGCGGTACGCGGGCCTCTCACTGTTGTGGCCTCTCCCGAGGAGCACAGGCTCCGGACACGCAGGCTCAGCGGCTATGGCTCACGGGCCCAGCCGCTCCGCGGCATGTGGGATCCTCCCGGACCGGGGCACGAACCCGTGTCCCCTGCATCGGCAGGCGGACTCTCAACCACTGCGCCACCAGGGAAGCCCCACACCACTATCTTTTGCTCATTTTCTAGAGAAGGAGACTGTAAAGATCCTCTGAAATCTGAATTCCCAAACCTTTTCTCCCCCTCCCCCACCCGACAATATTTTACCAGCAAGAGGCAAGAATAAACAGAAGAGTGGCATTCCTCTGGTCAAAGCGGGCAGGGGTCCTAGGAGTTGCTCATGCCACCCCCCGCCCCCCAGAAGGCCCGTAAGGAGATCCAGTGAACTTCTAGGGCTCCCGGGGCACGAATCCTGTGGGGGTGGGGATGGTGGCTCTTTTTGCCTTCACTCCACCAGTGTCCCAGGAATCTGGGCAGATCTCACATTCCACAGTAAATCGAGACACCTGACTGGAATCCAAGCCTCTACAGGGAACTTTGTCTCTCTGGCTTCCCATCACACAGACACAGAGCACTAAGCCCACCCCAAGTCAGCTTGAGCATCAAAGGGCAACATACCTGCACATAAACCAACACCACGTGCCCAGCACCGTTCTAGATGCCAGAGCCCCTAGTGAACACGCCAGACACGAGCCTGGGTCGGTCACTCAGTCCCCCCTCCCTCCTGCAATGCCCTCTGCGGAGCTCATTCTGCTTCCTCACCTCCAAGCCAAATCACACATTCCTCTCAAAGGCCTTTCCCCCAGAAACCTCCCCGAATCTACCTCACCAGGCTATTCGTTCCCCATCTCTGACTCCTCAGCTCTCTATATAAAATCTACACCTTCTCATACCTTCTCCAAGCCCCAGCTTTCGCAGGTAACTGGAGCGCTTCTTCACGTGCATGACAGGCAGTTTCAGTAACTGGGGACTTTTCTTTAAGGCCACACACACAGGCTCTGGACTCAGACCCAGGAGTATTAATTCTGAAATGATATCCAGCAACTGCTGAGGGTGGGTGCCTGGCTGTATACTGAGCAGTTCGTTAACATGGACATCAGTGAAACCCATGTCCAGGAGGGAACTGACGACCTTCTCTCGCTCCACAGCCGTCCTCTGCTTCTCCAGGAGGCACTGAGTCAGCCCCGTCCTGTGCTCTGGTTCTTGCGCGTACTTCTGGGGTTCAACAGAGGGTGACTCCCCGAGGCCCCCCCCGCTGGAGACCGTTGTCAGTTTATGCAGCAAAAAAGCAGCCGTCCTCTTCTGTTCTCCAAGCCGAGTAGTCTGCCTAGCAATAAGGGACCAGGTGAGGGGGATCAGGCGGTGCCAATCCAAGACCTGTAAGACACAGCCCCCAAAGGGAATTAATTCCTCACCACTCCCACATAACAGACACCTCGGGATTTCTGAGGCAGGGTATTTAGTGCCTTGGTCCTACACAAACAGAAGTTTTTATAAGCAATCCGCAAAGTCATACCTGAACTTAAAAAGCCTACAGAGAAAGACGTTCACGTACAGAGAACAGAGAACTGCCGAAGCACAGAGATGAGCTGTTGCTGCTATAACTGAGGAGACACAGACAAGGGGGGACAGGGGAGAACTATCTCAACGCCACCAGGTAAAGTATGGGGGGGCGGGTTTCCTCCACCTTTTCAGTGCCTGGGGGGCCTGCAAATTTAACTGAAAGATTAGCAGGCAGAAAAAAACAATTTATATGCATATGGTGGCTCACAAGCGCTGGTTCCCTAAATGGCTAGAGTTGGGGGCTAACTTGAGCAAATGGGTGGTGGGCTCCTAGGCGAGCAAATGGGAGCCCAGGAAGTCTGTGATAATGTTTGTTTATGTAGATACACGTCGTTTTCCCTTTCTTTTTTCCTTCATGGCCGTAAAGCTCCCCAGGAGAAAGGATCTGTGGCGCCCTCGCTCCCAGAAAGTTCTGCTTTTAGCGTGATAAGGGCCGCCCCAAGAAGGCTTCTTTCTGTAGCTGCTAAATCTCAAATGTCTGTAACTTAAAGTAATTTCCGTGCCAACTCTGGGGGTCCAAGTTGGTACCCACACCTGAAAAATCTGGACCTCACATGAGTCTCCAGATTCACGTACTTAAATTCATTCCACAAAAGAAATCCTGGTAGCCTGCAAGCAAACTACTCCCGTTGACTTCAGAACTCTCCAGGGTTCAGGCTGGCGCGTAACGAACGAGGCCCACATCCCCAGGCACTCAACCGCCCTTCACGGCCCGTCCCAAAGCTTCCCCAGCGCCCTCGGCCGCCGCGCCCCCGCCAGCCAGGCAAGTCCACCCGCTCGCTGCTCCCGCCTCCCGCTCTCGCCCTGTCTGGGGTCCACTCGCGGGGTCGGCCCAGCGCCGGCGGGGTGAAAGTGGGATAAAGCCGCACTGACGGAGCGGAGAGCACCGCAGATCAGGGTGCGGCACCAGGTCGGCGTGCGCCGGCCTCTACGACCCGCCAGGAGCCCCTGCTCGCGGTTCCCCCTCACCTGCCGACCCAACGCAGCCATCGCGCGAACGCAACAGCAGCGCCGCTGACGCCGGAAGCAGCCGTCTCCCGGGTCCGCCGCTTCCGCCCTCCGGGTCCGCCGCTTCCGCCCTCCCCCTCGGCAGCGGGAAGGCGCGGGAAGCAGTTCCGCCCAGCCCTTGTCCGCAGGTGTCCGGTGCTGGGCCGGTTTCTGGGGCCTAGCGCCGCCCGCCGCCACCTTGGGCGCGGAGAGCGCGCCTTCTCTGCTTGGTGCCTCCGCTCCCCGGATTTCCGCTTTCTAGAGCTCTCGGCTAGCGCAACAAATGAACAGCTCCTTCCCCATACGTTCGCTTCTCATTACCTTAAAATTCCTCTTAAGCGTGGAGGTGAGAGGAAACCATAACCTCGCTCAAACCGGCCACCGCCTCGCGGTCCAGCAGTAACCTCCCCGGAGAAAGCAGGGTCTTTCCCAAGGCAGGTTCACGTTGAGGTAGAGACCGGGCGGTCTGAGTAAAAGGGAGCCGGTCCCAGATATAGTTATTTGGTGTGGAATCTGCATTCAATATGAATATTAGTGACAAGTTGAAATGGTAGTGGAGCGATCGGTTCAGGCATGCAAAATGGAGTCTGGCGGCCATGGAGGACCTGGTCTCAGCCACTCTCTGCACCGCTGAGAACGTGAGCTTTGAACTGTTCCAGACCCAGGGACACCCCCAGCCTATTCAGAACAGCACCTGACAGCGGCAACCTTCTGGTCTCAAGGTCTCCCTTTATAACCGTGCAACCATTTCAGGCCCCAACCAATCCTTATTTGACAAGCACCCTTACTTCTTGTGAGCTCCAATTATAATTCTTGATAAACACCCCCCTCACACACACACACACACATATTCTAGAGGTTTAAAGTATCCAATGGAACTCCAGAAGTCTTTACAGTTTAAAAAAAGGGGGGGTGTCCTCCCAGCTTAGAGGTCTGGTTTCCTCTTGGGATGAAATCCAGTGATGTTTCAGCCTAATTTGCATTCATTCTTAAATTTCGGACATAGGCCTGTAACAGTTCAAATATAGACACTAACCATCTTTCAAAAGGGGATAGTGGTGAAAAAGAAAAAGAAGGTGTGCTTTCTCAGCTGCCTAAATTCCACCAATTGTAAGCCCAAGCCTTAGTGTATAAGCATTTCTTCTTGTTTTATCTACTTGTTTCCGAACTGAGAAAAAGGACTCGATTCTTGCATGGATACAATTTATAGAGCTCTGGGCCAGGCACCAGACTGGATGCTAAAAATCTTTCTACAGAAGGATTATGACAAAGAAGAGGGAGGCTGTAAACTTTTCTATCTGGACTCTTTCTGCAGAGAGCACTCTCAGAGTGTCTCTGCTGCCATCAAATCAGATGAGTTTTAATTATTTTTTCTTATAGAGAAGTAACAGTTCTTGGAGACCTAGAACTTTGCATTCTCGGCCCATTGCACACCTGTCTGTAGAAACATTCTGTAACTTCTTTTGTGTTATAAGCATCATAAAAACTACATAGGAGAACATTTGTGTTTTTTTCCCCACTCTTGAAGAGTTCTTTGAACATCACGAGACTCATTTGATTCTGAAGAGTAAATGTCATTAACGTACTACACACTTTAAAAATTCACTTCTAAAAGCCCTGCCTTTACTGTCCCTGACGGATGGAGGAAGGTCCCTCGTCAGTCTCTTGAGACATCACGGAGACTCAGGCAGCACTTCCTAAAGGAAGGGGAAGGCAATATCCTGCATCCCAGTAGTTGAGAATCAAATTAACTGTCATCGGAGCCTCCGAAAATATCACGACAGTTGCATGCTTCCTAAATGAACACTAGCATACTAGAGGCAGGCTGGCCCCTGAGCACCTTCCCAAGAGCTCGGGACAGGAGCCTTGGCACCTGCGCAAAGTGATAACGTGGGAAAAAGGCATGGGTTGGGGTAGCAGGGGGCGGCGGGGGGGGGGGTCTTGGTTTCGGTTTTGTTTTCTTCCTATTTGAGCAGGGGAAAAATGAAAGGTTTCTCTCTGACACCAACCACTCCCTCCCCTCTAACACAGATGCAAAATAGAGGCTGGATTTCCTGTGCCCGAGCTAGCTGACTCTGTTTCAGAGGGGGATGGACTGGAGCCTAGAGGGGAAGGGCCTTCTGAGTGTGTGAGAGCTGCACTGGGGCCTGAACAGGGATGGGAGAGGGACAGTCGGGGCTGAAACCCCCCCCACACAGTCACGGAGGGAGCCTGGACTGGCTGGGGAGTGCTGGGAGGGTGTCGTGGGTGGACAGCGGAGCACAGACAGATGGTGGGCCGGCCCTGGTGAGCTTGTGCACAAGGAGAAGGGCAATGCCTGAAACACCACACCCTCTAGTCTCCTTAGACCAAGCAAGCTGCAGAGCCCTGGGCTCACCCATAGGAGGGACCCCCCAAACTGACCAAGGCTGAACCTCTCTCCAGCTGTGGCAAGTGGAGATGCACAAATGGAAAAATAAAGAAATGAAATACTTCCCATACCAGCACTGTAGAAGAATTCACATGGTCCAAGTCAGGGTAATTGCTTACTAACAAAGTTGCTTTAATTTGGAAAACGTTCAAGGAAATAAATTAATGAAATAGTCTGGTCATTTGGTGAATAGATTCTACACATTCCACATATCAGAGGAGCATATACCAAGTCAGGAAGCAGAAACACAGGCACATATACAAAAGTAGAAAGAGGGTTAAAAACCTTTTGTGTGCCTTTTGGAATTTCACAAATTAGAAGCCTTTTAATAGTAAAAAATAGTACAAAACTCAATTGAACACTAGAATGTTTTTTCAAGGCCATGAAAAAAATGAATTCCAAGTCTATTTTATAACCCTAAAACAATATAGTATCCCTGGCTTTTGTTCTAACATTCATCAAGCTTGCATATGAGGTTTTAGACGGTGCACTGGGCCTAATTCTTGAGAACTTTCTTCCTCTGAATGGACGGGGCCTGAATATAACATGACTTCCTGAGTGAAGGAGAGCAGCAGAGAGCTGGGTTCCCCGGCGGTTAGGGGCCTGCCCGCACACATGAAGCCCTGCGCAGCTCCGGGGCCCGAGCCACTGCACTTGGGCTCCTGCTCTCCAGCTCCAGACTGCCCGTGGACAGAACTCCGCTCTCTAAAGAAAGAAAAAGATACTGTGTCAACTGCCAACAGCAAGATTCTAAAATACTTTGCTTCTCTTTGGAGAAATTCTTAGGAGCAAAAGACATCAGGGGAACCCTTCAGAACCCAACTGGCAATGTTCTAGACTCCCTGGACCCTGCTGTGGTGCCGCGGGGATTCTACGTCCAGAGCCACAGACAATGTCTGCCCACTCTGAGCAGCGGGGACCAGACACACGGGGCTGCCGCTCCCAGCTGTGGGCCCCCAGGGTCCCCCAAACCATCGCGCTCCTCGTCTGGGCCTTATCCTCCCTTTCGGCCCGCTCAGACCACTGCCAGCTACACTTCGCAAACTCTCTGGCGCAGCCCTCAATCCCGTCTGCGGGTTCCTCCTTGTCAGAGGCTCCCGTGGGCACGCACCCACCTTCCAAAGCCCCTGGGGGTGTTCAGGGACCTCTGGAGTCTGTTTCACAGGCGACAAGCCAGCTCTGGGCCCTGACGTTCATGTCCAGGGCAGCACAGAGGAAGGAACCTCGCCCTCCCCCAAGACCCCGGAAGCAGCCTGGGAACCGCCTCAGCCCCGAGGGGCATGGGCCTCGCCTCTCACCTGGCTTGTTTAGTCGACACACCTCTTCCCAGGTGTAGTCAGCCAGGTTCACAGGCTGCGTCACCCAGGGGTCTGTCACCAGCTTCTCCAAGGTGGTGCGCTGCTCGGGGACAGGTTGTAGCAGCCCAGACATGAGGTTCATGAGATCTGGGGACAGAAAGGCGTGTGGCCAGAAGACCGACGGAGGACCCAGGCTGGGGGCAGGTGGAGTGCATTTCACAACTGCAGGTCCTGGGTCTGATGGGACAGGAGGTGGCTCTGGATCCCCACTTCTAACTAACACTCCGGGGGTTCTGGAATGTGGGGTCCCAGCTATGCTTCAGGAGGGGCTGTGGGAGATGTTTGTTGCCTCTGAAAGGAAAGCGTGGAGCTCGAGATCCCACCTTGCTCACCACACCAAGTGTGGCAGCTCCTAACCTGGGCCTGATCTGAGGGACTCTGGGGGTGCAGAGCTGTGGACACAGGGATCACGTGACAGGACGGAGGGGGGAGGTGGCCAGCAGCAGAGCCCCAGCTCAGTCCCCACAGGAAGGCAGCACGAGCTCTGAGAAGAGCCCCCAGCCTTGAGTCTGGATCTGGGTCCCATTTCCTTTTAGTGTCACCTCAGCCAGGGCCACTCCAAGCCTCACTGCCCAAGTGAGTATCCTGAGAGCCTAGTGAGAGAGCCTGCGGAGCAGCCCCCATAGGCAGAGCTGCAAGAGCCGTGGTACCACAGAATCCAGAGCGTTAGCAAAGCTCTACAGATCTTCTTCTAGGCTGCTCTGGACTGAACTGTGCACCCCCCTACCCAGATTCACAGTGTGATATTAGGAGGTGGGGCCTTTGGGAGGTGACGAGGGCTAGACGAGGTCATGAGGAGGGGCCCCCGCACCGCATCAGTGCTCTTATCAGGAGAGACACGAGAGGGCCGGCTCTCTCCCTCTCTCTGCCACGTGGGGACACAGGAAAAGGCAGCCGTCTGCAAGCCAGGAACAGGTGGGAACCAGGAACCGCATCTGCCAGCACCTTGATCTCGGGCTCTCAGCCTCCAGACTGAGAAATAAATGTCTGTGCTTTAAGCCCCCAGTCTGCGGTGTCCTGTGGGCTGAGACACAGGCTTCTAACCTAAGCAAAGAACCCAAGGCACAGACTTGATTCATGAGGACACTTACCTCCTCACTGCCTGTAACGATGAATGATTACTCTGGCACCACAGAATGTCACTATGTCACTAATGTCTGAGAGACCTCAGAACCCGTGGTCCAGCTCCCAGGAGCACCTCCAGGTATGGGCCGTGAGGGTCCCACTCCCGGCATACCGCCCGGAGGTCCTCACTGCAGACGCAAACCGCCACTCATGGCCCTGGGGGAGCCAGCTCACGGGAGCTCGAGGTGGGACAGAAACCCCCAGGATCCACATGAGCGGCCGGGGGGCCAAGTCCATCCTCTGCCCTCCCCGACAGGTGACCTTACAGTCACTGCCACGGCCATGCTCAGAGACAGCTAGTGTGTGCGCATCCTTCAGAAGAGGGCCCTATGGTCCAAAGGGAAACTCTCCTAAAAATAAAGTTGTGATGTTTCAAAGTCATATTCAAATCGTCCTTACGTTCAGATCAAAGTCCGAGAAGAACAGATTAGAGAGAGAACTGGGCTATCGGCACGGACCCGGGTGCGCTGCTCTCGCAGACGGGAAGCCTGTGCAACGCCGGCGCCCGTCCGCCCGCCACTGCGCGAGCTCACCTTCCGACACCAGGTATGGGGGGTTTATCGCGGCCTCCAAGGCCTCCTCCAGCTCGCAGAAGGGGTTCTCCTCGAAGATCAGCGTGTACAGTGCGACGCCCATCGACCACATCTCCAGCTCTGGCCCCTTGTAACTGCAGGAAGGAGAGAAAGCACTCAGGGCGCTGGGCCGGCCCCGCACGTGAGCCTGTCACCTGCACAAGTCACCCGAGAGCGGCTTCCAGGGAGACGCGCCACACTCCTCGACCACGTCCTCAGCGCCGGCACGTCCGCCCCCAGCCGGGTGCTGGCCACATGCTGCGGAGGGAGAGGAAAAGCAAAGCCCCACTCGGCAGCTGAGAGACAGTCAGGAGGTGGCATGGGGGCAGAGCAGAGTGCCTCCCCGGGGGCTTCCTGGAGGAGGTGGAGAGAAGGCCCGGGAGCGCAGGCAGAGTGCCAGGCCCGCAGGAACTCGGCTCACTAGGGGCCCTGGGGAGCCACAGGCAGCTTCAGAAAGATGTGAAGGATGCTTGAGGCGAGACTGGCACGGGTGAGCATCCTTAAGGATGAGGCAAGGCAGCGGTGCAGGACAGATAGAGGAGAGTGAGAAGGGCATGGACAGAGGGAGTGCAGGCAGCCGGCCGGCTGGAGGAGCAGGCTTCAGGGAGGCAGCTCCCTGGGGTGCTCTTTGTTATTGCCTGTGGTTACAAACACCCTCATCCCAGCCACCATTTCCTGGGCACTTGTGAGATGCTGGTGCTCTGCAAGGCATGTACACATGGTCTAACCCTCATCCTCACAGCAAACCAGCAAAATACATATCACCTTGGTTCCACGTAGAAGAGGTGAGGCCGCTGCTGGGCGGGCACGGGAGCCAGGCTGATGGCCCCCACATACCAGCCCCCATGCTGCCCACTGCGGTTGGTCCCTCGGGTCTGGAGCTCGGGCGGGGGGACAGTCTGGCCCCAAGAGACTTGGGCAGCAGCGTCTTTGCAGCAGAACGGGAATGTTGACAAGGTGGCTGAGAGGAACTGGTGAGAAGAGGGCCCAGGACGGAGCCCTCTGCCTTCCAGGGAGCCACAGAGAGCCTGGGGACATCAGGAGTCGGGAAACCAGTGGGCAGTAGGGGCGGGGGGCCGGGCCCCAGGCGAGAAGAGGGGCCAGGAGGGGAGGGGCCACAAGGACAGACCTCAGGGAAGTGAGGGGATGAGACAATGCTACAGCCAGAAAATCAGATTTGGCAGTTTTTGTTTTGTGCCATTTATGTTTTGGAAAAAGAGATTTTAAGAATTTTGGAGGCTAAAGAGAAAAATCCAATAGACTAGAAAAGGGGTCAGCAAACTTTTGCTATAAAGCGCCAAACAGCAAGTATTTCAGGCTGGGGCCACGTGGCCTCTGTCCACCAGGGCAGCACAGAAGCAGCCACAGACACTACGTGAGCCGACAGGACTGTCGTTATGAAAACAGGTGGGGGCCGGATCTGCTGCCCCTGGAGTAGAAGGACATGAAAACAAGAGCGAGGAAGCGGGGTCCCTGAGGACGGGATGTAGAACCGGGCAGTGAAGGACCCTGCGACGCTCTGGCGTCTGTCCCTCTAACCACAAGCCCTCCTGGAGAGACATGTCCTAACCACACTGCTCCAAAGTACGTGTAGGTGGTACAGGATAATACCTGTGGTCCGGATCTGACTGGATTTCATTTCACATGTGTACAGACACACTTCGTTTACATGTGGACAAGACAGAAATCCATGTATACGCAGGGGAAACACTGAGCACCGTTTCCATGCAAGCCCACGAGCACCTGAGCTACATCGGTGTCCTTTCCTCTCCCGAGTTCCCTGAGACCAGGCCCTGCCCAGGCCGGGCCCCTCCAGCTCACAGGTTTCTGGGGTGCAGAGATGTAAACGCGGCCTGCACCCCTGCTGCTCCTCTCAGCCAGCACAGGAGGCTTGGCGCACCCCGAGCTGACGCATGCTGGGCCAGTCAGTGACAGCACCTCTGGCCAGGAGTGGACCCAGCTTCAGCCTGGACCCTCTGCATTAGTACTTTTTCTGTTGCTTGATTTCTTACATGGCCAGCCCAGCAATATATTATTGGACTAGATTACTAGTTCTGTCATCAAAATAAATAAACCAACTAAAAAAAAAATCCTCTTCATTAATTTGAAGAGTCCCAAGTTTTGGGACTCTTTTTATCTTTCTCTTAACTTTTTTTTCTTTTCTTTTCTTTTTTTATTTATTTATCTTTGGCTGCATTGGGTCTTCATTGCTGCACGCGGGCTTTCTCTAGTTGCATTGAGTTGGGGCTACTCTTCATTGGGGTGCATGGGCTTCTCATTGCGGTGGCTTCACTTTTGCAGAGCACGGGCTCTAGGCACGTGAGCTTCAGTAGTTGTGGCTCGTGGGCTCTAGAGCACAGGTTCAGTAGTTGTGGCGCACATGCTTAGTTGTTCCGTGGCATGTGGGATCTTCCCAGACCAGGGCTTGAACCCGTGTGTCCCCTGCATTGGCAGGCATATTCCTAACCACTGCACCACCAGGGAAGCCCTCTCTTAACTTTTAATTATATGAAACTCCAAACATAAAAGTTGAGGAAATAATATACTGAATCTCTGTCTCCATCCCCCAGCTTCCCTGACCCACCTTACTTTTCCTGCCTGCCTGCCCGCTTATTTCCCAAACATACTTTATCACTCAACACCCTCGTCAAAGAGGCACAAACTGAAACCATTTTTCCCCCTAAAACCCCACCAACCGCAGGTCTGATGGCAGGTGTGACAACAGGCTGCAGCTCCCATGATACGTACGGGTTTCCCATGAGGACTTCGGGCGCGCAGTACTCAATTGTCCCACAGAAGGTATAGAACAGCTTGCCCCTCTCCAGGTAGGCAGCCGAGCCAAAGTCTATGAGCTTGATTGTAAAATCCTCAGCGATCACAATGTTCTCGTCCTTGATGTCCCGATGAATGATGCTCTTGGAGCGCAGGTATCCCACTGCTGACACCAGCTGAAATCAGGAGGCCACAGGGGACTTTTTAAAAGGCAATTCAAGTAGAACATGAATTTAAATTAAGGATTAAGAAGAAAAAAAGAAAAGAAAAAGAACAACAGAGTTCTCTAACTCATCACAAACTGGTGACAGGAAAAACTCTGGAGGCTGCAGATTGCACACGGCTGAGCCGTGTGGAGGAAAAGCAGCTCCAGGCAGCATACTCAGTGTGGCTGGCACACATCATGCCCACAAGGCAGCAACGCAGATCTAGGATTCTTTTCTTTAATTTCATTATTTATTACTATTATTATTTTGTGATAAGGACACCTAAGACACGGTCTACCCCCTTGGCAAATTTTAAAGTATACCATGCAGCATCGTTAGCTATAGGGACCATGCCGTACAGCAGACCTCTAGGGCTTACTCATCCTGCAAACCTGAAACTTTGTATTCTTTCACTGACACCCCCATTCCTCCCTCCCCCAGATAAATATGTGAGTTTTAAGTTCTCTGTCTGTGTGCTACCAATGAAACCTCCTCAGCAGATATAGAACGACCATTTTGGGAGGAAAGACAGACAGACCACGGCAGAAGCTACAAAGACACATGGTGGGCACCTTAATGAGTGTGGGCTGGTTGCATGGGAGGTGGCCCTATAGAAGGCCTGACTCCACCACCTTTGGTTCACAGTGAGGGACAGTGTTCTGCCCAGAGTTCACATGGCAATTCAGGAGCAGAGTTGGGGACAGAAGCCAAGTCTCCAAACTCCTACTTCAAGGCTCTGGCAGCTCCTCAAAGAGCAGCACTGAGTGTCAGCCATATGTTCCCCAACATGTGTGGAAGTCTCAACCATGCGAATTTAAAGTAACTCCCCAGGAAATGGGCTTCATTCCAACAAGCCAAGTACATTAGTCTCCTCCGTGAAAGGGTAAAGTTACTAGAATATACTGCTGTCTGCCTGCACTGCACATTTGGTGACAGAGATCAACAAAAGTAGCACCTCAGTTAAGTTTAAGTAAGATTAGTACAATTTCTGACCCCATTCATAATTTGGACACCAACTGTGCCAATCAACATAGTGCTTTCGGGACTTCCCTGGTGGTGCAATGGTTAAGAATCCGCCTGCCAATGCAGGGGACATGGGTTCGAGCCCTGGTCCGGGAAGATGCCACATGCCGCAGAGCAACTAAGCCCGTGCGCCACAGCTACTCAGCCCACGTGCCACAACTCCTGAAGCCCACGCGCCTAGTGCCCATGCTCTGCAATGAGAAGCCACCGCAATGAGAAGTCCACACACTGCAACAAAGAGCAGCCCCCGCTCGCCGCAACTAGAGGAAGCCTGCGCTCAGCAACGAAGACCCAACGCAGCCAAAAATTTTAAATAAATAAATAAATAAAAAACACAGTGATTTCACGGATGTAGTCAGTCGTTTACATCATTAGAGACAACTTTATATTTACAGATGAATATCTTGAGTCAGAAGCAATAGTTCATGGCAGACAAACTAAGCTGAATTAATTAACTTTAAATGAATGAATGTATATTTACATACACATGCATGCAAACACATACATACCTGCACATTTATATAAAGAAGCATGCACGCGCACATGTACACACATACGCAAGTGTGCAGACATACACGTGCGTGTCTATACTTATACATTCACATATATATATACATACACTTTTACATGTATATGTACATACATATACATACACACACGCACGTGTACATATCAGGCTCCAGTTGGGAAACAGAAAGCACACGTTAATCTGAACATGGAAGGCTTCATCAAGGTTTATTAACTACAAAGGGGTGAAGAACCTGAACGGGAGCAGCTGCTCTTCCTGCAGCCCCCCCGCAACATCCCAGCTGCTCAGGGGAGCAGTTCAGCAAGCAGACCCACAGATCCGGGGCGGAGAAGGAACACGCTAATACCTGGCGCTGTACACACATACGTTTATATGTAATAATATAGTTCTGTAGAGCTGTGAATCCATGTTTACATATAACAACACTTATGTATATAGACTTACAAAGGGGCTATAGATACTTCTTGCAGAAGTTAAAAAGTATTGAACGCTAGAATTACCTGTATCAGTAGCCCCAAATTAACAACGGTTAGGTAGCAGCCATTGGTAAGTGACTCCTCATGTTATGTCATACTGACGCTCTGTTTGCCATGAAGATTTCAGAAACAAATCTTTGGCATGAAGTAAAGTAGATGCGTAAATAACCTTCCGAAGTATCAAGGGGGGAGAGGTGACATTCGGGCAGAACGATGATGACCGAAACTTACAAGTAGGTGCCTCAGAAATTTAATTTCACAAATCCAGTAACTTCTGGGGGCTTATAGCTTTGAGGAAGAAATGTCAATTCATGGAAGCTGTCATTAGAAATCAAGTCAGCTCCAGGAAACGAAGAGCAAATCTGTGAATTGGTCACAGCCCCCTCCCAGGTATCTCTCCATCTTTTCCAGGGAGCTAGGAATCGTCTGGAATGGAACTACCACGATATTAAAACTAAAACAAGAATTGCGGTCTCCCCCTCCCCGCACTACCACCCAACTTCTCTCTGTCATAGGACACCTTTCCACTTCCCTGGTCACGCTTCCGTTCCAAAAACTAACGAGTGGACTAACATCAGGACACAGACAGACACAAAGGAGATCAAGACAAATACTCACTGTAAAATGAGGTTGCCAGAACCGCAACCTCTGTGGACTAATTAACTGGACAGCTACGTTTATTAAGCACTTCCTATGTGCAGGACTCGTGTGTGTGCTGCACAAGGGCCTTAGAGGCACTCTCTGATTTAATCCCAACAGCCTCATGGTGCTGGCACTAGAATGATCTCTACATACAAATGAGCAATGATTTCCCATTGGTGAACAAGGATTCAGATCAAATGCACAATCTCAAAACCCAGTCTGGGAGCTTTGCTGGTCCATTTTTGAGATTGCTTCGGATATTGTAGGGATCTAAGTAAACCTGAATCATCAACCCACGTCTGCTGTCATTCCAGGATAGTACCTGGCCTCATTCTTCCTTCCCCACCTTACTCTCTCTGCTTCATCCATAGAATTCTCTTCTCAAAATACATATCCTACTCAGTAAAATCCGAAAACCGAAGGCCAGATCCAGCTCACAGCGAGAACGGAGTGTGTATCACTGACCCCTGCAGCCCTGGGCCCAGGCAGCTAAGCCCACACTCGCCCCGGGTGGCTCTGGCCCGCTCTCACCTGTCGGAAGATGTAGCTCGCCAGGGGCTCATCGATGCTGGGATGGCGGTCGATGAATGCAAAGAGGTCCAGGCCGGAGCCGTGCTTCTCCATCACCAGCTGAAAGAACCCTTGGTTTTCAAATACATCCAGCACCTGGAGAGACACAAGCTGGGTGTGGTCCTGCCGGGGAACCTTCAAGACAACGAACTCGAGAACGGATGTGACAACAGCTCTCTACCTTGACGATGTTGGCATGCTCCACCCTGGACAGGATGGCAATCTCTAAAGTGACTTTCCCAAGTTTGGGATCCTCAATCCAACAATCCTCCAAAACCTTCTCCTTCTGAATAAACTTCACCACCACCTGCGAGGAAAACAGAGAGGAGGTGACTGCAGCCATCCCCGCCATGCCTCTAGCAGCCCGTCGAGCCTGCTGCTCTACCTTCACCCTATCCCCACCCCGACCCCCACTGAGCCCCAGGGACGTGAAAGAAGAAACCGAACAACAAGCCTCCGGCGCGAGTGCTGACTGGACCAGCCCGACCTAGAAAGTGGGCGGACGGGGGTGACGGTGGAGCCACAGGCGGAGCTGCAGAAAGACAGGTGCTCCCCAGAGCACCGCATGCCACCCCAATTTCTCAACCGAGTATTGGATGTCCTGGCTGAGAAAATGAAACAAGAGGCCTGAGAACTAGAAAAAATGAACAAAAACTGTCATTCATGTTGATCCTGAGAACTAATCAGAGAGTTCAGCAAGACAGATGGACACAAGATAAATACAGAAAAAACGGTGTTAGTCAACTAATCATAGTCAATTGGAGTGTGGAATAGAAGAAAAAGACACCGTTAGTAAAAAAAACCAACACTCTAGGTCAATGAATGACATCCCTGCTCCTCAACAAAACACCTGCTCCTAGGTGGGGGCTGGGCATGTGGTGAGCAGTGACCGCGGGCCAGGCCTGCTCTGCACTTCAGCAGGAGACCCCAAACCAGACGACAGAGAGCCCTGCCCTCACGGAGATCAGTGTCTGCCGGGAAGCAGACGATACACAAGATGCGCCGCGGGTCAGGAAAAGCGAGGGCAGCTGAACCGGGAAGTGCCGGGTGGCGGGGCCGGGGAGGGCTTCCTGAGGCAGCGGCTTCTAGAGGGGCCGGGGGAGGGCACTGCAGGCAGAGGGAAGATGGGGGAAGGTTCTGCGCGTGGTGAGCAGGCGGCACGAGGGGCAGTGACGGCACACAGGGCCAAGGCAGAAGCAGGGAGACCACTTAGGAGCTTCTGCAATATCCAATCACCCCACAATAATCTGGAGAAAAAAGGTGGTGGCTTGGGTGCCAGCACGTGCGTGGTGACAAGTAGACAAACTCTGAAGATGCTTCGAGGGGAGGGTCACCACGATTTAACAGGTCAGACGAGAGACGCAAGGGAAAGCAAGAAGATGAGGGTGGAAGCAAGGCTGATGGCCCGAGGATCCAGGTTACTGGGCACGGGAAGGATGATGGAGTCAGGCGGGGCCGGAGCGGTGCAGACGGCAGAGCTCGAGTTCGCGTGTTTGCAGGGAGCTGCCTGCTGCCCGTCCAGCTGCAGGTTCAGGGAGACAAGAAAGAAGGCGGCCTCCAGGGCCTCCACACACACCTAACATGAGCTTCAGGGGGAAGAATAACGGAACAAGAGAAGAGAATCCTCTTATGGTAAAGAAAGCTCTAAACATCTAGATTGAAGTCTTACCAAGTGTCAAGCAAGAATAAAGAACACACACACACACACAATACACACACAATACACACACAATACACACACACACATACACACACACACAGAAATACGTCCTCGTGAACTTTCTGAATTCTGAAGATTAAAAAAAAAAACAAAAACAGAAAGGATAAAAATCAAGTTGCTGGCAGCAAAATTCACTTCAAAGTAATGGTAGATGACAATAGACACCATTGTGTGTCTAAAACGTTCTGAGAGGAAAAAGGCACATCTCCACTAAAATATGAGGGAAAAAACACACCCTAATACATGTAAGGATTCCGAGTGGAACAGCCATACATCCTTCCTAGAAAAATTAGTAACAAATATATTTCAGCAAATGAAACATGAACACAGGAAAGAGAAGAAACTGGATATAAAAACACTGGAGGTTTAACAAAAGCAGGACAAGGCTTGTACACTGAAAACTATAAGACATTGTTGAGAAGTGAACACAACATTGTTAATCAACTATACTCCAATACAAAATAAAACTTTTTTTAAAATAAAGTAAATGAAATAAAATTTAAAAAACATTGTTGAAAGAAATTAAAGATCTGAGTAAATGGACAGACGTCCCATGTTTGTGGATCAGAAGAATTGATATTGTTAAGATGGAAACACCCTGCAAATTGATCTGCACTCTGTCCTGAGAACTGGACCCAAACCCTTCAAAGTATACTTTCTGATTGGCCGCTTTTACTTAATAATGTGTTGGCCTAATAACATTTAAATTGACATCCCTGTTTTCTGAAAGGCAAAATTACGCATGTGGCTTCGTTTTAAACCAAGAGAAGAACTCTGGGGCTCCTTTCTTCTTCCTTAGGTATAAAGGTCTAAAGAAACCCGCAGAGCCTTTCGGATTCCTGATCCAAACCGAGAGTGAGAAGATCTGCCCCAAATAAATTAAAGATGACAACAGAAACTGAAGAACGAGACTGCTTAGAAACACGTGACACCCAGAGCAGCACGTGTTTAAACCTCTAGAAGGTGGCCGGGTGCACTCAGACAACTCAACACTGCACAAGCTTTGATTATTAAGTAACAGCTTAAAAAACACACATTCAATCTAATAAGCTAGAAAAATAGCAAAATTAACTCGTAGAAAGTACAAGAAAAGAAATTTAAAGAAAACAAAGCAAATATTTGATTAGAAAATAGGCAATTCTTTGGCAAGTCTAGCAAAGAGAAGAGAGTGAAGACAAGGACAGCCAAGGGGACGAGACTCGCCACAGAAACCCCTGCAGACGTGACGTCACAAGTGCTGGTGACCACCGGTGTCCCCAGCTCTGCAGGCCCCACAAAACTGACAGAGAAAAAAGAAAAAACACTTACGTATGAATGTAAGTGAAAAAATCCCAAATAAAAATATTAGCAAGCCAAATTCAGCAACGCATTAAAAGAATGTTATAACACAATTGAGGAGTGAGTCTACGAATGGAAGTTGACTGTTGTTACTTATATATTAATAAAGGAAACAAAGATACAATCATCGCAATAGATGCTGAAAAGACATTTGATAGAACACAACGCTCATTCTTTAAAAAAAAATTTAGTGAACTGAAAATAAAATGAAGTATTCTCAAACAAAAGGTATCCATCAAAAAATAAAAGGAGCCATTGGAATTGACAGAGGACCACCCCAAGGTCAGGAAGCATACCTGTTACTCCACATGGCTCTGCGGCTCCTAGCCAAGGTGACAGCAGGAAGGAAAAGAGGCGATGAGATGTAAGTAATAGAGGAAAGAGACAGGACTGCCATTGCCGGCAGAGGAAGAAAATCCAAAGGATCCACTGAAAGATCACTAAAACCAACAAGACTTTGATACAGATCCTTGAGGTACCAACCCAAGCACGGAGCTTTGGTACATTCCAGAAGTGACTAGAAGCCGCCGTGGTGAAGGGGGTCCCACACTGGCCCTCCCAGGAATCGGCAGGCCGGGCCCGGGGACACCTGGGCAGTCTGCGGGGTTCGCCGGGACAGGCAGTACGGCGACCATGCCAGCTCCCCCGAATCACGAAACGCCCAGGCAACTACAAATCTAATCACAACGGGACTTGGGACGGAGGGGCGGTGGCTCTAAGGCACATTACAGGATGAGGTGTGCGGCCGGGCAGCCGGCCCCTCAGCACGCAGACCCCAGCCCTGCAGGAGCCCAGTACCTCCTTATTGGCTTCCTGGTCCACCGCCGTCCACACGAAGCCGAAGGCCCCACTGCCGATGGGGCTGAGCGTGCTGTACTTGCGGGAGTACGCGCCCTCGCAGGCCGCCAGCCCCTCCAGCTCCACAGCCTCGGGGGGCTCCTCAATCCAGGGTTTGCTTGCGAGCACCTGCGAACGCAAAGGCACGTCCGAGGGACCACACGCAACGCACTGAAGGAGCCGGGCAGCGGCAGGCCGAGCGGCGACAGCGGCACCCACGCCCTGTGCTGCTCCTCCCCGCTCTTCCCAGGCCCACGGGGTCCCCGGCCCGAGACCCACTCTCCACGGGGTATGCCAAGGGCCTCGACATGTCTGTCCAGACTGGCACACACCTGGACCCCACTGTGCACATGGAGACACACAGAATTGAAATCCCACATGTGGCTTGATACACAGAATGTCAGAAGACAGATCCTACACAGACCCTCTTCCCATCCCAGAGGACAGAGAGAGAGAGAGAGAGAGAGAGAGAGAGAGAGAGAGAGATGCTGATTGGGAGAGGCGGGCGGAAGGCAGGAGATGACTTCAGTCACCAACCTCCCCCAGGCTGGCTCCAGACAGCTCGCAGGTGGAGTGGGCGGAGCCGGGCAGGAGCAGGCGGGTCTGCTGGGCCGAGTCCAGGTGGCCGTGCAGGAGGTCCTTCACCAGCCAGCAGCAGAACAGGGTGGATGAGCCCTGGAGCTCCACCCGCTTCACTTCAAACTGCACACCTGAGGACGGAAGGGGAGACCAAACACCCCCGCTGCTGTCACCACAGCAGTGTCAAGTCCCCCAGAACGAGATAAAGCCAACAGACAGCGCCTGGGGCAGGGGCGGAGGGCACCGAGCCCGGAGAAGGGCAAAGCTGAGGCTGGCGGCCGCATCACCTCCCGCCGGCGCGGCGTCAGCAGCCCAGCATGTCTTCGGGGGCAGCCGGAGGCCAGGGGACTCAGGAGAGACCCGCCACCAGCCACCGATTTGGACGAGCCTGGAAAACCTGCCCCCAACACCCTCCACAGGAGTCTGGCTCGGGAGCCACACGTACACACACGTGCCGCCTAACTGTACACATCACCGTGCACACTGCCGTGGCACATGTGTGCGTTGACACAGCCTCCTGGGAATACAGCAAATCAAAGGTAGCTATCAGGGAGGTTTACAGGTGATTTTATTTTCTTCTTTTTGTTTATATTTTCTAATATTTCTGCAAATAACACATATTACTTATGTAACTCTTTTAAGTTTGGGAAAAAACCCTGGTAACCAACACTACGAAATCAGCAATGAGGAAACAACTGGCTGAAATATGGCACCGTTAGGAAATTAGGAAAAGAAAAAGGGACAAGTGAAGAGGTATGACGGCCACACCCCCAGAATGGAGATTCTGAGACCAGAGCAGCCTGAACCCCAACAGCACATGGAAAACCACCACCAGCCCCTCAGCCACACCTGCCTCCTGGTGTGGCACCCGGGAGCCCACCCCCTGCTGCACCGCACGGAGGGCCTGGGCCCCCGGGCTGCCCCCTCCCCGGCACACGCACCTGTAATCCTCACTTTGAAGAGGTAAACTCTAACCTCGGTTCTTTATTTAATATAACACCTCATTCCTGCCAAAACGATTCCGGGGATGAAGCCCCATCAGAGGCCAGGATCAGGAAGCCCCCCTGACCCCGCTGCACCATGCTCTCGGGGCAGCAGGGCAACGGGGGACAGGGCCCTCCCCGCCCCCCACCTGCACGTACTCAGCTGTGAGCCGTCTCGGTGGTAACAGCTCCCCGCATAGGTGCCCTCCTGGATCTCGTGCTGCAGGTCGGCGGCCCCAAGCGGCGCAGAGCCGTCTGCTCTCACAGGCGTGGAGGTGACCTGGAGGCTCAGCCTGGGTGCCTCTAACAGGGACGCATCCATGGGGCCGGCTCCCGACACAGGAGGGACGCGGTCCAGGCTCTCTCGGCCACCCAGGTCATAGTGTTCGGAGGACACCAAGCCAGTCTGCGATGGTTCTGCTCCATCCAGCCCCAGACAGCTCTCGTGGAACCGCCGGCCTTCACCCAGATTGAAGTAGGCGCCGGTCAGCAGTAACAGCTCCCGGCTGTCCAGGACTTCTGACCTCTGCCTGCGTAAACCACTCATGTCCACATCAGAGACCCCCAGCGAAGGGGAGCGGGTCCCCCCGAGCTCAGACGTAGCACAGGAACAGTTCGAAGAAGTTCGGTCTGTCCATTCGCTGAAAACGAGTTCCTTGAGGTTCCAGGAAAACGAATTCTCGCCAGCCTCCCGGGCCTCCACGGTACCGGGCAGGTCAGTGGCAAGGGTGTAGCGGGCCGAGGAGCTGCCCGAGCGGCCGCCGTGCGGGTCTGTGCCTCCCAGGTCACACAATGACGCAGGGGTGGAGGGCGGGGGCTGCTCTGTGGGGACCAGCTCGGCGCAAGAGACACCCCAAGGCCCCGCAAAGCTTGGTGCAGACAGCTGCTCCTTAATCAAGCATGTCCCCAGCCACGGCTCATCCAAAGAAAGCGTCGAGAGCAAGGGCTGCACCGTCCCCAAGGGGCTGGGGGCCGAGTCCGGGCTTCCCCGCTGAGTGCTCCACTCTCCCTCGAATCCAGGGCCGCGCACCGGGAGGCCCTGCCCTGCCAGCTGACCCGCAGCGTGCGGCCTGGCCTTGGTGGCATCAGCCCCGTGGTTTGAATCGCTGGTACCACTCGAGCCCCTCTGTCCCAGCTGTGTCTCCTGATATAGGCCACCCCTTCCAGCACCACTGGTCCCATCTGTACTCGGCACTGGTGTTTCAGAATCTCCATGTGAAGCACATGGTTTTGTGTCCACTGGGTCAGACCTGTTTCCTCCCAGAAGGTCCTGCCTGAGGCTCTCTGCTGTTGCCAGCCGCTCTTTCTCTAAGACAGTGCTCTGCTGGTCCTCTGGCGACGACCGACGGCCAGGGGCTGACGGGCATCCCCCTGGCATGTTTCGCTGGCCCTCGGGCAGTGACTGTTCCTGGGCTGGCGGGCTTCCCTCTGGGATATTTTGCTGGTCCTGGGGTGACGGCTGTTGGCCATGGGCTGGTGGGCTTCCTTCTGGGATGCTGTCCACCCTGTGGATTGTTATACGGATGACATAGTCACTGAGGAGCCACAGAAGAGTCAATAAAAAAGAGATCACAGGGGCTCCCCCTTGATTAGAGACCCACACCATGCATTTAACGCCATAAACTTATGACAGAAAAAAAAGACTTTTATAACTAAATTTAAAAATGAAGAACCAACTCACATATTCTCCAGATAAATCCACACTTAGCAATGATTTATCCAAGAATGCCACTGAGTGCCTAGGACCCTCTGCTCAAGGCTGTGGTCAGCAATCTCACTTTGCGGTGAGTGGGACCCCGACAGCCGTGCAGCCAGCCTCTTCCTGCCCGCAAGGTGGAGGTGTGGGAAGAAAGGAGAGGCATTGGACACTGCACGCGGTAAACCACAACGGCTACAAACACCATCGGATCTCACAGCTGAGAGAGGGCAGGGCACGAGGGGCAGCAGGCTGGAAGTGCCGTGCCCCCAGGGTCCTGAGAGCTGGAGCACAAAGCCCCCAGCGCACTCAGCACGGGCGGACCACTGAGGAAGAGGCCGCCACGGCCCACCTGGCAATCTGCGTCCAGACTCCCCTCTGCCGGCCCCGCCGCCAGCACCCACTCGGCCGGCGGTGCTGAGCGCCGGCCCCGTGTCAGCCCAAGGTCGGCCGCAGGCACCAAGGCCAACAGAAAGTGGCAGTGCCCGGCCTGGCTGGGGAGGCGTGTGGCGATCTGTAAATGTTACACCAGGGGCTCATAAAGAGGCGGGGAGAGGAAAGACGTCACTTAAGGATGGGCCCCACAGAGGAGGCTGCTGTGAGTGGAGTTCTCAGGGACAGCTGAGGGGGCGAGGGCCTGCAGAGACCAGGCAAGAATGACCCGTCGCCGCTACGCCACCTCTATCTACCACCACCATCTACCCGGGCCAAGAGGCCAGCCCTGGGCCCGTCTCCGGGGAGCCACACGGCCTCTGCGGTGTCAGCAGGTGAGGCGATGAGTGAAGGAAGGAGGAAGACGGTAACTGGCCTGTGAAGGATGCAGATCAAACACTTAGAACCGCGAGACCAGAAACGTCCAGCGAAGAGGAAATGCAGGAACGGCCCATCTAGTTGAAGCTCCTCGTTGCCCACCCGCGTCCCAGAAAATCAAGCCCACGCACCGCATTGAGGTTCGCTCAGCACGTGAGCCACCGCTAAGACACACCTGCCCTGACGCGGGCCAGGCACCTGGCGCCCACACCAGCGGGTGCCCCTGGGCCCAGGCCCCACCACGCGCCCCCAGGCAGCACAGAACCCTCCCTCCTCACCGTGTGTGTGTGTGTGCGTGCACACACGCACACACACAGCAAGGAGAGCCCGCAGTCACGCTGCTCCAGCCACCAAAAGTTAAATAGGAAAAGGCCAGGAAGTTGAAGCAGATGACAGGAGCCGTGTTCACAAACCATGGTGCCACCTGTGAGGTGGCGGTTCTGAGGCAGCGCGGCAGAGAAAGGTCTCCGAGACACACACACTGCGTGTCCAGGCACGTGCACACATTTAGGACAATGTGTGCATGGCAGCCTGCCTGTGCCTGTGTAACACACACTTCCATCTAAGCACATGGGGAAAGGGGTCCTGCAAGGTCACTGACGGCAGAGGTTCTCTCTGGGGGACCTGGGACAGAGTCACGGGGACTTTTACTCTTCACCATTATTCTTCTGTACTTAGAAAAACATACACATTCATGTAGTATATATTTAAAACATAATTTCAAGAAGACTAGAAAACAGCGTGTATGTGTGAGTGAATAAATCTCACACAATGGTGAACAAAAGATGCCGGAGATAAGGGAGTGCATTCGGTGAAGTTCAAGAACAGGCACCTCCGACCTGCGTCCTGACCCCAGGGCAGTGAGGGACGCCGAGTGGCGTGGGAGCAGGGCCTCCCAGGGTGAGAGGAGAAGGTCCAGAGAGGCTGGCGCATGACTATGCTATGCTTCAAAGAGACTTGTTTTAAAAAGAGAAACTTACTGAAAACAAACCAAAATGCTATGCACAACAGGACTGTGGTAACTGAGCAAGTGGATGTTCTATTTCTACTTTCTATTTCTACTTTCTACTTTCCTAAATTTTCCACATCGTACCTCATCTCCTCTAAATAGAATAACTTTGTTATTTAAAAATGCATAGCAAACAGATTCAAATTATTTTCAGAATGAGAAAGTTACGCTGGAATCAGCTCCCCGGAACCTCCCTGAACGCCTTCTTATCCATAAACTGGGGCCTGTCTCACGGAGCCCGCGGGGACCTGGCTGGGTGACACAGAAGCACTGCCATCGCGAGGGGCAGCAGCAGGTGTCACCTCCATCATTCCCAAGGACTGAACACTTCCCCAGGGTGCCTCCCCCCTGCCCCTCGCGCACCCGCCCCTCCCCCAGAGGACTTACCCCAGAGTGGGCAGCGCCGGGAGGGAGAAGGCTAGGTGGCCCCCGGCGTCCACAGGAACCTGGGCCCTGGGTGAGGCAGCCTGGCTCTCCACTGGCTTTGGGGTCTCGGTGTTCACCCTTAGATCTGGCAGCAACAGCAAAAAAAAAAAGAGTGTTTTCCATTCACTGGCTCATCCTGCTGAAATCCACCTCCTCGGCCTGTGTGACTCGTGAGCAGGGGGCAAGGGGGCCTAACCTGACCTCAGACACACCGCCAGCCCCACGTCCACAGCAGGTCTCGGATCTGACCGCCCCTCACTGCCCCACGGGCACCAGGTCCAGGCCCATAGCCTCCCTGGGCTCTCCCTGCTCCGCCCTGGGCCCCACACCTACCGACCCCGGAGTCGAACCTGCCCCTCATCTGCCGACAGCCCCCGAGGGCTCTGCTCTGACGCCGGGTAAAAACCAAAGGCCTGGCAGCCGGGCCCTGCTTCCCTCCCCAGGGCCTTGGGGCCTGGCCCTCTGGCCACCTCACCACGCCCGGCGCTGCTCACTTTCCCAGAAGGCCGCCCCTGCCTCATTCCGGCTCACAGACCCCAAGACGGCACACCCTCCCCTGCTGTGCCTTTCCTTTGAGCGCTGGTCACCTCCTACGGCTCGTGTGCCACCTGCCTCCGCCTGCCTCTGCCTACACCAGGGCCCGGGACATCACAGGTTACTGGGGTCAGAGGAGCGAGACTGTCCTTGCCACACAGCAGCCTGCATGGGGGAGGCTCTTAGAAAGTTTACTCCCGGCCCCTGGCTGACAGGCGCAGGCAGGTTGGCACCACAAACAAGAGCCCGCGTCCCCACGCACCCAGAAACACACCCACGAGTGCATCCTGGAGACAATGACGGGGACAGAGTTTCTATGACCCCACCCCCCATTTTCTACAAAGAAGATGAACTACACACACACACACACACCAGGAAGAATTTGGAAATCTGGAAAAAGAGGAAAGGGAATGCATCAGTGCTACAGAAAAAAACTTGAAAAAAAGGAGTCTTTGCAGACACAAAAACCCGGGTACAATGAAGGAAACCCCATGTTAAGAAAAGTGGTCACAGACTTCCCTGGCGGCACGGGGGTTAAGAATCTGCCTGCCAGTGCAGGTTCGATCTCTGGCCCGGGAAGATCCCACATGCCGTGAAGCCACTAAGCCCATGTGCCACAACTCCTGAGCCTGCGCTCTAGAGCCCGTGAGCCACAACTACTGAAGCCCGCATGCCTAGAGCCCATGCTCCGCAACAAGAGAAGCCACCGCAATGAGAAGCCCGCGCACCACAACGAAGAGTAGCCCCCGCCCGCCGCAACTAGAGAAAGCCTGCGCGCAGCAACGAAGACCCAACACAGTCAAAAATAAATAAATAGACAGATAAAAGAAAAGTGGTCGAAGAGAGTCAGTAGCCTAACAAAGCATCTTTTAAAACCTGGACACCGTCTGACAATAAAGGTCCACGTCCCAGTTGGATGCCACGCAGCCGCGTCCCCCTCGGTGGCCACATGAAACCCACTCACACGTCTACTCAAACACCACGTCCTCCCATGGACGCGCCCGCACGTGACAACGCCCCACAGGTGCGGAGCGGGGACGGCCCCCGAGGCAGGGCCGGGGCAGCTCCTCCTTGAACCTGCTTGGGGAAGGCGGGCGCCCCAGAGGCTGTTGGTCCCCTGCTTCCCGGAGCTCCAAAGCCAGAGCGGGAGCCGCGCGCCGCCCTCTCACACACAGCGCCTGCAACATCACGTGGGGGGGGCTTGGGCCACTTGTTGGAATCATATTAAATGTTGAAAGTACTAGAAATAAACAAATCCCGCCAGGACTGTTTACTCAGGGATTCATCTGATATGCTGCATCAATCCGGTCTTCAGCCACTTACATAAAGCTACATCACTCACACAAGACCGCCAACTAGTGGCCGGTGTTGCGGACGCAGGCATGCAGTGACTCACCTGGGGACCTCTCGCGCTAACACATCTGTGAGACCCGCACACAAGTGTCCCATCCCCTGGGAACACGGAAGGCCCACAAGAGACAGAGAAAAACATCAAACCCACACAAACAGGGTCCCCATGACGGCCATCCCATCACCCACGGAGGCCAGGGGCGGGGACTGGGTGGCCACAGGTGCACCTGGGAGGAGGCGGCGAGCTCTCACCCTCGGCTGTGTGCTGGGCATCCCTAGTGGTCTCCCCAGGCCCACTGTGGCTGCCAGCGTCCAGGCAGTTGGCCACGTCTGGCAGCAGAAAGGAACTGTCACAGGCAAGGTCCATGTAGTGGTAGAAACCAGGAATCAGGAAAGTGATGTTCTAGAAAACAAAAGGACATTTCAGAACCTGGCGAGAATCCTCACTGACCCACTGAACCATCCCCCCGTCCCGTCTGGGCAGAGGATGAAGACAGCGTCAGCAAGTCTCTGGACAAGGTTAGGAGAGACCCTGGTCAAACTCCTTCTGGCAGACCCGAAGCCCTGGACGCTCAACATGGAAATCAAAACTTGCTTCCCTTTCTCTTAGCACACCCTGACGAGACCGCGTCCACACACTCCCTGGAAGGACCTGGCGCCCCCAATGTTCCTGTGGGGAGCCCTTGTCCAAGAGTTATTCTAACTGCGTTTTCATTAACTTCAATTGAACTAAGTTTGACTTAATTTAACTAAAATTTATTTTACTTGCTTCTTAGTATTTCTATTAAAAAACAGAAAGGGACCTGTTTTGGGAGCCTCAAAAGAAGTTAAAGCTCTGGCTGGCTGGACGGGGTGCAGGGTTGGCTCCAGAAAGAGTGACAAGAGGGGACGGCTGCCTGTGGGGAACAAGGCGCTCAGTGGAAGGCTGTGGGGAACGCCGGGCCTGCACCCACGTCTAGGAGCCAGTCCAGCCAGGTGCAGGGCCTGTGGCCAGGGGCAGGGGTGTCATTCAGGTGTCAAGAGCAACACATCACGCAGCAGCCTCTCCTTCCTCCATGAGCCACCCCCCAGTCGAGTGGGGGCCCGCGCCCCCTCCTCAGAAGCCCTGGAGGACTGCTGAGGCCAGCCAAGGAAAGCCGCTCCGAGGAAGCCTGAGATGCTCGCCTGCCCTCTGAGCCCAGCCCAATCCAAGGAAAAAGGTTCTAGAAACACCTTCCTCCCACCCTGACTCACAACGGACCCCAGGATGGTCAGAGGAGGTGTGGACAAGCCCCAGCCCGTGGGTGTGGAGCGAATCCGCACAGCTGTGACACACACCCTCATCCAATAACTCAGACCCGATCTTGCTTGGGACAGGCTTTGGAGTGAGAGAGCCCCTTCCCTCTCCTGGGGGGGCACATGGCACCCAAAGGCTTTGGGGGTAGCCCAGGCGGGGTCATCAAGTATTCCCTGTGGGGTCCAGATAAATGGGCGCAGGCGGGGGAACAGGGCCGTGAGCAGAGGCCTCCCTCTCTGGGCCCGAGTTCCCGCGGGGAGAGCTGGCGAGCTGGGCTCGAGGATGCAGAAGCACAGGCCTAGGACAGGCCAAGGCCGGCTTCCCCAAGGCGGGGCGGGGGAGAAACACCTTGCCCAGGAGCTCATCCTTTCCATAACCAAACAGCATCAGAGCAAAGCTGTGGTTGATGCCGTAGATGGTCCCGCCCGGCAGGAGGGTGACGAGCCCACTGATGGTGGAAAACACCCAGATGGAGGCCGAGTAGCCCCAGTCAGGGGCCGCCTCGCCGTCTGCCGCCTCCTCGCTGCCGGGTTCAGAGTTCAGCTTTAAGCTCAGAGGGAAGGTGGTGCCATCCTTGGCTCTTCCAACAGACCTCTGAATCCTGAGATTCTGAAAGAAAGACACACCACCGAGCTGACCACAGCACCTCCTATGGCCCGAGCCTTGAGCCTTTGCTGCTTTAGATGTACATCCACCCACGCCCATTGGCGGGCGCCCCCCAAACACCTAACTCTCCACACTGCTCTTCCTTCCACTATCTCCCCGCAGCACCCCTCTCTGCCCCAGGGAACGCAGAGCCCTGACCGGGAGCTGCGGCCAGGCCGGGGGCCCCGAGCGCAGAGCACACAGGGTCCATCAAGCAAGGCGCCAGCCCTGCGGGAGCAACACCAGCAAGTTCCTCCCTGCTGTCCACCCTGGACCACTGGTGCCCCCCAGCGCCCACCTCTGTAGGCGGCCTCAGCCCCTCAGCCCCGCCCTCTGTCCTCCAGCCTGGGGGGCAGTGGCTTCCCGTAGTTGCTGACCTCTGGGCGGCTTGCCCACCCCCCCACCCTCCGCCTCCTTAGCTCCTCTGTCACCCACGCAACCAAGTCCTCGCATCACGTTTCTCTGCTCAAATACTCGGGCGTATCCGGTCTCCCAAGCCAATCTTGACGGTGCAGCCTCTAACCAGAGGCTTTCTGAGTCAGCTCCCTTCCTGGTCCCAAGACGGCAAGCTGGCCCAGGCCTCATGTCTACCCCTCACTCCATACCGCCTGCCCCCTTCTCAGGGTCCACCCGCAAGACACAAGACCTGCAGAGGCCCGAGGCCTGAATGGCGGGGAGCTCCCACTGCATCAGCACAGCACCCTGACCAGGGGCAGAACTCAAGACCCCAGGCTCCCCGTGGTAAGGGTGCAGGCCAGACCCCAGGCCCCAGGGAGCCCTGAGGAAAGAGGGGGCAGGGTGTCTGTCTCCACTTGCTGCTGGGGGTGTCAGGCGGCTCCAGTGTGGGGCTGCTGGGAGGGCGCTTGCCGTCCTGGCACACACCTCTTGTGGCCACGTGCCTGGGGTGGGCAGACGTTTGCTTACGTTCAGTTAAGCATAAGAGGCTGCCAAATAGTCCCCGAAAGTGGTCGCACCAACTGATGCTCCAGAGCTTTGGGGTCCAAGCGGTCCCACTGCTTTAGAACAGAATAAAGGACGTAAAGAGAATAAGGTACGGGGGAGAGGTTTCCAATTGAGCTGGAAAGCCTAAAAATAGCAAAGCACCACTTCAGAGGGCTCAGCTCTTAGCCTAAGGCCAGTGGGACAGCCAGGGAGTGCCTACAGGTGTCCCGAAAGAATCTGCTATTTCTTGCAGCAGCAGAGCCGACTTCAGCCCCAAATCGACCATCCGGCTGACCCTGCCGGTCACTGGGATGTGACATCAGGTGAATTCCCAGCAACGTGATTGCTTGAGTGAGGGCTGCGTGCTAGTTGGTAAACGGAGCACCTGGAACTGGGAGGACCCAGACGAAAAGAGAACCTTCAGCCTCAAAGCTCCACTGCCCCCAAAGCTGCCGACTGACCCGCCTCTATCTGACCTGCAGTCCTGCCTTGGGGGGAGACCTGCCACCTGCCAATTCCCCCTGCTCCTCTCAGCCCCCAGACCTCTCAATAAAGAGACCCCAGCAGGAGCTCCAGGGAGAGGGCCGAGGGGCAGGAGCAGTCAGTCAGGGAGCCACGGAGGCTCTGAGCCTGCGTCAAGACTGCAGAGCCCAGACACCTCTAAATGGAACCCGTCCCGTCGTGTCCATGCACGGGCCACTCCTACTCTCGGGAAGCCCGGCCTCCATCTGCAGGCCAGGGGTTTGGGTCTAAGAACTTGATGCTCATCAGATAGAGACTCCAGCGGCCACGGGGCCCCAGCCACGGCCAGGCAGCGCAGGTGGTCGGGGGTCCTACCTTGGGGATGTGCTCGCCAGGTGGAGGGAGCTGCACAGAAGGGATAAGGTCTGTGATGCGCTGCCCGACCACTTCCTCCCCAGATGTGAATCCATGCAGGTGGGCAAAGAGACCATCACAGGACGTCACGGTTCCCTTGGAGGAAAAGCCAGCATTTTAAACCCTGTAATCAAAGTTTCTTGCGCGTCAGCTTTAAACCTCACCGAACTTCTGTGTCTTCAAGTTGAAGGCAAGGCTATCGGTGCTACCTCTCCCCCACAACCCGACCCCCACAAAGCGCAGCGGCACAAAGAACGCCGTCTTCCTCCTTCTGCCGGGCGGACCGAAACACGCATCTCTCCAGGCACCCGCAGAAGCCCATACTGCAACCACACCCACGCTCGCCCCTGAGGGCCGTCTGCACCTCAGCCACCACTCGACAGATGTACGTGTTATCGCTTTATTGAAGTGCTGGAACAATCCTGTGAGTGTCAGGATTATATCCCAATTTTACAGGTGAGGGGACGGGGCCACAGGGAGACTGGGTTCCACACAGGTTGTCAGGGGGCTACCGGGGGCCAACCCCCCAGAACCCCATGTCCTCTTTCTGCCCGAAGGCCCCGGTGGGGAGGCGACACGCAGCTGAGAAACAGACTCACGTTGCTCCGGAAAGCCACCCAGGCCGAGACCCTCTCCACGGGCTCCAGCACGACCACGCAGCAGAGGCTGTGCTCCTGCTTCACCCTCTGCATCCACACGGACACCGGGATCTGCTCCCCACTGCGGCTCACGATGTCCACCTGGGGGCAGAGGGGCTCAGACCCGGCCAGAACCTGGCACGTGGGCGTTCCTGGCCGCTGCTCACCTGCCTCACGTTTTGGAAATAAACTAAAGTACAAACAAGGCTTCTGACACCTAACCTTACAGTCTCTGAGTGAATGAATGATCTATCGAAGAGTAGGTTTTTTCCATCCTCAGCCTCATGGTAACAAAGCAGGGGAAAGAGCGGTGTCTATAATTTCTTAAAGAACAGACACCAATACATGCTGAACGTCTGAATTTTCTTCTAGGTAGTCATCTCGTGGACGGGTAATTTTCTGGATGTAGTTGGTCCTATCTAACTTGTTTTGGTGCCTGAGGCTCAGGGCTCAGCATCTAACATGCAGGTCAGCCCATCAATGTCCAGCTTGGACACACACAGGAAGGCTCAAAGCTCCAGGGAAACCCTGCAGCCATGCCAGCCCCTCCAAGACCACCAAACAAGCAGGGCGTGGAGATGTGGATGGGAGACAACAGAACCGTGCGACTCCTCGGGAACTTGGTGTGGGCCCTGCAGGCTTGCAAGGCGGTCAAGGCTCCTCCCGACGCAGGAGTACCGGGGACGCGCCAGGCCAGCAGCAGTACCGTCTCTGTTCCCACACGGCCTCCCCCCGCCGCCCCAGGTGCTCCCCATGCCAAGGTTGAGGGCAGGACGGCGCCGGCAGTGACCACCGGCAGTCGAGAGGCCCACACTCACCACCGTGCCGAACACGACAGCAGCGTGGCCGTCGGCCTCCACGTGCTCCTCACTGAGGGCCCGCGCCACATCGGAATCCGGCTTCAGGAAGAACTGTGTGAGCTTCTGGCCAATCAGGTCGTGGCTGCTGTACCCCAGGAGCCGGCAGGCTCTGTCGCTGGCCACCAGGATCTGAGGTCACAGAGAGGAGGGCACCCGCGTCACCAGCAGCTCCTCTGGCTCCCGGACAGCCGAGGGGAAGGCAGCGAGGAGGTGGTGCGGGGACAGCCCAGTGACCTGTCCTTCCCGCCACATCCCGCGGCCGTCGAGCTCCCAGCAGAGCCGCCCCGGGTCATCCGGCGTCTCAACCGCATGGAAACAAGAATGACCACCGGCCAGTGCAGCAACGGCACTGAGACTGAAACGACCCACCCTTCACCCGCCGAGATGCACACACCACGTCGTGAAGACCAGGCGGGAGAGACGGGGATGCACGCCCCACGGCCTGCCCGCCTGACAGTCTCAGTTCTTTGCACACAAACGTGCATGATGCAAATGCATTTAATTCAAACACTGAATATCCAGGCCTATTTTAGTTGAGCCAGTGCTTGAGCAAAAGCATGAATAGGTAACGTGCTGCTTCCCTTTCCTTGAATCTCTGCCTTGATGAGAGGATTCAATGTTTCAACTGATTAACACGGAGGTAGGTTTCCAAAGTCCTCTCTCTTTTGCTACTATGTAGGTAGAACCAGCCCCTTTTCTCATTGCACCCAAAACACTCAAGTGCCTCTGTTTGAGGTTATAGGTTGAAGGCACAGACCCCAAACTCACGGCTGGGTCGCAAACCGAAGCACATACCTCTGTGGTCTTGGCGTCCACGGTGAACACGGCCTTGCTGGGGTTGCACACAGGGGCCGGGAGTGGAGGTGTGGACCACCCTGAGGACAAGCCCTGCAGCAGGGAGCAACAGGACGTGCTGCCCAGGGACCCTGCCAGGTCCGCCTGCACAGGCGCAGCCAGCCAGTGCGATTTGCTTGTGCAAATATTTTGGGCAGCCAATGACGACAGACAGTAGGAGCTCCATCTGTCCTCTGGAAAGCAAAGGAAGGGACACTTTAAACCTTGCGTGGCTGAAACACACAAAACACACAGTCCCCACCTCTAGCTCCTGCAAAAGGGTCCAAGGATGAAATTGACCTGCAGGGTTGTGCATCTGAACGTTCCCCAGGGGCCACCTAGACAACCACCACACAGAAGCACAAAGGACCTCAACACTGTGCAAACAACCCTCTGAAGTCCCTTCCCACCCGCCCCTCCCAGGGGCATGCTCCCATGTCCATCGGTCCAAGACCCACAGTCCCTCCAGCTGCTACCCCTCACCCGTCCCTGTGGAGTCTCCCAGACCCCAGAGCTCCCTGCTGTCTCACCACCCGTGCTGGGTCTCCCTCCTCCTTCACCCACAGGCTCACTCCCCACCGCAGCTCCAGAAAGTCAGTTCTCGGCAACATCGCCAGCGGCTCCCAAGTCCCAGCGGTCAACTCCCAGGCCTCACCCCCCTCTCCCCACGCCTCAGCAGTGCTGGGCCGGGAGGGCCGCTCCCCTCCTCCCAAACTGCCTGCCCTCAGCAGGGCACACTCTGCCCTCCACCTTCTCACCTCTCAACACTGCAGGACCCCAGGCTCAGCCTCAGAACCTCCAACCATCCCTGGTGGCTTTATATACACTTCACATAGACGTGTGCTGATGGCCCTTGGGCTCCAGCTGCCGGCTCCCCCCTTTCCCAGCTCAGTGAATATCAACTCCATCCTTCCAGCAGCTCAGAAAGCAAACAAGCGAACAGGACTCTTTCCTGCTCTCCGCTCTGGGCCCTCAGAGAGGACGCCTGGCTTTCCCAGTCAGCGGGCCCACCCTGACCATCCTTTGAGGCTAGAAACTACATGGTCATCTGTCCCGGGCCTCCTCTTCCCAGGCAGCCAGTGCCAAGCTCAATCCAAACACCTTCGGGCCTCAGGACAAGCACTGAGGCGCCAGCTCTGCCTCTTCCTCCCACCCCTCCCCGGCCAGCGCCCCCGGCTGGAGCCCTCACTCCCGGGGCACCTGCCCGCCTCACAGACCAGCGAGGCCACCGCCACAGCATCTACCTCCTGAGCACAGCTGGCCCCTCCAGATCCTCCTGCCCTCTCCCGGAGACCAGACGCCCCGCTTCCCCTGCAGCCCTTTCCCCCAGCTCCAGCCACCTCCCCGTCGTCCTAACAGGCTTCCCCGCGGTCCGGGCCTCCCACCCCCAACAAGCACCTGCCGATGCCCAGGTACACCCTCCGACGATAAGCCACCGAGGCAGAGCAGCGCCTTCCTCCTGGCTGGGTCTGGGCCCCGCAGGCACCAGCTGATGCAGAGAAATAAGGAAGGGGGGGCAGTGGCACCTCCCACTTCTCGGCCAACCCCGGGCACTGCTGCCCGCAAGCCCGTCTAACCTGCCTGCATCCGGGAGGAAAGCAGGAGCCTGGGCGCGGTCAGCCAGCATGCGCCAAACCCAGTGAATAAAACTGAGTCTGGCTCGCGCAGCCCTCCCGGCCCAGCCCGGCCGTCTCACACACCCCGGAGCGAGAAACCCCGACCCTGGACCACAGGCCAATTCCAACCGCCGCCTGAAAAGGAGTTTCCTGCACAAGAATCACAGCAGAACAAACGTGGCAGGAGAGGGTCCTGCCGGCATCGCCTGAAACGAAGGCCTTTTCTCTGCAGGAGCAGAGCCTCTGAGTGGAGCCAAGCGTGGCCCCCACCTTCACACGCAAGGCGGACGCCACTGGCAATAAGAAGGGCTGCTTACCGGACAGCGCCATCCTGCTCTGGCAGAGCTTCGACAGCCCGTTCCTTCTGCTCGGCTGTCTGTGGGCCAAGGACCAGGACTTGCTGGGCTTGGAGGCGGTCTGCGCGGCAGGGCTCTCTGGCGGCGCTGCCAGGGAGAGGCTCTCGCCCTGGCCCCGGCGGTCCTCTTCTGAGGCCATGGAGCCGCTGTCCTCCATCGGGAGCTGGTGGGCCAGCGGGACCATCGTCCACCGGAAAATGAAGTGAACGGATCAGCGTCTGCAAGGCAAGAACAAAGGCAGCTTAGCCAACTAATTCTTCACAAGGCTGAGCTCAGCTCAGCCCCAAAAGACTCACAGGCGCCCAAGAGCCATCCTGGGTCAGAGCCTACGAAGCAAGGATAGTCGGACGGAGAGAAGTGCATAGGAAGGGATGAGAAAGAGAGAAGGAAAGGGGGGAAAACCAGAACAGAGCGGGAAGGAGCCGTGAAGGACACTTTGCACTACAGTACAGATCCACCGCCAGGAGGCCCAGGCCAGGGGCCTTGATGAAGGAGGAGGCCAGGGCCAGGGCGACGTGCCCCTAGAGCCTACACCCCACTTCTGGATTACCTTCTGGGCATGCGGAACCCAGAGCTCCCGGCCAGAGGGCCTGGAGCCCACTCTCCAGACCTGCACCGGCCTCTTCCCCTCATCAGTCCTCCCATATTACAGCACCCACCGACCCAAGGACAGGCCGAGGAGCAGCCCTGCTCCAACGATAAGAAGGCAGAGGGAGGCCAAGCTTCAACAGCAGGCCTCCCAACACAGGATGGACCTGGCAGCTGTCCCTTCCCATGCCACCACATTACAGCAAAGAAACCTAAGGAAGCCCAACCCACGCATCCCACCCTGGCTTCAAAGTCATCATAAAGATTCGTCAGGGTAGGAGGGCAGTGCCTTTCACAGTGAACAGTTTGTGGGCTGATCTATCATTTTGCATACACTGACAGCAATGTGGGGTCTCTGGTACGCTCATGCCCCAGGTCCCTCAGATGTTAACATTAGGGCCTGGCAATGCCCACCTGGGCTGCACGCTGACCTCGGTGGTATGGGGGGCCCCCTAGACAGAGGGAAAACTGGAGGTCCCACTAAGACCTGTGTGGAAGGATCATGACATCAAAACACGCCACAGAGCTACATAAACAAAGGTCATTGCAGGTAGAGGAACAAAAATAGCCAATAGAACAAAGTCAATTTCAGAAACAGACCGAAGGGACACTGGCGCACAGTGAAGAGCAGTAGGACACCGCCAGCATGTTCCCCAGCTCGGCGAAGCCCTGGACAGGCACCTGACCTTCCGGTGCCAGTTTCCTCATGTGTAAAATGTGATTAACAATAATCCACACCTCATAATACTCTTGTGAGGATTCAGAGACCTAAGTTGGGGCTGGCATACTGTAAGTGCTTAATAACTGTGATCTGCTAGTTTTAAATGGAATTAGAATAATTAGTTTGGGGCAAAATTGCATCCCTATGACTTTCCATGTGCAAAAATTAGTTCCAGATGAATTAAAGAACAAAAGACAAAAGTTCTAGAAAAAAAATAAGACTAAGAATATAGTGGACTGGATAACTCTTTGTGGCCCTTGCATTTTAGAACAACTAGGTCTCACCAAGAATATGGTTGCCATGGCATCTGTGAGCTACCTGAAAGTAGGAGAAACTTCCAAAAGGTAAAAACAATACACATGAGATGAAACCAGAACTGGGAGAGTGAGTCACCTCAAGAGACAAGAGAGTTACCCTTAGACTCCTGAAAGAAGCCAGGGACCCTTGAAGCGGGGCAGTGTGGCCCTAATTCAGTAGCACCCCCAAGATCCTGGCAAAAGCAATCCTCTCAGAAACAAAGCATCCTAAAGAGAGGCCTGAGATTTTCCAAAGATTAAGATTAACCAAATATGCTCTCTTTCAATTAAACAGATAAGAAAACAAAATACCATGAGTGAAAGTCTGCAGAAAAATCAAACAACAAAGTCATTTACACAAGAAGACTAAATGGTTGAAATAACTGCAAATGTGTTTAAAAATATAAAAGATGGAGTCTTTTGCTCACAAAAGTGAGCAAACAAGAGTTTCTCAAAACAACTAGGAAGATATTGAAAGAATCAAACCAGCTTTTCAGAAATTAATTTTTTTTTTTTTTTTTTTTTTGCGGTACGCAGGCCTCTCACTGTTGTGGCCTCTCCCGTCGCGGAGCACAGGCTCCGGACGCGCAGGCCCAGCAGCCATGGCTCACGGGCCCAGCCGCTCCACGGCATGTGGGATCTTCCCGGACCGGGGCAGGAACCCGTGTCCCCTGCATCGGCAGGCGGACTCCCAACCACTGCGCCACCAGGGAAGCCCAGAAATTATTTTTTTTTAAAACCAGTAGAGCTTAAGTTCAGTAGAACTGGAAGGTTGTAGGAAACAGAGATTTTGCTCTTAAAGGTTGTGCACAGACTCTCACACACTCTGAAATCCAGCACAGAGGCAGTGGTTTCAAAGGAGCCTGGGTCAACCCACTTGTTGATCTTAGAGAGCCTCCTGGAAAGGCAGGGGCAGCTGCGGCTCACCCTGGGGACTGGGACACTGGCTGCAGCCATTTCTGTGATTGTGTTCCACAGTGCTGACACCAGGGCTGGTGGGTACAATTTTGGAATCCTCCCTCTAGCCTAGTAGCACCAGGTGCTCTGTCCATCCCACCAGTGTGCCCACAGCCACTTCACGTGGCTGGGCCTCACAAGCAGCTGGGCTGGGGCCCAGTTCCACACAGCAGCACACCCACAGCAGTGGGCCCCACCACAAAAGAAGGGCGCACGCAGCCCACACAGGGAGCACCCCTGAAGCAGCTGGCTCTGGTGGCCAGAGGGGAGTGTGCTGCTGAGTCCCACAGGACACCTCTCACATAAGGCCACTTCTCCAAGGCTGGGAGACATAAACAACCTACCTAAAACAAAGAAATAAAGATTAGCAAAATGAAGAGACAGAGGAATATATTCCAAATGAAAAACCTCAGAGAAAGGACTAAATGGATATGAGTAATCCACCTGATAAAAGACTCCAAGGTAATGATCATAAAGATGCCCACAGGATTCAGGAGGAGAATGGATGAGCACAGTGAGAGGTTCAACAAAGAGTTAGAAAATATACAGAAGAACCAATCAGAACTAAAGAATACAATAAATGAAAAAATACACTAGAAGGAATCAACAGTAGATTAGATGACAGAGGAACAGATCAGCAATCTGGAAGACAGAGTAGTAGAAATCACCCAAGCTGAACAGAAAAATAAAAAAGAATTAATAAAAATGAGAATAGTTTCAGGGACCTCTGGAACAACTACAAGCATACTAACATTCAAATTAGAGGGGTTCCAGAAAGAGAAGGGAGAGAGAAAGGGCAGAGAACTTATTTGAAAAAATAATAGCAGAAAAATTCTTCAACCTGGGGAAGGAAACAGACATCCAGGTCCAGGAAGCATAGAAAGCCCCAAAAAAGATGAACACAAAGAGGTACACACTGTAATTAAAAGACACACTGTAATTAAAATGTCAAAAGTTAAAGATAAATAGAAAATCTTAAAAGCAGCAAGAGAAAAACCATTGGTTACATACAAAGGAATTCCCAGAAGACCATCAGGTGACTTTTCAGCAGAAATTCTGCAGGCCAGAAGGGAGCAGCACCATATATTCAAAGTGATGAAAGGAAAAAACCTACAACCGAGAATACTCTACTTGGCAAGGCTAACATTCAGATTTGAAGGAGAGATAAGGAGTTTTACAGACAAGCAAAAGCTAAGCAAGTTCAGCACCACTAAACCAGCCTTACAGAAATGTTACAGGGACTTCCCTAAACAGAAGAGAAAAGGTCACAACTAGACATTTTTAAACTGTGAAAGAAAAAAAATCCCAGTGGTAAAGGCAAACATAGAAAAGGCAGTGGATCAACCACTTATAAAGCTAGTAGAAAGGCTGAAAGACAGAAGTAGTAAAATCACCTATACCTATAAGTAGTTAAGGGATACACAAAATAAAAGATGTGAAATATGACATCAGTAACATAAAATGTGGTATGGGGAGGGAATAAAATGTAGGGCTTTTAGAATGCACTTGAACTTAAGCAACTATCAACTTAAAATAATCACATATACACATAGGTTGTTATATATGAATCTCATGACAATCACAAACAAAACACCCTATAATACATAAACAGAAAGAAAGAAATTGAAACGTAACACTAAAGGTAGTCACAAAAATCACAAGGTAAGAGAGCAAGAGAAGAGAAAAGAAACAGAGAAGCACTACAAAAACAATCAGAAAACAATTAACAAAATGGCAATAAGTACATACCTATGAATAATTATTTTAAATGTAAATGGACCAAATGCTCCAATCAAAACACATAAAGTGGCTGAATGAATGAAAAAACAAGATCCATATATATGCTGCCTACAAGAGACTCACTCCAGATCTAAAGACACTCACAGACAGAAGTGAAGGAGCAAGAAAAAGGTATTTCATGCAAATGGAAATAAAAGAAAGCTAGGGTAGAAATACTTATATCAGATAAGATAAACTTTAAAACAAAGACTGTAACAAGAGGCAAAGAAGGGCATTACAAAATGATAAAGTGACTCAATCCAACAGGAGGATATAACACTTGTAAATATATATACACCCAACCTAGGAGTACCTAAATACATAAAGCAAATATTAACAGACATAAAGGGAGATAAATAGGCGGTAACATAATAACAGCAGAGGACTTTAACACCCCCAGTCACATCAATGGACAGATCATCCAGACAGAAAATCAGTAAGGAAACTCTGGCCTTAAATGACACATTAGATCAGACTGACTTAATAGACATATGGAGAACACTTCATCCAAAAACAGCACAATACGCATTCTTTTCAAGTGCACATGGAACATTCTCCAGGATAGATCACATGAAAGGCCACAAACAACCTCAGTAAATTTAAGAAGACTGAAATCATATCAAGCATCTTTTCTGACCACAACATCATGAAATGAAAAATGAATTACAAGAAAAAAAATGGAAAAACACAAACATGTGGAGGCTAAACAGCCTACTTAACAACCAATGGATCAATAAAGGAATCAAAGAGGAAATGAAAGGAAAAAAAAAAACCTCAAGACAAATGAAAACAGAAACACAATGAGCCAAAATCTATGGGACACAGCAAAAGCAGTTCCAAGAGGGAAGATTATAGTAATTCACGTTTACCTCAACAAACAAGAAAAATCTTAAATAAACAATCTAACATTACACCTAAAGGAAACAGAATAAGAAGAACAAAGCCCAAAGTTAGTAGAAGGAAAGAAATAATAAAGATCAGAGTGGAAACAGAGATAAAAAATTAACAAGATCAATGAAACTAAGAGCTGGTTCTTTCAAAAGATTAAACAAAACTTATAAACCTTTAGCCAGATTCATCAAGGAAAAAAAAAAGAGAGGGTACAGATAAATAAACTCAGAAATGAAACAGGAGTTACAACTGACACCACAGAAATACAAAGGGACCATAAGAGATTACTATAAAAAATTATACACCAACAAATTGGACAATCTAGAAGAAAGGGATAAATTCCTAGAAACATACAATGTTCCAAGTGACTGAATCAGGAAGAAATAGAAATCTGTACAGACTGATTACTGGTAGTGAAACTGCATCAGTAATCAGAACACTCCCAACAAACAAAACACCAGGACCAGATGGCTTCACAGGTGAATTCTACCAAGAAGAGTCAATACCTATCTTCTTCAAACTACTCCAAAAAATTGAAAAGCAAGAATCACTCCCAAATTCATTCTACAAGGCCAGCATTACCCTGATACCAAAACCAGACAAAGACACTACAAAAACAACCACAGGCCAATATCCCTGACAAACACAGATGCAAAAATCCTCAACAAAATACCAGCAAACTGAATTCAACAATACATTGAAAGGATCATACACCATGAGCAGGTGAGATTTATCCCAGAGATGCAAGGGTGGTTCAGTACCTGCAGATCAACCAACATGATACACTACATTAACAAGACAAAAGATAAAAATCCTACAATCATCTTAATAGATGCAGAAAAAACATTTGACAAAATCCAATTTCCATTTTTGACAAAAAATTTTAACAAAGTGGGTATACTGGGAATATACCTCAACATAATAAAGGTCATATATGACAAAACCACACCTAATGTCATACTCAATGGTGAAAAGTTGAAAGCTTTTCATCTAAGATTGGGAAGAAGACAAGGATGCCTACTCTCACCACTTTTATTCAACATAGTATTAGAAGTCCAAGCCTAAGCAATCAGACAAGAAAAAGAAACAAAAAGTATTCAAACTGGAACGGAAGAATTAAAACTGTCACTATTTGCAGATGACATGACACTATATATTAAAAACCTTAAAGATCCCACCAAAAAACTATTAAAACTAACAAGTGAATTCAGTAAGGTTACAGGATACAAAATTATATAGACATACATATATATATATATATATATATACACATATGATCGAATATTACTCAGTCAAAAAAAGAATGAAATCTTGCCATTTGCAACAACATGGAAAGATCTAGATGTTATTACGCTAAGCAAAATAAGTCAGAGAAAGACAAATACCATATGATTTCACTTATATGTGGCTCTAAAAAACAAAAAACAAAACAAATGTAGAAACAAAACAGAAAGACTCATAAGTACAGAGAAAAAACCTGGTGGCGGCCAGAAGGGAGGTAGCTGGGGGGATTAGTGAAATAGGTGAGGGAGATTAAGAGGTACAAACTCCCAGTTATACAATAAGTAAGTCACAGGGATGTAATGTAGGGAATATAGTCAACAGTATTGTAATAATTTTGTATGATGACAGATGGTTACTAAACTTATTGTGGAGATCATTTCCTAAAGTATATAAATGTCAAACCACTATGTTGTACACCTGAAACCAATACTGTATGCCAACTATATTTCAATTTTAAAAAAGGAAAAGAAAAAGAAAAATGGGCAATAGATAGAAACAAGAATTTCACAAGAGAAAATCCTATAAACCTATGATAAGAAGCTTAACTTTACTAGCATAATCATGACAATTTTACACCTACTAAATCAGCAAAAATTAAGAACCTAAAAATTTTAATACCAAATGTTGATAAAGATGTGGATCAATGGGAAGGCTAACAAATTAATATAATCTCTTTAGAAAACAATTTAAGTCAAACATTCTCCTCTGACAGTACTTTCCACTCTTAGATTTATATTCTATAGATATTCTTACACATAGGTAGCAAGTCACACTCAAGAACGTTCAGGGCTGTATGGTTCATAACAGCAAAAGAAAAAAGAAAAGAAAAAACCTAAACATTTAGCAATTAGAAAATAGATTTAAAATTCTGGTATATTCATGCTATGAATTATAGCAGTGAAAACAAATTCTATACACACAAGGATAACTGTTAGCAATGTAAGTGAAAAAAACCAAGTTATGAAAGACTATCGGCAATAGGATTCCCTTTCTATCATACCCCCCTCATCTAAATATATTGTTTAGGGGTACACAGTTACGTGACAAACCCAAACTTCAGGCAGGAGATGTCCTATGAGGGTCCAGCAGCAAGCTGCAATGAGGGAGGGCACAATGGCACAGGGTCTCCCAGTTCCTAATTTGGGTGGTGAGTTTAAACACGTTCATTTTACTGTTTTGATTTGTGGCTAATATTGCAAATGAATCAACTAGTATATACTGGAAAATTGAGATGTTTTACATGTACATGTTTATATCCTGCACAGGACCCTAAAAAGCAATAGCTGGCTATGAACCAAATGGTGAGTAGGAAGCAAGAAAGCAAAATAATAAACTTATTAGAATGTGTTGCTCTCCTTCAAGTAGCAACATTTAAATGTCACAGGTTGATATTCCCTTCTTTAAGCATCTCAATGCACTAATTATTCTGCAATAACTAACAACAACATGATCATATTTCAGTTTTCCACTTCTATAACCAGCCTATAGACAAAGCCCAGAAGACTTGATTACGACTTCAGACTACACAGTAAGTGCTATAAAACTTTACTTTGTAAAAGAAAGTAATAAAACTCTTCAGAATACATTGTAAATATTACAAAAGCTTACTTTGTATAATAAAACTGACAAGAAACAGGGAGAGGAAGGAAGGAAATGTGGAGAGAGGAGGAGGGAACAAAATGTTTTGTCCTTCCTGGGGGGAAGTAAATAGTGTCTAAAGTTGATAAATTAAGAAGTGGACACAGAAAAGACAATCCGTTTTCCCTTGGTGCCTCCTGTGCTGTTCGCAGTCTGCCGAGCTAGTTCAGCATTGCACAGCACATTCAGGCCACAGCCCCAGGCTGGCCCCTGAGAGCACAGACCCTAGCTTCACACAGCCTTAGATCTCTTCCTTTTTTACAAGTTCAGTTTTGACTCAGGCCTAATCCAGGACTAGGTTTTTAGAATAGGTGTTGTTTTTTTGCTGTGTGTGTGTGTTTCCTTTTTTTTTCGGGGGGGAGGATATTATTTTGTTTTGTTTTGTAGCCACTCTGAGCAGAAGATGTGGGAAGCTGGACCCAGAGAGCACCTGATGGTGCTTCAGAGCAATCCTACTCCCGTTGCTAGTTTTGATTCCAGAAGGTGTAAGTGACACTCCCCACCCCCCACCAAACAGAAGAAGAGGTTTGCAGGGAGCTTCTGGAATAGTACTCCTTGCTCTTATGGGTGAACTTCTGGAGGCCACCGACTTTCTCCCACTAGAACAAACGCTAGGAAGCAAATAGCTCCAAATGCTCCCACCACTGCTATACAACCGAGAGCAGAACCAGCCTCAGGATGAAGCTAACACGGTGGCAAGCAGAGCTGAAAATGGCAAGATGTCATTTCGAACCACTGGATGAACCTACCATAAAACATGCCTTTCTCTGGACTTTAGGCTTGGGGGCCAATAACTTCACTCACCGTCAGACCCGTTTTGAGACTATCTCTCTGTTTCTTGCATCAAGGAATCCTACAGAGTATCCAGGATGATGGCTGCTGTGAGGGAGGGTGTAAGCAAAGGGCACCTCTCAGACCTGAAAGGTCCTCAAAGGCATCCTGGAGGAGGCACCAGCAGGGCTGAGCCCAGCAAGGTAGAGTAAAGAAGCCTCCCAGGCAGAACCACAGTAAGTGAACGATTCCCACAGAGCCCTTGGGGAGGAGTTCAGCGCACAGGAGAGTCGGTGGAGATGGGCCTGGAGAAGCTGGTTGGGATTCCCAGGGCCTCCTATGCCGGCCCAAGCAGTATGGATCTTATTTAGAGGTCTATGCTTGTAAGTAACCTGACCAGTGGGGGAGGAGGGGGGAGTTACAGTCAGGCAAAAAATTATGAGGTCTTAACTTAAAGCAACACCAGAAAGACGGAGAGGGGAAGCCACAAGAGAAATTAGACATAGAATTGATATAGGATTACTGGGCGAGATGTGGAAGGTAAGGGGATAAAAGTCATCAAAACCGCATCCCAAGGCCACGGCCCTTGTCTAGGAAAAGAAACACTGGTGACGAGGTTAAAGATAAAGCCCAGGTGTGTAGTGGGGACGTCAGGAAGCATGGACATGGCGCTACAGCCCATGGCTCCCCCCACAAACGTCTACTGAGAAGCTCCTACGTGCCGGGCACCGTGAGCCGAGAGCGAGACGCGGTCTGCCTCCTCCTGGCCCCCTTCCAGTAGGGGGACAAGGCACACACAGCCGCTCTAGGGTCGAGGACGGAGCGCCAGGTGGGTCCAGGCCGAGGCCAAGACCCCGAGGCGCGCAGAGAGACGGGCGCGGCCGCGGCCGGGGGCAAACGGCCGCAGGGCGGCAAGCGGACCACCACCCGGCCGCGCCGCACGGAGGGCACGCGGGCGGCGCGGGGTCGCGGTCCGGCTCCCCCTGTGCGGGTAGCTCACCTGAGGCCGCAGAGAGTCACGCGCCGACCTCCCAACACCCGCCGGGAGGGAGCCCATCCGCGCCTCTAGCCCCACCGACCAATGGCAGAGCGACCGATGCCGACTGACAGTACTCACGGGCCAACCGCTAGCGCCTGTGGGCGGGGACGCAGCAAGCCCGGGAGGAGACGCCCGCGCTAACGGTTGCTAGGGACGCACCGGAGTCTGTCTAAGGCGCCTCGGAGGAGCCAAAAGAGACAGGGCCTCCACCAGCACGGTCCGCGGACGCCGTTTTCTCTGGTCTCAGGAAGGGTGAGCAGCGCGGAGCTCGCCCCTCGGAGACCTCGACCTGAAGGCGGGGAGCGCAGGGCTGCTCCCTCACGGCCCACGATGCCCGCGGAGCCGGGGACCAACGGGGGCTGCGGCGCCCTCAGTGGCCGGGTCGGCGTCCCGGGCCCCGAGCGGCTCTCCCGGCACTTCGGGCGGACCCGGTAGCGGACAGGCCCCGGGCCCGAAACGAGCGCGGGCTCCCTGCGCTAAGCGTTGACTGGAAGTGGCCCCTTCACACGGGCTCAGTCCGCGCGGCGACGCCGGAACAATGTCGGCACATTGTGCAGACGCAGACGCTGAGGCCCGGAGGGGCCGGGGATGCGCTCGATTGGCCCGCACTTTGCAGCCCCACGCAGGGACCCGCCCCGCCGTGTCTGGCTACCAGCCCACGAGCCCAGAGCGGCTCCCAGACTCCTCTCCGCTCTCCTGCAGGCTCGGCTCCGTGCGTGCGGCCCCGACTATCCCTGCCCTCAACCCGCTCCTCGCCTTCAAAGCCTCCCGTGCGCTAATTACCTGTCCGCCGGGTGTTGTGGCTGGCGGCGCGGGGGCTGAGGGCGGGCTCGGCCTCGCGGAAGGACTACAACTCCCATGAGGCTCTGGGGCCGCGCAAGCGTATGTGATTCCATTGGCTGGGAAAGCTCTGAGCTGGGAACCCTCATTGGCTGAGGGGCCTGAGGCGATAGATACCGGAAAGGGGAAGAGTAGCCAACATGGCGGCGGAGCGCGGCGCGGGACAGCAACAGTCGCAGGAGATGATGGAGGGTGAGCGGCCCCGCGGGGTGGCGACCGAAGGGCCCAGCGGGCGGGGGGCGGCGACCCGTACCGGCCTTGCCCGGGAGAAACGGGGCCGCCCGCCTGCGGCCGCGGCTCGGACCCCGCCGCGCGCACCCCCTGACATCTGCCAGCCGGCAGGGCGGGGGTGGCCCTGGACCCGGGACCCCGTGCTGAGGCGGTAGCGGCCGGGAAGGCGCGGGCGGCCCGGGAGATGCCAAACCTAGGGTCAGGGCCAGCGGCGGGGCGAGCCGGGCGCGTGGGTGGGGACTGAGGGCGCGGTGGTCCCACAGCCCTGGCGTCCGCCAGCTGGTGGGAGCCTCGCACCGAGTTCCTCAGCCAGCCTCGCGAGTCCCCAGTCCCGGGGCAGCTGACGAGGAAGCAAGGCGCGGGGCTCCCTGGGACTCGCCCGAGTCGGGTCATTGGTGAACGTGGCGGGGGTGGAGAAGGGTCCTCCCGAAAGTGAATGGGTCGTGGGGAAGGGGTGACCAGGAGCCAAGAGCTGAGTTACAAAATCGACGGTTTCCTGTTTTCAAAGCGATCATAGTTCCAAAAAGACTAAATCAAACTCTTCCGCTTTGTTGAAAAGAAGTATATGCATGTTACGTGTGCATATAGTTACATACACACGCTTACCGCAATCGGAGAGCCAGTCCTGTCTTCGAGTGCTCCTGTACTGTTCGATCCGCTGGCCTCATGAGCGCTCCGGAAGAGCAGCCACAGTCTCCAGTGTCAAGTGCTAGGGAAGCGGGGGAGGCGAAAGAAGAGCAGGCATGTTTGTGAGTGATGGCTGCGCAACCAAAGCCAGCTCTGAGCTGAATCGTGCAAGACAACTATAAATCAGCCGGGTTGGAGATGGGCTGAGGTCGTTTCAGGTGAAGGAAGCCACACGAAGGCAGGGGGGTGTGAAGGAATGTGACCTTTGGAGGAGAGTTAAGCCAAGAGTGGTGCAGTCGTACCGAACGAGGGAGAGTGCCGGTGAGGCTGGCAGGGAAGGTCGTGGAGGGCCTTGGTGGGGGGGAGAAGCACATGAAGGGTCTTGGACTTTCAGACCATTAGGTCTTTTTACGCAGGGAAACGCCTCTTCTTATCCCCCTTCTTCCCACCCTCCCACCTATTCCCACTTCCTCTTTAGCTGTTTCTGTGTCTTGGTAAATGGCAAGTAGGAAACCCAGGCAATTCCTTCTCTCCGGCTCCCACCCATCCAATGAATCAACAAGCTCTGCTGCCCCTGCTTCCTTAATATCTCCAAATCTTTGATACCTCTCCCATGCCCACTGCTGATACCTTGAGCCAGTCCATAGTCCCCGGTGCCACATAGTCACCTTATGTGCTGATCTGCTGTCCCATGCCCCTGTTTCACTTTGGCTGCCCTTCATTAGCTAAGCCCCTCCCACCCTGGGCTCCGCTGCACCAGACCATTGCCCAGTAGAACTTGCTGTCCCTTAGCCTTGACCACCTGTGCCTGGTAACAACTGATTTATTACATGTCTGCGTACATGTCATGCACATGTTTTTGTGCCTGACAGCAACTCTGAGGTGCAGGTACTATACTAGCTCCTTCTACAGGTGAGGAGACTGAGGCTTAGAAAAGAAAATCACATGCCAAAGCTGCGTCTGTAGAGACAGGATGCAAACTCAGGAAGAGTCAATGGCATTCCAGAAATTTTTGGAGTCAAAGATCAGATTTGGATTTTAGAATAAGATCAGATTCTCTAGCAATGGAGAATAGATTAAACAGCCAGACAAGCCACCGAGAGACCAGTTAGGCCAGGCAGGAGCCGAGGCCACAGGTAATGAGTAGCTGATCCAAGGCAGTTGCCAGGGCAGGGAAGAAGGAATGGGTTTGGAGGTTTTAGAGGTGGATTTCATCAGGACTTATCCAGCAGTCCTTTCCTGGGTGCGGCTTTGCTAAGCCCAGCAGGAGATACAAAGGTGAAGTAGCTGCCTTCCCCTCAAAGAGCATACCCCTTTGTAAATAAGCTGTAGTGGGAGAAAAGAGAATGCTTTCAGTGTGGTTGATGATTCCAAGTAATCCATCAGTGCTCCAGGTCTTCCACAGATTTCCAAAAGAGGTTGCAAAAAAAGTTAGGAAAAAGGGAAATTATTTGACAGTCTTGCCAAAGAATTTTTACCAGTCTGCCACATTTAATCACTGCCTGATTTGCTAATTCAAAAAATATTTATTTACCAGCCTTTCAAAACTGCGCTGGTGTCACGGTGCCCTGACATTCAGCATCAGTGACTTTGTGGGGCATTTAGCACTACTGGCTGTCTTCTCCTTTTTCTAGAGCTCCCCGCTGCCCACAGTCTGATTTGAGTTAGTCTTGATTTCTTTCAGAACGTGGGCCTGTGAACTGGGCTGGTTTTCTTGGCCAAATGGATAGTGGAGCATGGATGAAGGTATGTGGCGGGAGGGTCACATGGTCCCCTCTACGTGGACATCCAGGCCAAAAGGGAGCCAGACAGGAGGTGCTTCTCTGTGTGTTACCGCTAGGGCGTTTAATCACAAACCACGCAGGCCTTCCAGAACACCTGGTAATTCTTCATGAGTTCCTTGAGGGCAGGAATAGTATGTCACTCACCTTTGTACCCCTGTGGCCTCCCTGCTGTGCCCCATTCCCATCTGCCACAGTTCCCCCTTCCACTGGATGCCTCAGGTGGTACCCAGGACATCCATGGAAAACACTCAAATGTTTGTTGAACTGAGTTCAACAAACATTTTTGATTGAAGTCTTTTTGACTTCCAACTGGATGTCAATCTGTTATATGTTCCTCAAAGGGCCCCCTAACATGGGTGTGAGTTCTTATGGATGTGTGTGGGTTCAGTTGACAGGCGGGTGGAATCGGAAGAGTCGGGCGATGAAGAAGGGAAGAAGCAGAGCAGCGGAATGGTGGCCGAGCTCAGTGCGCACAGCCTGAAGGATGGAGAGGAGCGGGGGGAAGAGGACCCAGAAGGTACCAGGCCGAGTTAAGAACCTTAAACTCATTAAGCGGGAGGAGGATGGGGCTCTGTGGCATGCGATGGGCCCCCGGGTGGCGCCCGGGTGTTTGTCTGGCTGACTCTGGAGGCCCTCGGTGGGTGGCCAGGGGCGGTGGGAGTAGGCGCTGGGAGTAGGGCGCCCTCTGAGGTGCTCCCTGAGCCAGCTACACACTTACGGCACTTGCAGGCAGGATGAACTTTTTCCTAATTCCATTGAAGGCAAATACTAATAATATTGATACTAATGTGTCATCTGAAACAGAACCAGAAGATTGTTTTATTAACCACCTGTGCAGAAAGTACGATTTGAAATAAACAGTTCGGCTAACGAGCGTGCTCTCTTTTCCTACCGTGGACATAAACTGATTCTCTCTTAGTCATTTTTGAGTTCTGTCCACCAAACTTCTAGGCCTGAGGATCAACTTCTAAGTCGGTTTAGTGATTAACAACAACGAAATGAATTTAGAGGTGAGAAAGTAAGTGCTCCGCCTGTGATGGTGGGTTTTCACCCTCCCGAACTATGAGCTGAGCCTTTTTTGTTTGTTTTCTTTGCTTGCTTAGAAAATCAGTTTACATTCAGAGGAGTGAGAGAAACCATAGAAACAGACATAAAGATGTCCAAGATATATTATTAGGTGAAAAGAGCAAATTCTTTACAAATGGGATGCGTGTTAAAATCCTATCTTTATTTTTAAAATGATAATAATAGAATAATAGTATGTAGTTTTACTTAAGAGAGAAAACACGTCAAACTGTTTTTGGCCCGGGGGGGCCGGGGGGCAGTCTTTCTAAACAGCAGGTTTGAGAGGGTCTTGTACCTTCTGCATTTTCTAGATTTATACACAGTGTATGGGTATTTAAAGTTTTAATAGTCATGCATTACCGTTATGGTAATTAAAACAAAACGAATTTTTAAAATAACATCATGCTCTGTGCCAGTGAAGATGGTTGGTAACTATGGCAACCTAATTTTAAGGCAAAAGGAGATTACCACAAAAGTACCAGTCACATTACTTTGGAACTTCAGAGTCGATATTCTGGAAGTGATGTGGGTGGAATACGTACACGGGAGTGATGGGTGAAAGCTCTCGTTGCTGACTCAGTCACAGGAAGGCCAAGCGGTGGGAGTGTCACCTGCCCTCACATCTGAATGCCTGACATGTTGACAGAGCCCTGTCATGGGCTCTCCCCTGGCTCGTGAGCACAGGCTCACTGTGACTCGCCCAAGGGTACATGGCTACAAAGTGGAGCCCCTGGACTGGACCCCGACTTGTCTAGATCTGGTGTTCTTTCTTCCAGGCTACTAGCTGGTTAGAAGTCCTCTAGGAAGGTGCATTTTTATAGGTCCTTAGAGAAACCAGGACTTGCTCCTACCTGTACTTACTTAGATCTTAAGTTCAAGTAAAACAAATTCAAACGTGACAACTGGTACCATTCACTTATTTTCTATAAGTTGTTTTAAAACTTAAAACATACAGGATAGGTTTGGAAAGATGGCTGGTAACTTTGTTTCAAAGGTTAAGCTGCCATTTTGAGCACTGCCCTGTGCTGGATGTATTACAAACAGAGCCCTTTAAGCCTTGTGACCATGTGTCCTGGACACCCTGCCTTTGTTGTCGCGCGCGTCTTTCGTTGCAGCTTCCTGAATTCAGGCCGTTGGCTGTGCTGTCTTTTGTAGGGGGATCGTTTGGGCATATCTCTTGGTTTTGCCCAGCTCCTTTTATTTAATTTTTGGGTTGGTTGACATCTTGTAAAGCTATGGCTGAACTAGAGTAAATGACATGTTTTTTTGTTTGTTTTTTTGCGGTAAGCGGGCCTCTCACTGTTGTGGCCTCTCCTGTTGTGGAGCACAGGCTCCGGACGTGCAGGCTCAACGGCCATGGCTCACGGGCCCAGCCGCTCCGCGGCATGTGGGATCCTCCCGGACCGGGGCACGAACCCGTGTCCCCTGCATCGGCAGGCAGGCTCTCAACCACTGCGCCACCAGGGAAGCCCGACATGTTTTTTTAACTAGCCATTGTCGGTGGTTATGGAAAAGGCGGCGCGGTGAATTCAGCCAGTGTGGCGCCAGGACGTCTTTGTCAGGCTGGGCCTGCATCGGGCGTGCCTCTCCGAGGCCTCCAGTCCAGCCTGCGAGCTGCCCCGTGCTGGGGGGCGCTGGGGGCATGAGGCTGGGGCTGTGAGCCTGCTCAGCCGCAGGAGCATATGCAGTGTTGCCATCGGGGAGAGGCAGCTGAAGGAAGCAGGCTGAACGGTAGTGGTGACCAGCGGTCCCTGGGGGCACAGGCCAGATAGCAGTCACCGTGGAGGAGCCACTGCCACCGAGGAGGAGCCTCTCCAAGGCAGGTGGCCCAGTTTCTTCAACAACAAATTGCAAGAACAAACGGGGACTTTATAGAAATGCCCTCTAGTTACAGTGTGTGGCCTCATTCAGATCCTAATGCGTGCAGGCTGGGGAGAGCATTTAACCCTTTTAGACGATGTGCTGCAGTAGGCCCAGAGCCCAGCGCGGGAGCCGTAGCCGCCCTCCTCAGGCCCCCGGACGGGAGGCCCGCTCTCCAGGGTGGACTGGCTCCTCGTCCTGCCCGGCAAGAGGGGCATGGAAATTGCTCAGCGAGGCTCTTCAATCTTGTCTGTTGAGCTGAGCGTTTTGTTTCGCTCTTTGCAGACAGACGTGTTTGTAGATGCTGGGCCACTTTCCAAAGCAGTAGAAGGCACATCCTAGAACATCTGATGTGCCCACAGCGTGATCTATATTCAAATGACCTGCTTTCTTGTCACAGACAAGAAGGGAAAGACCGGGAGGCAGGCTGCCACCAGCTACGCAGCTTCGGGCATCACCAGGAGGTGGCGGTGGGCAGCTTCCTGGCCCCTGGCTGGGGTCACTTGAGGCTTGGTCACCGTTCCCCCTCCCCCGGCTTTTCTGACAACAGCGTCAGACTGCATTTCCCTCCCTGGGAAGTTGTGCGGCACAGATGGAAGTTTGGAGGCGTTTGCTGAGTTCAGGAAACTGAGGATCTTGAAGGGTGACCATTGTCAGACAGATGTTAGCTCTGCTGCGTCATCCATGCCCTCTGGGTGTTGCCTGCTGGTTTCTCCTCTGCTTTCGAGTTGGCTCTGTGCCCCAGGCAGCCCGACCCAGCTCTCCGCGGACGCCGGGTCTGCGCCCTCCTGGAGACGGGGGTCTCTGAATGGGCTTTTCTTCTTCTTGTTGTTTCAGAAGGACAAGAGCTGCCTGTGGATATGGAAACCATTAACCTGGACAGAAATGCAGAGGTAATGCTGCCTGCTCAACCCAACCTCGGGGGGCACGGTGACAGAGCGCTCTGACCGTCAGGGTATCTTACGAGCGTGCCAGCTTAGCGAGTGATTTCCCTGGAAGGAGTTGTCTGAGCCTGTCTCCGTCGGCTCAGAGACCCTGTGTTCTTACTGTTTTTAATACCAGTGATGGACCTGCCATTTCTGTTTAACCAAATGAAACGCCTTTGGCTCAGATTATATGGGTCAGGTGATTACATTGTATGTGGTGGGGTCCTGCCATCCCCAGCCTCTGAGAAGCACCGCGCATTAATGACCTGGGAGGGGCGGAGCCAGCCGCTGTGTCTAGGCGGCCCGTGGGGCCTCCCCTGAGCCCACAGCCGGCCTTCGGTGGGGACACGGGACTCAAAGCATGGGCTTGTGATCTGTGCTAAGGGGGCAAAGGGGTGAGAGTAGGTTTCGCATCCCACCCGCTTGGAGGGTCAGTTTTACATCAAGCCGCTACCCGTGGTAGCTGAACCGAGGAGCGTTTTGCAGCTCGCCTCTGAGTCCCCGCCCCCTGTCTGCGCAGACTCCGTGTAGCGCTTCTCCCATTCTCCCCTCACCCTCGCATCCACCCACTGCCCGGCCTCCTCGTGGCTTCGATTCCCGGAAGCATGTCTTCAGGCGCTTGCCTGCAGCTGAGCGAGGTCTTGTCTTGTTTCAGGACGTTGATTTGAATCATTACCGCATTGGAAAAATCCAAGGCTTCGAGGTGCTGAAGAAAGTGAAGGTGAGGAATTCCGTCCTTGCAGGGGAGGTGACACTCCAGAGTCTGTCCCGCCCGAAGGACATAGATAAACCCAGAACAGAGTCAGTTCTGTGCAAGTGACAGTCCTTGCAAAGGTGCCAGGCCGCACCAGGAGCTGCCGTTGGGCACCTTTCCTCCTGAGCCTGGCAGGGTTGCTAGGGCAGACGGCAGGCTGGGTGGCTCGCCCCAGGTTCAAGCGGTGGCTCGGGCATGTGGCCGCCTGCAGTGCCTCAGGTCGAAGCCCGCCTGCAGCCACACACACCCCAGCCTGTGCAGTCCTTAACTCGCTTCAGTCCAATCTGTTTTTCAGAATTGAGCCACTGAGGGTTCCCTCTGCTGGGACACAGCACCCCCGCTGCCCGCTGCCTCCCTCACTAAGTAGGTCTGCTCGGTATGGGGCTTGCCTCCAGCCTCCCTTGGGTGTCTGCCCATCCTTTCCAAGGTCAGCAGCTTTCTAGAAAACGGGAAGGAAAACCACATCCTCCCACCCGGAAGACCTGTCCTGTAACAGCAGGCACTTTCTCCTGGCCTCCCTGTTGCCTACGTCAGCTGCCCTCTTTCTGTCCCCTAGACTCTCTGCCTCCGTCAAAATTTAATTAAGTGCATTGAGAATCTAGAGGAGCTACAGAGTCTTCGAGAGCTGGATCTTTACGACAACCAAATCAAGAAGATTGAGAACCTGGAGGGACTGACAGAGCTGGAGTGAGTCGTGAGACCCAGGGAGACAACGGAGGGGCCCGTCCAGCCTCCCCAGAACCAGCCCTGGGCCCCAGCTCTCAGGCCCAGGGAGGCCACTTCTGCCCCAGGGTCCTGCCCTGCACCTGGCTCCAGGGGTGCGTTGGCTTGCCCACAGTCCCAGCCTGCAAATTAAACCTGTGGAGCCTTTTGGCTGGTCTCTTCAGGGAGGACATGGTCTCTGCCCTCAACACCATCCTGTGAGCCCAGAGGCATCGGGAACCTGTAGGCTGCCTCCCAGCTCTCCCGGGCCTTCTTGGGCAGCCACAGATTCTGTGCCCGCCCCCGGGTGAGGCACGGTCCCCCAGGTCGGGATGCTGCCTCTAAGTTAATTACATTCTGAGTTCTGTGTGACCTACGCTCGTTAAAAAATAAATGTTTTGCCTGTTCCCAGGATTCTAGATATTTCTTTTAATCTACTGAGAAACATTGAAGGAATTGATAAGTTGACACGACTGAAAAAGCTCTTCTTGGTCAACAATAAAATCAATAAAATCGAGAACATAAGCAGCTTACGTCAACTGCAGATGCTGGAGCTGGGGTCCAACCGCATCCGGGTAGGTGCGAGCGTGGCGGCTGCGTGGCCTGGACGGTGTGGGTGCAGGGTGTGCGGTCGGCTGTATGTTTCATAAGAAAAGGTGCTGACTGGAGGTCAGTATTAATAAGAGTGTGTGCCCAGGTGCAGCGGTCTAGCCTTTCTTCTGCACGTAGAGTTCACTTGCTCCCCGTTCAAACCATGACATAATTCTTACCAAACCATTCCATTAGGTTCTGCCCGAGGTGAACTGATCAGCCCCAAACACTTTGCTTTTGAATGTACTGCAGAGTGAAAGTGTCCCAAGGCAGCAGAGGGCTGGCTTGCCGGTGCCTCGCCCCACACCAGGGCCGTAGGAAGGAGCACGCAGCCTGGTACTCGGCTGGCCTGTCCTCCCCTGCTGAGCGGCTGGGGGCAGGGATTTCGGAGCACTTCTTCCCCTCCCTCCGTGTCGCAAGTGACCCTCTGTCCAACTTTTGGAAGCTCGTAGCACACGGTCATCCCAGGTTGGCCCTCATGAGCTGGACAGGATGCAAAGCAAAGAGAGTGGTTCTGGCAAAGGGCCTCTCATGATGATGGTGGTGATACGGCTGAAAATAGCAAAGCAGCACACTTAAAACTAGACAGTGGCCCAGATGTCAGCATTTTATCGAGTATTTCTCTATGGAATCTTCCAAGAGAAAGGTGGCTCGTCACAAATTGATGCAGGCCATAGCAGTTAAGGATGCCTTCCCTCTGAATCCTCATCCTCGTAGACTGCCCCCAGCCACATCTTGCTGTGAAGGGCCAGACAAGATGCTCAGTCTGCACTCGCTTGAGGCCCCACTGTGTTCCCGTGCACATAGTCTGGTCATTTAGTGCTGAAGAAGCCAGTAGCTAACCTGTTCTGGGAGAGCAGTGAACTCAGAGGAGGCGGCGGCCTGAGGCCTGGTCAGTGGGCGTTGATTAAACCGGCTGCTACCCGAGGCGCTGCGGGAGATCCATCTCCAGCTGAATGGCGGAGCACCGGCATGGAGCAAGGAGAAGCAAGGAAGCAGGTGGCAGAAACAGGAAGAGGGGCAGAGAGTCAGGGAATGGGGGCACCTGCTCTAGGAATCCCGTAGGGCATCCCAAGGCCAGAGCTCCCAGCTTCTGTCTCTTGTGGAATGCATTTTAACAAATCCTACATAGAGTCACGTAATAATGTGGCAACTCGGAATTTTAGGACTGGAGGGACCTGAGAAGTCCCGAGAGCTCCAGGGCTCTGTGGAAACTCGAGGTCTGGGAGTGAGCCCAAGTAAGGGGGGCTTGACGCCTCGCTCCCACCCCCACCTTTTCTGTGTTCTCATGTTGCACTTTCACGTGAGGTTGTATGGGAAATTTTCCAGAGTGGAGAAGCACCTGCCCGACGCCCCGGGAGGCTCTCTCTCCTTGCCCAGAGACCTTTCTCTTCCCCGGGTAGCTAAGCGCTGCCCTGTCCTGATTTTCACAGGCAATTGAAAATATTGACACGTTAACCAGCCTGGAGAGTTTGTTTTTGGGGAAAAACAAGATCACTAAGCTTCAGAACCTGGACGCACTCACCAACCTGACAGTCCTCAGCATGCAGGTACTGACCGCCCTACCCCCCCGCCCCTGCCGCCCCCGTCCTGCAGGCCCAGGGCCCGGGCATTGATGGGCTCTCTGTTTCACTGGCAGGGAGCGACTGAGACATTATACTTCACTGACCTTAGTCGTGCGTGACGCATGCTGGACCACAGTTTCATTCTCTAAGCATCACGCTCCTTTTCCTAGTAAAATTTCGAGCTGGTTTTTAGCCAGAGGGTCTCTTCAGAAGGTGGAGCTCGTTCCAAAACCTACAGTGCTGGGCTCCACGGTGGGAGCGGCCCTCCCGCGTCCATGCGGAGGGCATGCGGCCTGGCTCGGGGGTTGGGAAGCACGTGGCTGCGCCTCAGCTCCTGTTCCTTTTTGTCAGAAGCAGGCAAGTGGCACCAGGCCCTTGAGGCAGGATGTGGCGGGGTGCTCTGAGGACAGGACCTCAGCGTGGCAGGTCCCCTAAAACCACAGGTGCCTTTTGGAAAGCAGACGTTCCACAGACTTCTTTAAGAAGAGGGCGTTAGGCTTTAATTTGAGTTATAGTAGATGCTGAAAGAAATGAGAACTGATTTTATTTTAAAATATTCTGTGATTCTGACATTTTTGAATTACTAAATTAATTGAGGTAGACCTTCCCCAAGTAGATGAAAAGTGAGTGCTTTGCATACAAGCCTTTAACCCCGCGTGTGAGCTTTAGCCCAGTACAGCAGACCCAAGATTTCGGTCTTCCTTTTCTGTGTGTGTGAGTCCCATTCTTGCAGCTGTATCCGGATGCCCCGCCATCAGGCACCCACGGTAAGCAACCCCACTTCCCACAAGCCACGCAGCTTCGCGCGTCCTTGCTGCTCTGACTCTCCCTCTTGCAGGGCAACCGGCTGACCAAGATCGAGGGCCTGCAGAGCCTGGTGAACCTACGGGAGCTCTATCTCAGCCACAACGGCATCGAGGTCATCGAGGGCCTGGACAACAACGTAAGCCCGCCGGCCGCCTGTGGGGCAGTGGGGTCATGGGGTGCCCGACGGGCAGGCAGCACACACCAGCCTCCGGGTGGCTCTCGAGGGGACTCGCTGCCTCTGGAGGTCTGTCCTAGTGACCTTTCCATCCCTCCTCACGCTGGGAAACACAGACGCAGGCGGTATCTGCTCAGCCCTGAGCGGGCACTGAGCTGAGCTGTGTGTCGCGGGGATAGATTCACTGCATGGCCCTGTAGGCGTTGGGGAAGATTTTTGAAAAGTAAACCCCAGGGACTCCCCCGGCCGTCCAGTGGTTAGGACTCTGCGCTTCCTGTGCAGGGGACACAGGTTCAGTCCCTGCTCGGGGAACTAAGATCCCACATGCCGCGGGGCACGGCCAAAAATAAATTAAAGTTAAGAAAAAAGTAAACCCCGGCTGCTCCTAGGTGTCCCTGTCCCACGGAGGGCTAGTGGGCGCAGCAGCCACCCCCTCTTCCCGCTCCGGGCCCCACTACCCAGCCTGCGGGGCCAGCAGCGCCCCCCCGGCCCAGATCCTGCACAGTCTCGCTCCCTCCCGCCCGCCCCTCAGCAGCCCTGCCCGCCCAGCGCAGGACAGCCTTAGGGGCGCTGGGCAGGGAGGGGTAGCGCTGGCCCTGAGCCCCCAGGAAGCCCCTGCGCCCCTCAGCTGCCTGCAGGCAAACCTGCTTTTCCTCAGTGCAGTATTCAAGACAAATAAAATACTTTTACTCTTTCAATTTTACTGGGTTTTTTTTTCCTGTTTTGTTGACTTGCCAGCAAGTGTAACCAGATTGGTCACTTCTGTTGTTGTAAACACAGCGTTTCAATCTTCGTCAAGTCTCCTTTGGGCTTTGCGCCTCAGCCCCTGGGCCTAGCCACCATTAGTAATGTTTTCAGGGGAAATCCACGTTCTGAATTTCATTTCACCGACATCTACGTACAAAATTTTAGAAAAGCTAGAATTTGCCTACTGTGAGTCTGGTCGCCTTTGCCTGCCTTCCAATCAAGCTGAGAGTTTACAGAGCTGGTGTGTAAACTGGGTGCACAGTCGGCCGGTGCAGAATGGGACCCTGAGGCTAAGCTGAGAGGTGCGGCCGTGCGGAGGCCGTGCGATTGGAGCCGGGCGGTGCCCCCTCTGCTCCTTGGCCTCCCCCGCCGGTCCCCACGGTCAGCGGAGGGTCCACGCAGGAGAGGGCGTGGCAGCGGTATGGCCCAAAAGAGCAGCGGGGTCCCAGGCGCACAGGACGGGGCAAGAGCTTAGGACTGTCCCAGTAGGAGCGCTGCGCCTCGGTCTGGGGTCAGCACCGCACCCTTCTGGGGCCTCTGCAACAAAACAGAAAAATAGCAGTTGTGGCTTTAAAGGTAATCATTGTAAGATTCTTGTAATCAAATGAGACAGGCTTTCCTCTGAGATCTTTGTTCACCTATACTTTCTTCTAAGCTTTATCTCTTAATTTGTCTGACATTTACCTTTGTGGTGTGAGATCAGGCAGTAAGTATCCTTTTCCCAAATGGCAGATCCACCGTCTTGACACCACGGCTGAGTCCTCCCCCACTGCTGCCTCTGTTTGCCCCTCTGTGTGCTGGGTCGTCTTCCTGTGGGTCTAGCGGGATAATCTCTCCTGTGTGTGCTCTCCCCACCCTGTCCCCTTCCTTTTTTTTTTTAAAGCAATTCTTACTGGTTTGCTTTTGAATGAGCTTTCAAAACACTGTCCAGCTCCCCAGGAAAACACGAGGTAGTATTGAGCGCATGACGGAATCCTTGTTGCTGGACGTTTGGGGCCAGTTCTGGCAGCCGGGCGCCCCTGGTGCTGAGCTCTTGTGCTAGGGCTGCACAAGGGTCACATCCTGCCGCGGGCCGCACATGCTTTAGCTTGGCCGGTTCCTGCGCTGACACATCCCACGCCGCCCAGCACCGCAGAGCAGGGGGCAGCGGGCCTGCCCTGGCCCCGCCCTGCTGCCCACGGTGGCCCCCTTCTGCAGAGTTCTCCTGAGTCCCTGTTTGCTCTGAAGGTCGCCGAGCCCCGCAGGCAGGTGCCTCCTAGCCCCCTGTAGTCACCCAGCTATCTGAGCGGACACCAGGAGCCCAACAGAAGCCAGTGGAAGGGCTCGTCACCCACGTCTGTGCCCAGACAGTGCAGGACACTGTGCCCGGCCCTCAAGGAGTCAGAGGCCAGGGCCGGAGCGCTTCTGGGTTGGCAGGGCTTCTGGCTGCCCCCTCGTGTGTGTGTTTGTGGGCTTTGTTTTTATTTTATTGAGAGTTTTTTTTTAACTTTCCCTTAAAACTTGGTATTTGGAGTCAGAATCCCAGGAACACAGTAGAAAATGTAAGAAGGCAACCCGCAATCAGAAACGAGCAGAGAGGAAGAGAATGTACTGTCGGGGGCTGTCAACCAACTTGTAATGTTTCCCTTTTGATTTTAGAAAAACTTGCCAATTGGTGTGGTTAAACATACTTCAGGAAGCAGTGCAAGCTTTTAAAGGCTTCGTTTTCACTACAATCTTATTGTGTGAAATCTTGAAACTCTGTGAACTTTAAAAAAAAATTCCTCGGGCTTAGCTGATGTGTGCTGGGAAGTAGGCGTCTGCTGGACATTTCTGGAATAGAGGGTCGAGCACAGCGTTGTCTCCACGAGACAGTGCGATGCCTGCCCCGCAGTGGACGAGCCCCGGACACTGTCCCCAGTGGGGCTGAGCCCCCTCTTTCTTCTCTCCCATCAGCTGTAAATTCCAGGCCAGTGGCCACCCGCTGTCCCTCAGTGCCCAGGCGTTCCTCTCCGCCCTTCCTCCTGTGCTGGAAGGAGGGCCCCTTCACCCCCGCCAAGCCCCAGGTTCCTCAGCCCTAAAAGAAGAAGGACACGCTGTTCTAAGGATCAGCTGGAATTGCATGTTTCCTTGGGTTGAGCACTAAATAGATACTGTTACCCCTCTTCAGAGCCCCGGCCTCGTGTTAGCTGCCCTTCCCGGGACCAGGCGCGTCGCTGGGGTCCTTGTGGGCCAGGATCTGGGAGCCTGGGGCTTGGAATCTGAAGGAACTAGTTCCAGACCCCAATGGTGAGAGCGCAGTGAGGCAGTCGTGAGGATTCTGTGTCTTCGGCCTGGTCTGGGGGTGGGCGGGGAGGCTGCAGGAGGTGGGCAGTGCTGTCCCCCTGCTAGCGCACTCCCGTCCTGAGAGGGCAGCTCGCCTCATGGCTCTAAGCTCAGCGCCCAACGCTGTGTGCATGGTCGCGCGCTCGTTGTTGATCTGAGGTAATCCAGGAAAAATTTTATTTCCTTATTTTAGAACAAACTCACGATGTTGGACATTGCGTCAAATAGAATCAAAAAGATTGAAAATATCAGCCATCTAACAGAGCTGCAGGAATTCTGGGTAAGTTTAATACACAAGGGGTTGATGACACTTCAGCTGCACTGGTCCTGCCGAGTGAAATACCGTTTACTCCAGCCCTGGAGGCTGTGGCGTGGAATGGGACTGTGGGCAGGGCTGTAGGACTTTGGCACCCACGCGGGATCTCGGGCCCCGCCACGCCCCAGATGTAGACCAAACCAAAATGGGCATTTTAGAAGATTCTGGGTGATTGCGGTTCACGTGAAAGTGTGAGGAGCCCTGCACAGTGTACGGTTAGACCCGAGGATTGCCACATGACTGAAGGGCTTCCAGACCCAGCCAAGGGGCCAGTGCACCCAGCACAGGGGTGTACCGGCACCGCGGAAGGAGGTGTCGCATGGGCTTCTGCTGTCAGTCGTCCCAGAATGTGCCTTGTGTTTGCCTCATGGTGACAGTGTTGTCTCGGGAGCAGTGCCACCGAGCCCAGAGGAAGAGAAACAGGGCATAAGATGTCTTGAGACTCCTCTGAGGGGGTGGCAGGATGACCCCCAAGCTGAAGTCCTCAGTGTCAGGGTTCCACACGGGTGTCCTCCCGAAGCACGTTTGTTGCCTGGTGGCTCCTACAGGCGCCACCACACGCTCCACCCGGTGACTGCCGTCTGCAAAGTGAGCGTCGTCCGGATGCGCTCAGTCTGATCCAAGATTCGTGCTGCGTCTAAGGCGTGCTTCTTCCTTGTCTAGCCATCCTACTGACCCTGCTTGTGTCCTGTGTGCTTTCCTTTCCTCATCTTAAAAGATCGTCCCGGTTTCCCTAGAGTACAGGTGGCCTGCTGTGAGCATGTCCCTTGCCCCTTAGCGGTAGCACTGAGTCTTGGGCGTTGTCAGCACGTGATGCCAGCAAGTCTGGGAAGACCGGAACCAGCCTTTGAGAGGCTGGGGGAGCCGAGCGAGCCACCGTGAGCCGGGGGTCTGGTGTACAGCCCACCCCCGGAGGCAGGTGTGGCTAGTGGTAAGCCGGTTGCATTGGAGCGAAGGGATTTGGCTCCGAAGAGGCCAGGGAACCACACAGAGAAACCGCACAACCAGAAGAGGGGTCCAGAGATGGAGGCTGGGGCTAGGCCAGCACCCAGGGCGCCCAGCAGGGAGACAGCACTAGGTGTGCCCCCACCCCCCGCAAGGTGCTGATATTCACGCCGTGTGTAACCCCTCCCCGTGAGTGTGTGTTGACCTTAGTGACTCACTTCCAGCCGACAGAATGCAGCAGAAAACAGGATTCCACCCCCGTGACGGGGTGATGAAAAGACTGGCTTGTCTCCTAGGGGCTCCCCCTTGCTTTCTCCTGAACCCCAGCTTTGTGTGAAGTAACAGACACCTTCTTTGATGCCAGCAACATACAAGGCACGCGTCCCCTCTGTTGAAGTGATTCTGTTGTGTGAGAAATGTATCTTGGGAATTCTCCCACACCTCAGTTTTGTTTAAAATGTTATTGAATTTGAGGGGAAGTAAATGTAAATTTTCTATATAAACATTAGCCACCAAAAACCATTGTGATGGGAAATGCATACATCCTATGAAGTTTGGGTCTTGAAAACCACGAGATAGTCTGCTGGGGAATGTCAGCCAGGGTGATGTTCTGTAGCAGAATTCCAGTCTGGGATTCAGGCAGGATCATCACCAGACTCTAAAACCGTGGGCGAGCAGGGTGTACGCACATGTGCCAAGTGTCGCCCCGCCGAGAGTTTGCTGATTGCAGAGGGGAGACGCGTTCCCCAGAGTCATCTGGGCACCACCAGTGTGTCCACAGGATCAGACTTATCCCCGGTAGTGGGACAGCCTCATGCCTTGTGTCCCCCGATGTGCTTCATGTATGAAGTGTGCTCACCAGGAATGTTTAGTGTGATGTAACCAAGCATGTAGACCTAACTTCCAGTTGTCAGGAAGTAGAGGGTCCGGGAGAACGAGCTAGGTGACACCACGGGAAGCAGGCGGCTGAATCCAGAACAAGGGTCCTTCTACACGACAAGTAGCTGGGTGTCTTTAAAGGTCGACTTCATATAACAGAAAAAAAATGAGAGGAGGAAGTGGGAAACATTCTAGATGGAAAAAACTAAAAATTGCACCTTCTGGGAGACTCTTTAAGAAGATGGGCGTACCTGGAAGGTCACACTCCACATCACACCTTGCTCCTTTACATCTCAGTTGTGCAGAACTTGAAAAAAGAGACATAAAGGCCTTTTTTTTTTTTTTCCCTCAATGAGGCTTCCAGAGATCCTGGAATTTCTGTGGAGACAATACAGGTGAATGGTTTTGAGTTCCATTTTGGAAAAATACAAAGATAAGAATCTCCGGGGACTTCCCCAGTGGCACAGTGGTTAAGAATCTGCCAGCCAATGCAGGGGACACGGGTTCAAGCCCTGGTCCGGGAAGATGCCACATGCCACGGAGCACCTAAGCCCATGCGCCACAACTACTGAGCCTATGCTAGATCTAGAGCCCATGAGCCACAACTACTGAGCCCACGCGCCACAACTACTTGAAGCCCATGCACCTAGAGCCCATGCTCCACAACAAGAGAAGCCACCGCAATGAGAAGCCCGCACACCACAACAAAGAGTAGCCCCTGCTCGCCACAACTAGAGAAAGCCCCAGCGCAGCAACGAAGACCCAACGCAGCCAAAAATAAATAAATGTATTTAAAAAAGAAAAGAATCTCTGAAAGTTACCTGTGTCAAAGACATCCTTTACAATGTGCCATTGGTGGTGAGTAAACTCCCAGGTCCACATTCACTAAATCCTAGAGGAAACTGCCCTGTGGCTGGCTGTACTGTGGAATACCCTCAACTATAAGACCTGGGGTTTATAAAGACAGTAAGCGCACCACCGGGGACTAACAGGACGGTGGCAGTGGAAATGCCGTGACGTGTGACACAGGAAGCACACAGTGTGTGTCAGCCACAAATGACTCTGTTGAGAAAGACGAGGAGGAGATGGCGGCCCTGCTGGAGCGTCAGCCGCCAGCGGAGTGGGAGACGGTTTCTAAGTAGATTCTGCTGCAAAAAGACCTTACTTCTCCTAAGCGATGTAACATTGCTACTTTTATTAAATGAATGTACTGTTTGCACGTTGCAAGGTAAAAGTGCTTAAGGCATGCGTGTCTTTTTTGTGACTCTCCACTGCAGCGGCCTCTTTCTGGTAACCGAGCAGCTGCAGCCACTGCCACGGGGGATATTGCTTCCCTCTGGTTCTGATTTTGCACACTTTGCGTTGGCCACATGGGCAGCTCATGTTGTACAAGAGGAGGGTCGTAGACTAACGCTTAACAGAGTACTGCTTAAGGCTTTATCCTGGGACAGCTCTTCTCCCTTTGCGGTGGAGGCACCTTGAGTCCTGCTCTGAGTTCCGGGTCCCCGTGACTCCGGGCTCAGAAGCAGGCTTCGGGCCCTCCACAAGGCCGGCCTCTGGGTTTTGGAAATCTGGCTTTCCCAAAGCACGTGGCACACTAGGCCCACGTGAAGTTCTGTGAAAATAGCGTTCCTTAAATAGGCGAGCCTGAGAAGCCCTGCATTGTATACCCTCTGGGAGAATCTAGGAGAATCTCTGTGGGAGATTCATAATGTGCAGTGAGTTATTAAAGACAAGCCTGGCTGTGACAGTGGAGTGGTGCCAGAGTAGCCCTCCCACCATGAACCGACCCCAAGGCCCGAGGCTGCTCCGTGCGGGCAGCGCACAGCAGGCAGCAGCAGGCCACAGGCCCTGAGGACGGGGATGGCACAGTGAGCCCCGGGCTGCCCTGCTCTGCCTAGGACCAGCTTCCTAAGCGGAACACTGCAGTTCTGTGGAGCTGAAGAAGCAGAGGTCAAAGTTCATGGCAGCTGGACTCTTCAGGACAAGGTGTTGGAGAGAAGGCATAGCTGTGCAGAGGAGGGCCCCGGAAGCCCACGTGGGGGTCGCCTGCCAGGCTGTGGCTGAGCGGTGGGCAGTCTGGGCACGAGACCACCCCTCTCGCAGCTCACCCACTAGCTCTGCCGGAGGAGAGCAGAGCTGGGGGACGATGGAGCTCCAGCCCTGCCCAGGTGGGGGTCTCACCAGCACCCTTGACATCCAGCTAGACACCAAACGGGTCAGGCCTTAGGGGTAAGTGCCACAGGCTCAGCTACGACGCCCTCCAGTCCCCCCTAATAAAGCCTAGAAGCAGGCTGCAGCGGTGTGTCCAGAGGAGGCTGCGCTCGGAGCTTGCTTCCCACCAGGTCAGAGGGGCCTGACCTCCTGGAGACCTGCCCTGAAGAAGTGTGGAACCGAGCCTGTGGCTGTCTCTACACCGTCTTAGCCCCGATGTCCAGCGTTCAATTCAAAATCACTAGGTGTACAATAGGAAAATGTGATCTGTATTCAAGGAAGTCGTCCTAAGAAACCAAGCCTAGGTTTTCAGTCACCGTTTGTGAACGTAGCCCTGGACCTGGAGGTGGCTTGCGGTCTCTTGGTCATCACTCCCACCTCCAGGCTGCTCTCACCTTCCCCCCCCGAAGACCCCCACCACACAGCCGCTCTGCAGCTTGGCCGTCATCCTCTCCCTCCCTGGAGACCCTGGTGCTGGGGCAAAACTGGGCCCTTCTCTCAAGAGACTTAATCCAGTGCCTGGTCAGTGCTCGAACCCTCTGCAGTGTCCCCACCAAGTGGCAGTGGATGGGACGGTCAAGGGCCTCGGCTTCTTCACCTCCCACACATGGACAGATGTCATACCTTCTCTGAGTGGGGCTGCTGCCGTGTGACCTCGGCCACCCCGCTTCTGCCCTCGCAGGTTCTGAGGGAACAGGTCTGCCCTTCCCACCACCATGTGCATGGCGGGCCCCGGGCCTGGTGTCTCTTGAAGCGTGATTTCTAGAACTGGGTGTGGCCGGAGCCAGGGGGTGAGGGCAGCAGGTGCGGGGCATGCACTCAGGGCAGCTTCCCCGCCCACCCTGCACACCCAGCCCTGTCAGCTGTCAGCTCACGGGCGGCGACACACTGGAGCCTCTGCCATGCACCTCTCTTCCCAGTGCTACGGTCAGCATGAGGTCAGCCACAGAAGCTGGCAGACACGACACGTCAGGGCTCTTCAGCTTTCCTGGGAGCCGGTTACTGAGCGTTTGCTGGCGCAGCACAGCCGGGAGCCATGACGGTGATGTCCCCACGGGTGCCGCCTGAGCCTCCTGCCCTCGCCCTTCACTCCGGCCATCCAGGACACGTCTCACGTTCACAGAGGCAGTTCTCTAGTTTGTGTTCACTTGGCCGTCTGCCGTATTCTTTGGAAACTGAAGACTGGTCTCTTGGAGCCCCAGCAGAAGGGCCACGACATCCACGCGACAGGTGTGGACCAAGCTGGGTGACGGGTGCTCCAACCCAGAGGCTCTACGTGCCCTCACCTTGATGGTGGTTTGAAAAGTGAGAGGTCTCCCCACCCACCAACCCCAGCCCCGCGGGCCTCAGCAGAGCCGGGAAGGGGCCTCCTGACCTGCTCTGAGCCCGTCCTCCTGACGTGGTGCATCCTGGACGGGATCAGCCGTGGTGCAGCATTTCTGCCACAGAGGCGGGCGGTGGGTGTCCCGGGGGTGCACGCCATCAAGGCCCCTCGTGCCCTGAGTGTCCGGCGAGCGACCTCTGGTCTGTTGTCCATGTTGTCATCAGAGCGCATAGTCAGGCCTTGGGGACAATGGCCGAGGATGGTTTGTAGGAAATACAGCCGAACCGGCTGCAGCACTTTGCCTGGAGACAGGGTGGGGTGGGGTGGGGTAGGATTGCTCCGTCTCCCCTCTGCTGAACTGAACATGGATTTGCCCCTGTCGTGGCACCGTGTCCAGGTTCATCCCATATGGGACGCGGCCCGGCCAGGATGTGCCGTGATGGATGGAAGGCCCTGTGAGGTGCTGGTCACCCCTCTTTTGAGTGGGGGCCTCGTGGCCCACGTTGGGAGGCTGGGGGGCCGGGTTGGTGTGACCTGAAGGGGGCGGGGCAGGGCTGTCGTTTTCTGAAGGGGGGCGCGGTGCGGGGCTGTAGCACCCTAAGGCTTCTCCGATGTGCGCGTGTTCCCCCAGATGAACGACAACCTCCTGGACTGCTGGAGTGACCTGGACGAGCTCAAGGGCGCCAAGAGCCTGGAGACGGTGTACCTGGAGCGGAACCCCCTGCAGAAGGACCCCCAGTACCGGCGGAAGATCATGCTGGCCCTCCCCACCGTGCGGCAGATCGATGCCACCTTCGTCAGGTTCTGAAGCTCCCGGCCCCTCTCTTCCAAGAGCCTCCCAGCCACGGTTTTTAGTCCACCCGTTGCTCCTAAATGATCGCTCTATCAACAACGGTCACAAACCCAATGGCAATAAAAAGGCACTGAGTGAAAGCTGCCGTGTGCGGTGCCGCTCGCCACCTGGACACCAGTGCTGTCACCTCCGGCCGGTACGCATTCCGAGTTAGTGGCCCACAGCCCCGCACCACCCGTGGTGCTGCTCGCGACCCGTCTCCGTTTCCTCCTCTCGGAGGTCACGGCCCGCCTGAGAGGGTGAAACGGCAGGTCTGGGAGCGCATGCCCGGGGGGTGTCCGGGCCGTCCAGGGGCCCTCTGGCCTGTCGGCCCAGAGCTTCATAGCCTCCTAGACCAGTTGATGCCAATTTTTTTATTTTATTTTATATATTAAAAAACAAACCTGCAGGCAAAGGATGACTCAGCCCTGTGTGCCATGACCCCCAGCGCTCTCTTAAAGAGCAGTGGCCGCCCGCCAGGCCTTGCTGGCTGCCTTCCGGGCACGCCCGTTGGTCCCCCACAGCCCTCGGGGCAGGAGGGGCCGCCTCCCGCGCACACTGTGCTGTGTGCTGGTGGGTCTGAGCCCACCTGAGCCTCTGCGAGGACTGTCTCTAGAGAGCTGCCCTCGTGGCTGCTCGAGTACTGCTTCCCTTCTTACCCCACCGTTGTGTTGGCTTGTTCTTTACAAAGCTTACATTGACACGCGCCCTGAATGCTACAAGGACCTTGTCATCTCTTGGGGCCCTGGATTTTCCCTTCTGCAGAATGAGGACCAAATCTCAGGGTCCCTAGGGTTCCTCCTTCTTCCAAGACTCAAGCTGCGCTGTCCAGTGTGGGCCCCCTCGTGCCACACGTGGCTGCGTCAGTTCAAGTTTAAATTTGTTAAAATGAAATTAAAAATTCATGTCCTCCGCTGCACTTGCCACACCATAGCCACATCTCACCGGGGCAGCCCGTCTCCGTGGTCACAGAAAGTCCTACTGGACAGCACTGCTCTGGAGCCTGTCACACAGCCTGGGCAGCCGTGTGGGGGGCCAGGAGCTCGGGGGTGACCGCCTGCTGGGGTGGCCTGAGGGTGAGGTCACGTCCAAGTCCTGACTCAAATCTTCGCCAGAATCGATTGTGTGACGTGCATCTGTGAGCATCTCCCTGTTGAAGAGTGAACTCTTGGAAAGGAAGGCAGGGTTAGGTAGGACCTGGCCCCAGAGAGCCCTTGCGTTGCGACCCTAGAATTCTGCCCTTGGCCAGACACTAGCTGAGGACAAAAGAAAGCCATTTTAGAAACACAGGGTTTCAGGATTTGAGTGCCCTTGCTGGAAGGATTATGTGGAGGAGTCCACCCACACGAACAGTGAATCCAAATAAGGAATGAAGGAAGGGAAAGACAGGGTTTGGCAGCAGTACCAAAACCAGCAAAATTTGGTTTAAAAGTACGTACTCGACTGGTTGGTGAGGTCTTTTCTTTGTAAATGCTAGGACGGTTCCTGACAAGACACAAAACTTGCCCCTGAAAAACCATGAGTGACCCGAACCGCATGGCTATTGTTTTTTTAAATCGAGGTAAGACCGTGGCAAGTGCAAGTAGAGACTGCGCAGGCTTTCACTTTGGTGTGGAAGAGGGAGCGAGAGCTTAGAGAGTTTGTGGGAAGATGTAAGTTTAGAGCAGCCGCTCGTAGATATAAATTATCCAACATCCAACTCACAAGTAGGAAAAAAACCCAAAAAGCTTCAAGCAAAGAGGACACTGGAGAAAAAGGCTCAAGGAGGCGCCACAGATAGACGTGCAGATGGGGTCAGAGCCCGTCCGTCCCCGTCTCGGGTCACAAATCCAAGTCCAGCACCTGCTCTTTAATAGACACTTTCAAAATTATACAAAAAAAGTAGAAGGGATGGGAAAGCTCTGCTAAATCCAGCACAGTCCTAATCAGAATGACATTTGATTTTTTAAGAACCTTAAACTCTAAAATTTATATGGAAGAAAAGATCCACATTGAACCTTGAAACTTTAAAAAAGTTTAGTCACCTTTGAAAATGAGTCAAAAGCAGTGATTTCCTTCCAGATTATAAAAAATCGGGGGGAAAACAAAAAAGCTACAAACCCACCGTAGAAACACTGCCAACACTGTAGAAATACAGCCGGCCGCACAGACCCTCGGACAGGCTCGGTGCTGGTGGGGGCGCCTGTGGGTCCCTGGACGAGAGGCCTGTGTCCTGGGCGGGGCTGGCAGAGGAGCACCGTTTGTGGGAAAAGGGACACTGACCCAGCCTAACTTCGTACGCAGGCCGACCTGAGGATTAAAAGTCTCCATGGGAAAGAATCGCAAACCAGTAGAAAGAACGGTGGGAAAATACATTTGTGAGCTGGGAGTGCAGAAAAGCTTCTTAATCCCCGAAGCACAGCCGTAAGACAAGGTTTTGATGGGTTAGTTTACATAAAGTAAAAATTCCTGTGGGGCAAAGGACACCATGAATAGACCACTGAGAGCAGACTGAGAGACGTGTGCTCAGAGTTTAGAACTGGCAAAGGGCCTGATGCTTAGATGTAAAGGACTCCTGCAAACCAGAGGAAGGAGAATCCGGATAGAAACATGGGCTCAGGACAATCAGGCAGCTCAGAGAAGAGGGCAGGGAGCCGATCCGCTACAGTGCGGGGTTGCCATGGGGGAAGAGGGGGCACGGACTGGGGCGTCGACATCGGGAGTTGTCCCCTCCTGGCCGGCAGGGCACTGCACGCAGGCCCCGGGCACAGCGGTGGCTGAGTCCAGGCTGGGCCTTCGGCTATGGTAAATGCTCCTCAGTGGGGAGGAGCCCACAGCGCCCTTGCTGGGAAACCACAGGAGGCCACAGCCACGTGGACTGCACGTCCATCACAGAGGGATGCGTCCGAGTAGGAGGGTTCCCACAACAGGGACGGAGTGGACGAGGGGATAAAGTGAGGCCCGAGTCCCTGCTGAGAGCACCCCGTGAACGGAGGGTGGTGAGCACCAGCCGCCTCACCAGGGCCTCTGCAGCGTGACCACGCCGACGGTAAGCCAGGGGGAGGGGGGGTGACGACGCCGACGGTAAGCCAGGGGAAGGAGGGGGGGTGACGACGCCGACGGTAAGCCAGGGGGAGGGGGTTGACGACGCCGATGGTAAGCCAGGGGAAGGAGGCAGCTTCCGTGGGGGATCTGACCTTCGTCCCTCAGCAGGCACTTGGCACCTGCTCCGTGCCAGCCCCTCTCTTGGGCACCTGGGAGACATCGCGACAGAGGTTTTTAAATTCCTGCCCTTGTGAACTTCACATACAGTGGCTATAGATTAAACAATAACCGTAATAAGACAGTTACGTAGTTGGAAGGTGACCCGTGCTTTGGAAGAAAGCAGAGCGTTTTGGACAGGCTCGCTGAGGAGTCATTTAACAGGAGGAGTGGGTGACCCTGAAGAGAAGACCAGCACTGGGGAGGGGGCGGGGACCTGAGAAGGGGCGGCAGAGGTGGGGAGGGGGCGGGGACCTGAGAAGGGGCGGCAGAGGTGGGGAGGGGCAGAGAGTGAAGCCGTAGCCAGAGCAGCCTGGAAGGAGGTGGGGTGAGGGCGAAGGAGCCCTGAGAACCCCCAGCTCTGGGCTTGGGGTACTTGGCAGGAAGAACCAGGGGGGATGGGGAGTCGGGGTAGGGACCCAGGGGGGCCGAAGGAGAGATAGGGGTCGGGGGGCAGGGGACAGGCATGCAGACGCACTGGACCGGGGTGAAGGCTGCGGGGATGGAAGTGCCCTGTGCTGCCAGAGACAAGCAGGCAGGACGGCGGCAGATGGCTGGTGAGCAGGCTGGGAGGCTGCCTGGAGGAGGGTGCTCCTTTTGTGCAAGGAGAAGGTTTGGGGGAAGCGGGGGAGGGTCCTGGGGGCAGGGAGCACGCTGTGCAAGCGAGGTAGCTCGTCCGGGCACAGGAAGCCTTGAGCATCCGTGGTCCACCCCTCAGGCTCTGTGCAGAGCAGGCAAGTGTCAGGAGGACGGAGTCCTTCCCAGCTAGCAGTCACTACAGTGGGCACTCACCTCAGTGGTTTCACCCAGACCAGCAATGTGTCCACCCCCAAGGATGAGGTGCATTTGTTCCAAACCACCTTTCCAGACTGCCTCATGGCCGAGGGTGGCCTGAGACTCGTGCTTAGCTGACGACGCCTGCTTTCCCGAGAAGAAGGGCAGGTGCAGCTAGCATAGTACCTTGAATGTGGACTCGGTGGCTGGACCTGCCACAGCAATCCTGCAGCCACAGGCAAGGGCTCTGGCCCTGACACCTTGAGCCACTGAACCCCCCCAGGTGCCAGCACCTCCCTACTTATGAGGTGAGGAAGAAAACCTTTTGGGTTAAGCCACACAAAGGTCTGGTGTCAAAGCCACAGTAGTTGGAGGCTTAGCTTTTTTTAACTAATGTATTTCTGAATATTATATAAACATATATTAAAAGTTATGGTCAAATAAAGCTAGTATAGCAGCGGCTCCTGGGCCTGGGCCCTTCCTAGCACCTGGGACCCAGCAATACAGCCGTGCTAATTGTAGCTTGCTTGCTTGCTTAAATTTTTTTTAATAATATATTTTTATTTTTTATTAATAGACTATTTTTTAGAAGTTTATTTATTTTAATAAATTTATTTATTTTTGGCTGTGTTGGGTCTTCATTGCTGCACGCGGGCTTTCTCTAGTTGCGGCGAGCAGGGGCTACTCTTTGTTGCGGTGCGCGGGCTTCTCATTGCAGTGGCTTCTCTTGTTGTGGAGCACGGGCTCTAGTCGTGCTGGCTCAGTAGTTGTGGCTCGCGGGCTCCAGAGCACAGGCTCAGTAGGTGTGGCGCACGGACTTAGTTGCTCCGCGGCATGTGGGATCTTCCCAGACCAGGGCTCGAACCTGTGTCCCCTGCATTGGCAGGCGGATTCTTAACCACTGTGCCACTGGAAGGAGGTGGGGTGAGGGCGAAGGAGCCCTGAGAACCCCCAGCTCTGGGCTTGGGGTACTTGGCAGGAAGAACCAGGGGGGATGGGGAGTCGGGGTAGGGACCCAGGGGGGCCGAAGGAGAGATAGGGGTCGGGGGGCAGGGGACAGGCATGCAGACGCACTGGACCGGGGTGAAGGCTGCGGGGATGGAAGTGCCCTGTGCTGCCAGAGACAAGCAGGCAGGACGGCGGCAGATGGCTGGTGAGCAGGCTGGGAGGCTGCCTGGAGGAGGGTGCTCCTTTTGTGCAAGGAGAAGGTTTGGGGGAAGCGGGGGAGGGTCCTGGGGGCAGGGAGCACGCTGTGCAAGCGAGGTAGCTCGTCCGGGCACAGGAAGCCTTGAGCATCCGTGGTCCACCCCTCAGGCTCTGTGCAGAGCAGGCAAGTGTCAGGAGGACGGAGTCCTTCCCAGCTAGCAGTCACTACAGTGGGCACTCACCTCAGTGGTTTCACCCAGACCAGCAATGTGTCCACCCCCAAGGATGAGGTGCATTTGTTCCAAACCACCTTTCCAGACTGCCTCATGGCCGAGGGTGGCCTGAGACTCGTGCTTAGCTGACGACGCCTGCTTTCCCGAGAAGAAGGGCAGGTGCAGCTAGCATAGTACCTTGAATGTGGACTCGGTGGCTGGACCTGCCACAGCAATCCTGCAGCCACAGGCAAGGGCTCTGGCCCTGACACCTTGAGCCACTGAACCCCCCCAGGTGCCAGCACCTCCCTACTTATGAGGTGAGGAAGAAAACCTTTTGGGTTAAGCCACACAAAGGTCTGGTGTCAAAGCCACAGTAGTTGGAGGCTTAGCTTTTTTTAACTAATGTATTTCTGAATATTATATAAACATATATTAAAAGTTATGGTCAAATAAAGCTAGTATAGCAGCGGCTCCTGGGCCTGGGCCCTTCCTAGCACCTGGGACCCAGCAATACAGCCGTGCTAATTGTAGCTTGCTTGCTTGCTTAAATTTTTTTTAATAATATATTTTTATTTTTTATTAATAGACTATTTTTTAGAAGTTTATTTATTTTAATAAATTTATTTATTTTTGGCTGTGTTGGGTCTTCATTGCTGCACGCGGGCTTTCTCTAGTTGCGGCGAGCAGGGGCTACTCTTTGTTGCGGTGCGCGGGCTTCTCATTGCAGTGGCTTCTCTTGTTGTGGAGCACGGGCTCTAGTCGTGCTGGCTCAGTAGTTGTGGCTCGCGGGCTCCAGAGCACAGGCTCAGTAGGTGTGGCGCACGGACTTAGTTGCTCCGCGGCATGTGGGATCTTCCCAGACCAGGGCTCGAACCTGTGTCCCCTGCATTGGCAGGCGGATTCTTAACCACTGTGCCACCAGGGAAGCCCTAATTTTTTTTTTTTTAAATGCAACCTGAAAAAATTTCAAACCATAATACATTGTATAAAGTGAAAAGTAAAAGATTATACGCAGGGCATGTGTGCCTTTGTACGCGCCTGTGTCCCTCTGAGGGCTCCAGCTGAGCTGTGCACTCGCCTCCAGCAACCTGCTGCCACTGCTCTTCTTGAGCAGCCAGTGCTGGGGCCACCAGAGCTGCTGTGCCACCGACAGCGGAGAGCCTGGGACCCTGCGGGTTGGTCTCTTCTGGGACCGTCCTTCGCAGCGGTAGCCAGAGGAGAGTGTCCAGCGGCCTAGGCTGGGGAGCTTGGCCAAGCCCTCCTGCCACAAGCCCCGCAGGGTCAGCCTGAGGCTGCCCTCTGCCAGGATTTCTCCTCCTCGACTGCGTGCCTCCCGGTCCTGTCCTGGGTGCCAAGGTCAGGGGCTCCAGCCAGGATAAGGGTCAGACTCAGGGATTTCCACAGGCAGCCAAGGGCACGAGGGGAATGGCCATGGGGGCAGGGCCGTGAGGACAGGGTCCCTCCCAGCTCTCTGTCCTCAGGGCTGACCCAGACTTGGCTGCCAGACCAGGCTGGTGCTGGAATGTTGGCCATGACCTCGGAGGCCTCTTCCGGAAGCCGCTGTGCCAGGTGGGAGCCCGTTCTGCCATGAATGGGTCGCCAGAGGAAGGGGGTAGACGGACCCAGGGAGGCTGGACAAACACCTGGCCCGTCAGGGCTCCACAGGCCCCTGGGCCTGGCGCGGCATCTCCTCCAGGCCCTCGGGGGTGAGAAGGGCCAGGTGCTCCGTGTGGCTTCGGTGGTGGGACCCCAGCCCAGGTTGCCCACCTGCCCGCTGGACGCACCGCAGAGCAGCTCACTTCGGGCGGGGCCTTGGCAGGTGGGGCGGCCTCGGTCGGTCCCTGTGCCCCCGGCGCAGACCGCGGACAAACACCCCGCCCCAGCCCTCGCGCTCGCCACAGCGGGGCATCTGGGCCTGGTGCGGGCTCCCATCTGCTCCTCCAGGCCTCGGGCTCTCTGGACTAAATGGCAGCTGCCCCAGCCCCCGTAGCTCCTCCCTCGCACCGTCCCAGCCACCAGCAGCCCTCCCGGCCGCAGACCTCCCCTCGCTCTCTGCCCCGCTCTGCCGACCCGGCAGCCGCAACAGTGGTGTCCGTCCTCCCCGCACAGGGATCCAGGCGCCGGCAGGAAGGACGCAGGGTCAACATGGCCAGACGGCCCTCCCCGCTGGCCCAGGATCCCCGAGGAGGAGCCGCGGCCCTGTCTCTATTAACGGGTGGTCTGTTCCCCCTGCAGGCAGGCGGGGGGGTCTGCACTCCAAGCCCACCCTCGGGCCTTCCCAGGCCCTGCCACACGGAGGGGGAGGCAGGCACTCCCTGGGCAGGTGGGCAGACAGACAGCTGGGGGGCCAGCCTCCCTGTGCTCCCCGTCTCCCTGGTCTGGAGCAGGGGCCCAATCTAGGGCGACTTCTTCTGCTCCCGGGCCGGACCCAGCCCTGCTCCAAGCCCCGTCCTCCCCTCTGAAGTGCGGACTGTGCGGTGAGACAGGGACCGGGCCCCACGTGCCCCTCCTACCCCACCCGTCCCCACCCCGGGCCTGGCCCTGGCGGGATGCAAGAGCGGGATGCTGCACAGACGGGCCCGGGAAGAGGACAGTGCCGTCCTGATCGACGTGGCCGCCGGGGCAGAGAAGGGGGACTCTCACGGGAGCACAGCCAATGCCTCGGAGGTAACCCCTCCCCTCCTCCCCTCCCCGGGTACAGGCTCGGTCTGCTCTAGGGTTAGGAGGTGGACGCAGGGACCCGGGAGACAATGGCCCCAGGCCCTTGGTGGGGCGGATGCATGCCAACTGTGTCTTCCCTCCTGCGTCCCCCAGCGACACCCAAACCCTCACCTGCCCCAGCGAAGGGAAGAGGGAGGTGCCCTTAACCCTGAGGGATGAGCAGACACCCCTCAGAACAGGCTGAGCGGGGCCGGGTGGGGCCCCCGGCGAAGGGGGAAGGAAGGGGACACAGAGCAACACACCAGGGTGACGCGGTTGCCTAAAAACAGAGCCGTGAGCACAGCAGACGTGGCCAGTGTTGGGTCTGGGTAGAGACTGTGGGTGCTTGTTGGGTTGTGTCTGCTTCATTCTGCATCTGCCAATTTATCAGAACACAGAAGTGACGGGGAGAGAAGGCCCTAACCCCCCAGAGGGCGGAGATGGGCTTTAGAATTAGCGTCAGGGTCAGAGCGTGGGTAAGCTTCAGATGGGTTAGGTGAGGGTGAGGCTCGGAGCTCTGTACGGTGACGTTATTGATAGGGTGGGTTTTCGGTTAAGGTTAGGGTTAGGGTTAGGATCAAAATTAGTGACGGGGTTCAGGTTAGGTCACCTTGGGCCCAGGGGAGTACAGATGCTTTTGATAAAGTGTGCTGGGGTGAGAACACCCGGCCCCACCTTGTCTTAGGTTCCAGCCGACCCCCGGGGCCCAGGTCAGCCACTCTGTGAGGCCCCAAGGATCCTGAGGGCCTCAGCCTGGCCTCAGGCTCACTCATGTTCAAGCTTTGTCCCCTGGGTCAAACCTGGAGAACACACCTCCTGGGGCCTGCAGGAGACTCCCTATGGGCAGCCTGTTGTGGGCCTCCTTTGGCCATCTCTAGGGTTTCCACCCCTGTCCCTGGGGGGCCACAGACACCCCAAGTGAGGCTGTTGGGGAAGATTCCGGGTCCCAGACCCGGGAGTCCCCGCCAGGGAGGTTCCTCTTCCCTGGTCCTCCGGGGCCTCGAGCCTCCGGCTGCTGTGGCCTGAGAGTGGACACAGGTGCCTCCCTTCCTGCTGCCCCAAAACATAGCCTCAGGGGAAACACTCACCTGGAACATCTAGAAACGCAGAAGCATTCCACCCTCTGGGCGCCGTGACCACCTCTGGCCTATCCGAAGGGCACTTAGGGGCCATCCAGCTCTTCTCCAGCCTCTGGAGGCCAGCACGGTGGGCGCCCCGGGTCCTGCCCGTGCTGCCCACAGCCCAGGTGCTCCGTGGCCCGTGGAAGCCCCCAGAGAGGCTTGAGAGGCCCGGGGCTGGCCTCACCCCCGGATGCACGTGTGTGTGAGCCCCTCTGGCCACCTGGTCAGAGGCTGCCATTCCTCCCACTTCCTTCCCTCCAGCTGGACGTCAGGCAGCCACCGGCAGGGTGGGAAGCCCCACCAAGCCCTGGGTCGGTGAGCCCCTCCCAGCATCTGCCAGCCGTGCCTATGTTGGTACCGGGGCTGGGGACACAGAAGGGGCGCCCAGGGGTGGCAGCGGGAGGACGGGGCCCAGGCCACCGTCCTCAGGAACCAGGCCTCCCCTCCCTCGCCCAGCACCATCTCCGGAGCCAGCTGTGGTGCCAGCCGCTGTGCTGGAGGGTGGGGTGAACAGCACACAGCAGGAAGGGGGTCCCTACTGATGAGGGGAGCTGGAGAGGGCTCGGGGGCAGAGCGGTCGGCCGTCTCCCTCCTGCTCTGGCCTCGGGGCCAACTCCAAGTCACCTCAGACTCTGCTCTCTTGCGCCCCACACTTTCTCTACCTTCAAAGTGGATCGGATCCATTTCTCCTCACTCCCCACCCCGCGGCTCCTGTCTGCCCCGAGCCACCGTAATCTCCCCAGAGTTCTGCACCAGTGCCCACCTGCCAGCCCTGCTCTCCACGCAGCACCGGAAAGACCCGTGCTAAAAGGAGATGCCCTGACCTCGCACCCGTTAGAATGGTTGAACGACAGCAAAGAAACAGAAAACAAGTGCCGGGGAGGACGTGGAGAAACTGGAACCCTCGTGCACTGCCGCCGGGAAGGTGAAACGGCACGGCTGCGGTGGAGAACGGTATAGCGGTTCCTCAAAAAATTAAGCACAGAATTACCGTATGGCCGTCATGGCAGGCTTGCTGAAGAAGACCACTGGCCTTGTGGGACTGGCTGTATGTGAGAGTCCACACGAGAGGCTAAAAATATTGTATACAAAGATTCTTGGACAAATCCCTAAAAACGCAGCATACCGAAAGTATACAGAACAGATTACAACTGAGAAGCTGAGTACGGTTAAAGCGGAACCAGATGTTAAAAAATTAGAAGAGCAACTTCAGGGAGGCCAAATAGAAGAGGTGATTCTTCAGGCTGAAAATGAACTAAGTCTGGCAAGAAAAATGTTGCAATGGAAACCAGGGGAGCCTTTAGTGGAAGAGCCTCTTGCCAACCAATGGAAGTGGCCAATATAAACATCACTAAATGACTTATGTGTTTATGGGAAACTGATGTAATTAAATATTCTGTTATATTAAAAATATTTCCACATTATTGACATCTTATAATCAAGAAAACTGATACAGACCATATATAGGAGACTTGATGAAATTGCTGATTATGTAATAGGGACTTGTGAATCGGGTTTTGATTTGTAGAGCATTCATTCAAATTATTTCAAAAACATTTTTTAAAACAGAAAAAAAAAAAAAGAATTACCGTATGATCCAGCAATCCCACTTCTAAGTTTATACCCAAAAGAAGTGATGACAAACATTTGCGTTGTTTCCATGTTGGGGGTTATTGTGATTAATGCAGCAATGAGATCACGTACAAGATTTTGTGTTAATGTAAGTGTTCATTGGGGGTGCGGGGGCGTATACCACTGAGTGGAATTTCCAGGTCATATGGTAACTCGATGTTTAACATTTTGAGGAACCGTCAAACTGTTTTCCAACGTGACCCCCATTTTACAAACCACCAGCAATGAATGAGGTTCCAATTTCTCCACATTCTATCCAACACCTCTTATTGTCTGTCTTGGTATTATAGTTGTCCGAGTGGCTCTTGGGTGCCATCTCACTGTGGGTTTGATTTGTATTCCCCTAACGACTGGTGATACTGAGCATGTTTTCATAGGCTTATTGCCAATCTGTATATCTTCTTTAGAGAAATGTCTATTCAAAATCTTTGCCCATTTAAAAATTGGGTTGTGGGACTTCCCTGGTGGCACAGTGGTTAGGAATCCGCCTGCCAATGCAAGGGACACGGGTTCGAGCCCTGCTCCGGGAAGATCCCACGTGCCGCGGAGCAACTAAGCCCGTGCACCACAACTACTGAGCCTGCGCTCTAGAGCCCTCGAGCCACAACTACTGAGCCCACGTGCCACAACTACTGAAGCCTGTGCTCTGCAACAAGAGAAGCCACCGCACTGAGAAGCCCACGCACCGCAACTTAGAGTAGCCCCCGCTCACAGCGACTAGAGAAAGCCCGCGTGCAGCAACGAAGACCCAGCACAGCCAAAAATAAATAAATAAATAAATATATTAATTTTTTTTTAAAAATTGGGTTGTTTGTCTTTTTATCATTGAATTGTAAAAGTTCTCTTATGTTCTGGGTACAAGTCCTTTACCAGATACATGATTTGCATATACACATTTTTTCTCTCAGTCTATGGGTTGCCTTTTTCACTTTCCTAATGATGTGCTTTGAAGCAGATAGGCCTTTAATTTTGATGAAGACCATCTTACCAATCTTCTCTTTTATTGCCTTGCTTTTGGTGTCGTATCTAAGAAATCATTGCCTAAACCAGGTCATTAAGACTTACAACTATGTTTTTTCCTAAAAAGTTTTATCATTTTAGTCCTTATACTTAGGTCTGGGGAATTCCCTGGCAGTCTAGCGGTTAGGACAGTGCGCTCTCACTTCCAAGGGCCTGGGTTCAATCCCTGTTTGGGGAACTGAGATCCCACAAGCTGCGTGGTGTGGCCAAAAAAAACCCGAGAACAAAACAAAAAAGAACTTTAGGGCTGTGATCTTTAACTTATTATCTTTTTTTTTTTACACACACACACACTTATGTAGATCTTTAACTTATTATCTTTTTTTTTACACACACACACTTATGTAGATCTTTAACTTATCTTTTTTTACACACACACACTTATGTAGATCTTTAACTTTTATTATCTTTTCTTTTTTACACACACACACTTATGTAGATGTTTTAAAAGTAGATTTCTGCTATTGTTTTTTGTTCTTCACAAAATTTTAGAAAGCTTTTCACATCAGTACATATAAACACATCCCATTCTTTTTTTAAAATTGGGGTATAGATATTTTATTAATTTACCATCTTAACTCCACTTTGAGTTAATTTTTGTAAATGGTGTGAAGTAGGGGTCCAAATTCATTCTTTTGCTTGTGAAAATTCACTTGTCCCAGCAACATTTGTTGAAGTCACTATTCTTTTCCCATTGAATTGTTGACCTCTTTGTTTTAAAAACTGATAATAAAATATATGGGTTTATTTTCGAAATCTCAAATATATTCCGTTGATCTATATGTCTGTCCTTATGCTGGTGCCACTCTGTCTTGATTATCCTATCTTTTTTTTTTTTTTTTTTGCAGTACGCGGGCCTCTCACTGTTGTGGCCTCTCCTGTTGCGGAGCACAGGCTCCAGACGCACAGGCTCAGCGGCCATGGCTCACGGGCCCAGCCGCTCCACAGCATGTAGGATCTTCCCAGACCGGGTCACAAACCCGCGTCCCCTGCATCGGCAGGCGGACTCTCAACCACTGCGCCACCAGGGAAGCCCTTATCCTATCTTTGTAGTGAGTATTGAAATAAAAAATTGTGAGTCCTAAAATTTTGTTCTCCTTTTTCTACATTGTTTTGGCTAATCTGGGTCTCACGTGTTTCCATATGAATTTTAAACTTGTCAATTTCTGCAAAAAAAAAAAGTCAGCTAAGATTTTGATAGGGACTCTGTTGAATCTGTAGGTCAATCTGGGGAGTACTGCTGTCTTCACAATGTTAAGTCCTCTCATTCATGCACATGGGATATTTTTGCGTTTATCTAGTTAGTGCTTCTTCAACTTATTTCAACAATATTTGGTACTTTGCAGTGTGTACATCTTACACTTTTTTTGCTGTTAAATTTGTTCAGGTTCTTTGGGGGGAGCTGTTATAAATGGATTGTTTTTCTTTGTTTTATTTTCAGCTTGCTTGTTGCTAGTGTATAGAAATACAGTTGTTTTGTGTGTTAATTTTGTATCCTGCAAACTTGCCAAACCTGTTATTAGTTCTAATAGTGTTTGTAGTGGCTTCTTTGGGATTTTCTATACACAAGATCATGCCATCTGTAAACAGAGAGAGTTTTACTTTTACATTTACCTGTTTATTTATCCTCTTGGTCTGTTCATTCGTTCTTGCATATCTGCACTTCCACCTGAGAGTATTCCCTTTAGTATTTACTGTAGAGCATGTGTCTGGGACTAAATCTCTCAGATTTTGATCATCTGAGAATATCTTCACTTAACCTTCATTTCTGAAGAACATTTCGACTGGATAAAGAATTTTAGTTTGCAGTATTTCCCCACCCTTTAAAGATGTCGTTCCATTGTCTTTGGCCTCCGTTGTTTCAGTTGAGGAATCATGTGCCTGTTTTATTATTTTCCCCTGAAAAAAACATGGTTTTCTTTCTCGCTGCTTTTAAGATTTCTCTTTATCTTTAATACAGCAGAGCTATGCTGCACAATGATTTTCCTAGTTTTTAAATCCTGTTTGGAGCTCACTGAGCTTTTTGAACCTTTGAACTGATTTATTTCATCAGATTTGGAAATTCTTGAACATTCTTGTTCAAAGATTGCTTCTTTCCTACTCTCTCCTGGTTCTCAGATTACAGTCTGTTGGGCCTTTGACCATGACCCCATCCTTCTTGTACCCTGCTCTGTTCTTGCCATTCTTTTTGCTCTGAACTTCACTTTTTCTACTGGTCTCTCCTTACGTTCAGCAATCCTGTCTTCTGTTGAGTCTAGTCTCCTATTAAACACATCCAATGAGTTCTTCATTTCATATGCTGTGTTTTGCTATTTTATTTCTTATTTTTGGCTGCACCACGCGGCATGTGGGATCTTATTAGTTCCCCAACCAAGGACCGAACTAGCACCCCCTGCAGCGGAAGCATGGAGTCTTAACCACTGGACCGCCAGGGCAGCCTCTGCTTTGCTATCTTGGCGCGTGCATTTGATCCTTTCCACAGATTCTAATTCTCTCTCAAAGCAGTCCAGTTGTTCATCAGACTACTTTGTCCATTCTTTACCCTTTTTTTCTCTTTTAACTTAATAACCACCATTATTTTGCGCCTTTTCTGCTAATAGCTCCACTGTGTGGTTCACCTCTGGGTCTCTGTTGACTCTGTCACCCTCCTGTACAGTGTTGAGCTTTGTTCTGGCAGGTGGTCCAGTTACTGGCAGGTCACCTTGATGGGCCTGAGCTTGGTTTCAGGTGTCAGCTCTGCGCTCATCCCGCAGGTGCAGAGTCCTCACCCCTGTGCTGTCGCCCAGGAGGCTCAGCTGGGAAGCCAGAGGGGCCGACAGGCTCCCTCCTCCCTGTGTGGCTGGAGCTCCAGCACTGTGCTTCCTGAGTCTCTGTTAGCCATCAGCCTGCAGCAGCCACCTCTGGGCGTGAACGAGTCAGCAGCTCCAGGGACCCCCGGATCTCCTCACAGACCTGTGTCTCCGTCCTCTCCACATAGCACCCCTCAAGCCCAAGGCCCCTTAGCAGCCCCGGATTCTGACCTCCCTCTGGGCTCTGTGGCCCTGCCCTGCATTAGGGAGAGAGATGAAGCGAATGCTTCCCTTCTCTCGAGGGCCTTAGCCCGGCATCCACTGCTTCCTATGCTTTGCCCAGCTTTTACAGTCTCTATGGCAGGGAGCTAAGGCTGATGTGACTCACACTCAGAGTCCTTCAAGACCCACATAGACTCCTGAGGAGTTTGGGGCTCACTCTGCAGGGATGGGGGCCACAGAGGAGCCAGAGGGCAGACCCCAGCCCCTCTCCAGGGCTCAGCTTCCCCCGTGGTCCAATGCAGGGCTGTCCCAAAAGCTCTCCTGAGCCCTCCCACCCCAGCAAGGACCAGGGAGGGCCTGGGAAGGAGACACAGAGGAGCAGGCCAAGCGGCCGGTGCCCAGATCCTACTGCCCACCGGGAGCCTGGGCGTCCCGTACCTGTGGGCCAGGTACGTCGGGTAGCTGGGGAGCCCCAGGCTCAGCGTTCGTTCAGTGACCTTGCCCCACGAGACCTGAGGGCATGGTGTCCCGAGCCTTGGAACAAATCAAGCCCCAAAGTCCTGCTGGGGGCCTCACCCTTCAGTGAGCACCCCATGGAACCATTAACCACAGGCCAGTATAATACCCACCCATCGCAGGAGGCCAAAGCCCTCAGGCCACCTGAAAACTCAGAAGCCACCTTCCGTTCATCTGTCCCACCTCCAACGTTAAAGCTTTTGTCAAGGGGTGACATTTGTAATCATAACTGTGTTTTTATAGAATTTAACAGCTGAAGAAGTCCTTTCACATGCAGTACGTCGGTTATAACAGCTGGCATCACTTAGATCCCCTCGGTCTCCTGCACCCTCCACCCTCCTTTCCCACCGGCTTCCTCTGTTCCCCAGGAACAGGCTCTGCCATCAGAGGAACCGATCCTGAATTTTATGTTAATCACATTCTTGTGTTGTGGGTTTTTTAAAATCATTTTTGCCCCCATTTCACGTCACCAAACAACACAGCTTGGTTTTGTCTCTTTGAACCTGATGGAAGGTCTCAGTGTCACTCCTCCTGACGTAGTGTTCGCGAGGCCCGCCTGCGTCGCTGGTGCAGCTGCCGCTTGGCCACTGTCCTTGCTGTGGAGAAGCCACTGTCTTCCTCTCTGTCCTTGTGTGGACAGACATTTGACTTCTTCCCAGTTTGGGGTGATTAGGAAGATGGGCTGCTGTGCACCTGTGCCGTGCCCTCACGGGGCTGTCTCCTAAGGGTAGGGTCGCTGGCGGGGTGCAGGGCCACACCAGTCCCCAGGCACGTTGCACCGCCGACAGCGGGAACTCCTCTCAACACTTGGTGGTGTCAGTTCTTATAACCTGGTGGGTGTACAGTGGTGTCTCGCTGCAGTTTTAATTCACCTTTTCCCTGATTCCTAAAGAGATGGAGCATTTTTTGCATGTTTATGGGCTCTTTGTGTTTCCAGTACTGCGAACGGTCTTTTCGTGTCTTTTGCACCTTTTGCTCTCAGGCCGTCCACCGATAGCAATGCTGGGCGCATTTTCTCATCAGTGCTGGTGCTTGTATCCTGGACGTTTCCTTGTTGTCGCTTCCATGCGTGGCAAACCCCTTCCGCTGTCAGCCTGGCTGTCCCAGCATCATGGTGTCCTGGTTGGTTTTGACCACACGGCTTTCCCTCCACCTTGTGTTCTGTTTCCTGTCCTTCAGGCATGAAGTGAGCCCCTGCCGCCCTTGCTGCCCGCCCTCCCCGGCCCACAGCCGGCTGCGCTCCCTTCCAGAGCTGCCTTAAGAGTTGGCAGACATACACACCGTGGGATTGGGGCCAAGACCCCTCCCTTTCCAGGTTCAGATCCACTTGACAGCCTGGTGCGGGGAGGGGCTGCAAAGCTGCCCTGTACGATGGAAACGGTGTGGCTCACAGGTGCGGTCACATGACTTTGCCAAACCTTCTTCCAGAACTGGGCTGCATCCTCCTTGGGCGTGGGGACCACGCTGCCTGAAGCCACACGCTGCCCAAAGGGCCCTCAGCCTTCAGTCCAGATGGCGGCCCTCAGCTTTCAGCACACGTCACAGCCAGCTGGGGACGCCCATGCCTGTCCCCTGGGCTTCTGGCCTTTCGGGGACCCCGATGGCTGTGATATGGTAGCGAGGGCTGAGAGCCACTGGAAAGGACAGTTTGGGAAAGCAGGCGCACTCAGCAGAGACGCCAGTCCCTGGGACAGAGACGCCAGGCCCCGAGCAGAGAGGCTGGGCCCTGGGACTGAAAGTCCCCGGCTCCGGCTCCAGGAGAGCCTGGCACGCGCCTGCACACAGACACACGGCCAGGCCCGCCCGTGTGTGCACACCTCTGTTGTACGTGCATAACATACACAGATGCCCAGTGGCTTGTTGAAGGCGCAGACGGGCGTTCGTTATCTGCAGAGTTTCTTGCCCATGGACGTCAGGACAGCCAGGTGGCGGCCTCGCGGGGACTGTCGCTGTTTGGCTGGCTTCCAAACAGGAGCGGCCCCCCGTGCCGGCTTCCACAGGTCCACAGAAGCCATGTCCACAGAGGCAGGTCCACAGAAGCAAGTTGCCTTTTATCAAATAGGTTTAAAACGGCGCTGGTGAGCTGTTACCATGGCTACAGAAATGCCTCTTTTCCTTAGAGTGTGAATGCACACACACACATACACTCACGGGCACACACACGTGCACCCACAAAACACGCACGCACACGTGTGCACACACGTGCATAAAGATGACCGCACACGCGCACACGTGTACACGCATGCGTGCACCCCAGGCTCTCACGGAGCCCCCCGTCCCGGCAGCGTGACGTCCAGGACGAGGACAGCGTGGTGCGCTACCACCTCTTCAGCGCCCCTTGGGCTGTGCTCCGCTCTTACGCGGAGGACCTGCATCTGAAGCTGCCCCTGCAGGTACCCAGGGCACGTGGGGGGCAGAGAGGGCCTGGAGGCCCCCCACAGCCAGGATCGCTCGTGACGGCACTCCAGTTCCCGGGGGCAGCCACCAGTGCTGACAATCCTGGGGGCTCCCCACTCCGTGTCCCCGAGGGTCCTTGCCAACACCCCCACCCCACCCCCGCCAGTTCCACGGTGCTCCTAGAAGCCTTGTGGCCAAGTCGGGTGAGGGGTGGTGCCCCCATGGTGGGCTCAGGGGAGGGGCGGGCAGTGCGTACAGCAGCCAAGGCTCTAAGCGGGCCACCTGGGCCCCCCTCCAGGCCTGGACCCTCTCCAGGCCTCCTGCTGAGGGCCAGCCCTCCAGGCAGGGGCACGGGGTGGAGGGGCAGCGGCTCCCAGGTGACCTCAGGTTGACAGGCCTAGGGGCTGCTCTACTGCCCAGTCTGTGGGCTGCCTGGGACCGTCATGGCGTGCGGATGGAAAAAGAGACATGCCACCACCCTCTTGTCCTTCTTGCCATGAGGGGCTCTGGGCCTCAAACTGACCAGCAGAGCAGCCCTGGAGCCTGAGGCCCGGAGAGGGAAAGGGGCTCGCCTGGTGTTTCTGCAGGGCCCACAGCAGAGCCGGGGAGGGCGGGAGCCAGGGTGCCCGGTTTGCAAACCCACACGCCCACACCCCACCACCTGGTGTCCGCGTCCCCTCAGGACGGGGAGGGGCAACTGACAATTCCTTCCAGGAGCTGCCCAACCAGGCCTCCAACTGGGCAGCCAGCCTGCTGGAGTGGCTGGGGTTCCCCAACATCCTGCTGGAGGACGTACCCGACGTGCCCCACAAGTCTTACTCCTGCCAGTTCAAAGTGAGCAATCTGTCCAGGTAAGATGGCCCCACCACTCCGCCAGACAGCCTCACACAGGGCCCTGGGATGGATGAAAGAATCAACGAATGAGTGAACCAAAACCTGCTGCTCTTCCCCTAAACTCTCTCTTTCCCAGAGCTTTTCAACCAGGGCCTGGGAATCTCAGGTGGGTGAGCTTTCGTGCATGTCTGCATTATCTACACGTCACCTGTATCAGTCAGATAGGCAGGTTGTGCTGCGGAACGAGCATCCCCCAAACCTCAGTGGCTGGACGTGAAGGCTCACTTCCTGCTCAGCTCCATGTCCGTGGTGGGTGGGCAGGGTGTCCTGGGGCCCAGGTGGGTGCAGGCTCCATCTCACACAGAAAATGCAAGCAGTCAGTCCACACTGGCTCCTGGATCCCTTCTCCCATTCACATTTTACTGCCCAAAGCAGGTCACACAGCCACACACCCAGCAGGCAGGTTAGGGCAGCGTCCAGGCCTGGGGGGACCCATGTGGGTGGCCAGCACCAGAAACCCCCATGCTGAGGACACCTCCTTCCCGGGCTGGTGGGAGGATTCAGCCTCACCCACACGTGTCCCCACACAGGGAATCCCCAAGGTTCTGGTGTCCCAGGGAGGGCCCGCCGGTCAACCACCTGTCCACACAGGCTACCACCAGACACCGCCCAGAGGCCTTTGGTCCTGAGTTTGGAACTTCAGGGGACGCAGATGTCTGTGGGCTCCTCTGCCCAAGTGCAGTCCGCTCTCCCCTACCCTGGGGGGATTTCTGTGATGTCCTGCCATACCCTCAGGAAAGGAAAAGGCCCAAACGGGAGCTGCCCATGCCGCCCGGTGGCAGTGGTCGCTCTCTGAGGCCTGGCTGAGGCGCAGGCACCTGAGTCCTGACTCTGAGCCCACAGGTTCCTCGGGAGTGAGAACCAGGCCCCCTTCTTGCCCATCACCTACAGGCACCAGATTGTGAGTGGGGTCCTGACCCAGCCCTGAGAGGCCTGCGGCCCCAGACCTCCCGGCCCCCAGTGGGCAGCTGAGGCCTCTGCGCGCACAGGAAGGTTCGCCTTTGTCCTGACCAGAGGGATGAGGTCCCGGGGCTGGGGGCCCCTGGGGGGGGGTGAGGGGATGGATGCTTGGAGGCTGCCCCCACCTCACTGCACAAGGGGAGCACAGCTGGGGCCCCGAATGGGTATCACCTTCAAGAACCTGTGGGACTTGCCAAGACCACGGGGACTGGGGAGGTGTGAGTCCAGTTGGTCAGTGAGGACGGGAACCACGGGCAGAGCCGACCAGAGGCTGAGCGTCCCCGAGAAGCATGGGCAGTGCCTGGCCTATGGTGAGGGAGGGCCTGGGACAGGCCTGCCCAGGAGAACCGGCTGGTGACAACTGAAGGGCACAGGCCACGTGGGCTGCCCAGGAGGGGCTGGGCCGCCCCCGACACAGGCCTCCAGGTGGAGGCTGACTCCTGCCCAGAGTGAGGACCCAGGGCGGGCTGCGCTTAGCTAGGGCATGGGTTCAAATCCAGACTCAACTCCCATGAGCCGAGCGTCCCAGCCAAGGTCTCCCATCTACCAAGCGTGAGAACGATCACCACCCTTGGGGGTTGTGTGAGCCGGTGACACGAGGAAGAGCTGGGTGTACCCTTGCCATTGTCGCCAGGAGCCTCGGGAGGCTGTCTGTGGGCTCAGCCCCAAGACGGGAGGGCCCGGGTGTCCCCGCCCCCCCGTCACATGACAGGTGACCAGTGCCATCCCTGCCACCCCCAGCTGTTCGAGGTCCTGGCCAAGACCCTGTACGGCCACGAGAGGAAGCGCCTGTTTGGGAATCGACCAGCTGCTGGGGGAGGGGGTCTTCAGCGCAGCCTTCCCCCAGCACGACGTGATTCCAGGGGCTGGAGGGGCGGGGCAGGGTGGTCGGGCTGCCGCCAGAGGGTGAGTTTCCGGATGAGGGGGACCCCAGGTCCTGCCCGGGGATGCGGGGCAGCAGCACACCAGGCCCCGCTGCGGCCTGTCGTCTCCCCGAGCAGCTTCTCTCTCTCGGGGGGATGGGGAGGTCACCGAGCCCCTCACAGACCCGGGGAGGATGTGCTCACCACGCCAGCTGCCACCGTACCGGGCTGGGTCAGCCGCACCATCACCCTTGACAAAACGCCCACTGCATGGGTTAGGAGGCTGTTTACTCCCCGTGAGGCCCCCAGAGCCGCACGAAGGGGCAGCGGGGCCTCAGGGCCCAGGTCAGCCCCGCACCCACTGCTGTGTGACTGGGGGACAGTCGGTCCCGGGCAGCCACCGAGGGGGTGAATGTGGACGCGCCCCGGGAAGTGCCTGGGCACTCAGGCTCCATCACGCTCCACGGGCCTCGCCCTCCCTGCTGGCCAGGGCTGCACGGCACGGGGTCGGTAGAACCCTCACCCGGAGACGCGGAGCCCACTCTGGACCACAGTCACTGGCTCTTCCCAGGGCCACCCCTCCAGGCCCTTCCTCTGCCCTGGACTTGGACCCCGGGCTGAGGGGCTCAGCACAGATGTCCCCTCCTCAGAGAGGCCTTCCTGGACCCCCAGCCCCCAAAGTGACTCTTTTGCCCTTGAGCAGCAACCCTGCATCCTGGGGTTTGTCTGCCGTGTGCCCATGCTGGGCCGGCGGCCACCTGTGGGTCTCGCCCTGCCCTGAGGCCCCCACACACCTAGACTGTGCCTCGCTGGGGTAGGGTGCCCAGACCAGCCTGGATCCTCCCTGCCCGACCGCTTCTCATCCCCAGGGCCCCTTGACGACACCCCCAGAGGGCCCACGGGCCCTGGGTCTCACCCAGCGGCAGGTCCGGCTCCAGCCCTGGGCCCACTGGCACAAGTGGCACAAGTACCAGCTTCTGGACCACGTGCGCAGGTACCTCAGGGAGAAGGTGGCCTTCTACTTCGCCTGGCTCAGTGAATCTCGTGCCCACCGCCCCTTGGGGCCTCCTGGGCCCCTAGCTTGGTCTTCAGGGTAACAGTCTGCTAATAGGTGCCCCCAAGAAGGGAGCTGTGCCGGGGGCTCAGCCACTGGCCATGCTGACCCCTCCTAGGCCAGCGCTCCCTGGCCGAGCCCTGCCCCTGCCCCACCACCTGGCCCCATAAGGTAACCCAGCACTGGGACCGTTCTGGGGCACCCCCATGTGCTGGCCATGGACCGGGAACCCCCTTCTGCAAGCCAGGGCCCCCTTTTGACTCCAGCCCTCAGTGTCCCTGGCCCACCAGACATGTCCCGGGAAGCCCTGGGCCACCCCAGGAACTCCCAACCTGGCAGAGGTCGCCCCTGCCCGGGGTCCAGGGAGAGCTGCCCTCTCACCTCCTCCAGGCAGGCTGGCACCCTGGGGATGGCTGTCTGCCCCGGACGGCCCCCCGTCCTCGCTTTCCTCACGGGCTCCCCACCCTGCCGCCCAGCACAGTCTCGCCCCCCGCGTCCCCCGTCCTGCCCCAAAGATAGCGATGCGCCTGCCCTCAATCGCGCATGCGCAAGTCTGTCAAGATGGCGAGCAGTGCTGGGGTTCTGTGCAGGGCGGCGGTTCCTGCCCTTGTGGAGTGTACCGGCCTCGGGTGACACAAGGAGAGGCCACCCATAGCCTCTGGGGACCCGGATGCGGCGGGGGTGTGGCTGTGGCCAGGGCGTTGGCGCCCAAGGCACAGGCCACGTGTGAAGGACCTGAGGCTCCATCTCGGGGCAGGGAGGGCCGGGACCCCAGGAGGGCAAGGCCAGACCACAGGGCCATGGGGGGCACGACAGGTGGGGTCCTCGTCTCGGTCCTGGACAGACTTGCATTTTACAGAGGTCACTCTGGCTCACGCAGGGCAGACAGGACACCAGGCTGGGATGGATCTGGGCTTGACCCGTGAGAGGCAGACAGGGTGCACACTTGAGGGCTTGGGGGTACTGAGGGACCTGGCCACGGTGGGGTGGGGTGCAGAGCCGGAGGCATCCACAGTGACCCCCAGTCACCCAGGACTGGAGTCCAGTGGGTGATGTGCCTCTGAAGCAGGGGACACCCATCCTGGGCATGTTGGTTGGAGGTGAATGGGGCTCAGGAAAGGGATGTCCGGGAGGTGGGAGGCACAGTGGGCTGGAGCCCTGGGGGCTCAGGTGCCGAGGTCAACATGGGGGTGGTCCACAGTCCCGGGTGGGGCGAGGAGGGCAGAGCTGTGCCCAGAGCTGCGGGGGGGGTCCTCCCCGAGGACCGGTCCCCTCCCAGCTTCCTAGAAGGCCCCCACCCCTGCTGGCTGAATGTGGTCCCCAGAGGACGTGCGGCTGTGTAGACCCCCACCTGGGGCTCAGTCCTGCGCTGGGTACCCAGGCCACCCACAGCCAACTCCCAGGGTTTCCCTGCCTGGGCCCTGACAGCTGACCCTGGCGTCCCCCTGCAGGGCTCTACACAGGCTGGCTGGTGCCAGCGGCGTGGGGCGGGCACACTGGTGTCCCTGGTGGGCTGTCTCATGGTGTCCTCAGACGCACCCACGTAGTGTCCTTTCCCCTCAGCTCCCAGGCCTGCCCCTTGCCTCTTGAGATGGGTGTGCAGTAAGAGGGACCCCCAGGTGCCAGGCTCTGTGCAGCGCTGGGGATAGAGGTGAGCACTGAGCACATCCCTGCCTTAAGGATGTCATGGAGGGTCCTGCCCGCGAGCTTGGCTGGAAGACTGGCAGGTGGACAGGGGTGCTCCCCAACTGACAGGTGGACAGGTGCGCTCCCTGACTGACAGGTGGATAGGTGTGCTCCCAGGTGGACACAGGTGGGCAGGGTGATCCCAGGTGGACATAGGTAGACAGGTGTGCTCCCAGACTGACAGGTGGACAGGTGTGATCGCAGGTTAATTTTATTGGCACTCGCCCTTGTTTCTTACAATAGTGTAAACTTTTCTTACAATAGATAAATAACTGGGCTTGGGTTTTATCCTACTATGGAGCTGAAATTTCAAGAAGTTATCTCCAAAATTATCATTGCATACATTTTTAAAAGAAATGCTGGGCCTGGCAAAGACAGTGTGGGGAAGGAGGGGGCAAGGGGGCAGGGCTGGGGGAGGGCCACCTGCCCAGCCCCCACAGCTGCCCTCCCTGCCCAGAAGGCAGGAGCTGTGCCCGCTCTGCCTGGACTCTGCCCCTTCTGGCTGCTCCCCCGCGCCTGTGCGCTGGTCCAGGTACGAGGGCAGGTGAGGGGAGGAAGGCAGCCCCCTGGGTCCTGGCCCCGCCCCACCCGTAAGGCCAGCTCGGTCACCACCTAAGGCAGAGCCCTCTGTGAGTTACATAACCCAGGTGGCAAGGTCCCCACTGGGCTGGGACTGCAACTGGCACCCCCCTCACAGCACTCAGCAGGGTGCCTGCACCAGTAGACGTCCACCTGGAGCTTTTACTATTATTGTTGTCATTATGTATGGCTGGCCGAGAAGGTCAACTGGCGACCCCCGAGCAGGTAAACCCTGAAGTTCTCAGGCACAGCCGGACTGAGCAGAATTCAAGAGGCCGGGGCGAGGGGCCCCTTGGGGTCCCTGAGCCCTCTGGGTCCCGTCAGCCCGCACCCTTCCAGGGTGTGTCAGCTTTTCCATGGGAACAGCGGCCTCACCAGCATGCCATACTCACTGGGCCTCGAGCCCTGGTGCCCAGGATGGACCCACAGACAGAGACACCTTTGACACACTGCTGGGAACCCATCTGTACCAGTTTCCTAGGACTGCTGTGACAAATTACCACAAACGGGGGGTTTAAAACAACAAATTGCTTTTCTCCCAGTTTTGGAGGCCAGAGTCCAGTATGGAGGGTTGGCAGGGCTGGTTCCTTCTGGAGAACTGGCTCTGGGCCTCCGGCCTGGGTTCTGAGGGCCGCCAGGAATCCTCCCGTCCACTGGCTGAGGCTGTGTCTCTCCCATCTCTGCCTCCGTCTTCACGTGGCCTCTCCCTCTGTGCGTCGCTGTGTCTGTCTCCGCTTCTCTTACAGGGATTTGTCATTGGTTTTAGGCCGTCCCCCTAATCCAGGGTGCTCTCATTTGGAGATCCTTACCCTGACTACACATGCAAAGGCCTTTTTTCCAAGTAAGGCTATATTCTGAGGTTCCAGGTGGACATATCTTATGGGGGCCACAGTTCCATCCACTACAGTCCACCCTCTGGCCCCCAAAATTTTATGTCCATCCCATGTGCAAAATACATTCACCCCCAACCCAGCGTCCCTGGAGTCTCACCCACTGCAGCATCAACTCTAGTCCAAAATCTCATCTAAATATCAACAATGCAAAAAGTCCCCAATCTCATCTAAATTATCTAAACTGGGTACAGGTGAGACTCTGGGTGTGGGCCCTCCTGGGGCAACCTTCCTCCCTCCCTGTGCACTAGGAAACGCGTCACTGCCTCCAGAATACAATGATGGGCACACGTAGGACAGGTGTGGCCTTTCCTAAAGGGAGGGACAGGAGGGAGTAAAGGACCACCAGTCCCAAGCGCGTGTGAACCTCATGCCCCCACTGCAGGCTGGCCGGCTCTTCGACCACGGCGGCACCGTCCTGGGGCTGTTCCCACTACGAGGACCTCAAGGTGGGTCACCCCCGACAGAGGCCGCTCCCTGAGCACGCACTCCCACTAAGCACCGGCTCCCCTCCAGGAGCGGCCGAGGCCCCAGTCTGCCGCCTCAGCTCCCACAACAGCTGTGAACCCCGTCGCCGGTGAGAGTGAGCCCTACCTCCCCAAGAGAAGCCGCCTGCGCCGTGCTGGCCGGCTCCACGGTGGTCACGGTGATGGTGAGGGGTCCCCGCTGCCGTCCGCCCCCCCTCATGCCTCTGCCCTCCTGAGCCTCATGGGGCAGCTGCGTCCCCCTTCCTGCCTTGGGGCTGGGGCCTGACGATTCCTCTGCGACCCACAAGACCCTCGACGTCCTCAGAAAGGCCCCCATGTACTTGGGTTCCAGGGAGGGGCCAAGTTAGGGGGTCTGCGATGTAAGAGGTGTGTGTCGGGCAGGGGGCTCTGGGAAGGTTTCCCCCAGGGCATCTTTCAAGCATGGCGGGGGAGGGGGCAATCCCAGCACAGGGGTCCACCTCACCCTGTCTTGTCTTCCAGTCAGAGGGGCTTCCTAATTGACCCCCTTAGATGTCAAGGAATTCCCAAGTAGGAGGGGAGAAGGAGGGATGGTTCTTGAGCACCTGGGGCTGACAACAGTGCACAGAGGCCCCTTTGATAGCCACAGGTCACCCACCCTCTAGCTCTCCCTGCCTGCCCCACCCACCTCTCCCTGCCTGCCCCCCCCCCGCCCCACTGCCCGGCAACCCCACTAAAAGGAGGCAGGAAGCACAGCCTGGCCGAGGGGCGGAAGCAGGGACGGAGCTGTGTGGGGGGCTGGGCTGCAGAGCAGGGCTCATGCACCGGGCTGCCCCACAGGTGGCCGTGGTGGTCATGTGCCTGGGGTCCATCGTCCTGTACCGGGCCATCATGGCCATCCTGCTGTCCAGGTCAGACAACACCCTCCTCGCAGCCTGGATGAGCTTCCACTGCTCCTGCTGGTGGGGTGGGGGTGGGGGCTCTGACCCACCCCTCCGTCACCCTGCCATCTCCTATCAGGCGTCACGCGTCTCCAGCCTCACGGGGTCCATGGTGAACCTTGTCTTCATCCTCAACCTCTCCAAGATCTACATGGCCCTGGCCCACGTCCTGACGAAATGGGGTGAGTGCCGAGGCCGGCTGGGTGCTGACCAGGGACCCAGCCCTGCTGGACCGAATCAGAACATGACTTTTGTCATATCTGAATGAGGTACGGGTGGGACGTGCCACATCCTCCCCCCGAGGTCCCTTAAATGGCAGTGAGCAGGGCCTCTGTGCGGGGAGAGGGGGGCACCCCAGGCCTCGCCCCGCATCAGCAGGAATCCTTGCCCGTCTCTGCCTGCCTCTCCCCCCTTTCTCTGACCCCCTTCCATTTCCTAAGGACAAGTCCATCCGTTCCACAAATTGCACAAGTTGCAGTCCTGGTCTAGGAGAGGGACAGAGGTCAGCGCACAGCGAGGGAGGCTGGTGCGGCCCCAGAGTGCCGCGGAGAGAATGTGGGGTGGGCAGGCGGCCCGGGGAGAGGCTCCAGGTGGGGGTCCAGGGACAGGGCCCTGGGGGAGCCAGCGGTAACGTTCCTGCAACGGTGGGGCTGTGTGTCCCCCTCCGGCCTCAGGATTTTCCTCCAACTAACCGTTTATGCTCCCACCTCCACCTCAGCACCTGCTTGCTGGGCACCCTCTCCGCCCAGCCCCCCAGACCTGTGCCCCAGTCCGCTTTCCCGGGCCGCATCATGTTACTTTTTATTGTCACTTGCCCCAGCTCTTCCTTTACCGACATAACGCCTTTAGATGGTTTTGCAGTTAGAAATTCAGTAACGCCACACTTGGCCTCCTTCTTGAATGAATTTCTTTGAAAGACCCGGTTGACGCGGTCCTTTCCTCACTCCCTGCGCCGGTGAGGTGCTGACGACAGGCGCTCGCTGTGCCGCACAGACGCACCGGACCCAGACCAAGTTCGAGGACGCCTTCGCCCTCAACGTGTTCATCTTCCAGTTCGTCAACTTCTACTCCTCACCCATCCACATCGCCTTCTTCAAGGGCAGGTCAGCGCGCGGCACCGGCAGCGCCCTGCCTGGCCGCGCCCCGTGTCACGCCCGCAATGACCACGCCCATCTGGACCCACCCACACCTTGCCCCTAGGCCCCGCCCCCAGCCGGCCACACCCACACCGCTCTCGGCCCCGCCCAGCCACGCACGGCCTGGCCGTCGGTCACGCCCTCACCCCGCCCACTGTGGGCTCTAGGCACTAGGGGAAGGCGGGGGCGGTGCAGGCGTCCGGCACGCGGCGCCCCTCGTGCTTCCGTCAGCTGGGCTGCAGGCGGCCGCGGGAGCAGAGGCATGGTTCGCCCCTAGGTTCGTGGGCTACCCGGGCAACTACCACACCTCGCCTGGGGTCCGCAGCCAGGAGGTGGGCGCGCGAGGACCCCGCCGTGTGGTGCTCCCTTCGCCTTCCGTCAGCCGCTCTTCTGCCCCCGCCCCGCCAACCCCTGCGCACCGCTCTGCCCCTTCCCAGACCCCACTCGGGACAGCCGTCCACGGAACACTCACAATCCGCGTGTCCCCGTTGGCACCCGATTCACACCTGAGCCGAGCGCCAGTCACAGGGATGGACCGTGAGCCGCTGTCGCGGCCACGAGCTCGGCTGGCACATTGGGGGTGCAGAGGCTGGCGACCCTCACGGGGCTTCTCCCCAAGGCGCCCCTCGCCCCACCCCCCAAGCACAAGCAGGCTCACCTGCATGGCCCAGCAGCTTTGAGAGCCAGGGTGAACCTGTTTTTCCAGAAAGTGGAAGCTGGTTTGTGCAGGATGAAGAATCACTGTAGGGTGGGTTCCCCCAGAGCGGACGCCCAGTCAAAGACCCGGATTCAAGTAACGGGTGTGGGTGTCACCCTGGGAAGCATGCAAGGGGCAGGGGCTGTGCAGAAGGAGGTGCACCCACGAGTACTTGAGGGGGGGTCACCACTGTGGGCTTGTGAGCTCAACCCTGCCCCACGCCCTCTGAGACATCGTAGAAAATCCCTCAAAATGTGCCTATGGTTCCTTACTGGCTGAGGGCCAAGCACACCCCGAAGCAGCATGAGTGGGTGTTTTGAACAGTCCACAGGTGGCCTCTAGGCTGGGCCAAGGGGACCCGGGTGCGAGTCCAACAGCTCCTGTGGAGCACCTCACCTGAAAGACCCTCTTCTCCCTGATGGAGAACAGCAACTTCCCATGGGTCTGGGCTGTGACCCAACCCGACAGCTGCCTGCAAAGTGACTGACCCCCAAGGGACACTCTCCATTTTCGCATGAGAGGGGAGGGGCTTTCCAGGGACAGGGCAGATGGGACCACAACTTGGGGCATGACTGCACATGACATACAGCAGTCAGGCAGCTTTGTTATCAGTTATCAGTGGGAAAAGTTCCCAACTCAAAATGGTTTCAACAAAAAATGGAGTTTCACTGGCTCCTCTGTTGAAAATACAGGACTCTGTGAACTCAGATATGGCTGGATCCAGGTGTTTAAACAATGTTGCACTGCTTTCCCAAGCATTGGCTGTGTCCTCAGGCAGGCTCTCCTCACCTGGTAGGGAAGACATTCTGCAGTGTGGGCTGACATCCCAAGAGCACAGGACGACACCCTCTAGCTTAGTAGCCAGTGCAAGGCATGCTGTCCCACAAGCTCCCCATAAAAGCCCCAGGCCCACCTCTCACTGGCTTGATCAGGTCACTGATTGGTGAGGCCTGCCTGAATCCTGGGTCCTCCCTGGAGCCACAGGCTAGGGTCAACCCCATGTGGGTTCCCAAAAGAGCCCAGGGTTGCCGTACGGCCGTGCTTCTGGTGTTCCCGTGACAGTCCGCCCGTGGGACCTGGGGAAGACTGTGGGGGCTTGAATGAGGTCAGGAAGGGGGAGGGAGGGAAGGAGGGTCTCTGCAGTCCTCAAGGTGCCCCTGGCATGTCTGAAAGGGAGATGAGGGCATGGCAGGGGCCACCTTCGAGGCATAGAGAAGGATAGGCAGCCGTGAGGCTGGTCCCTCCCACAAGCTAATCTGGAGCCCTGATGCTGTAGTGTGCGGCCGGAGGCTGCCTCACTGAGTTGGCACAGGAGCTCCTGGTCATCACGGTGGGCAAGCAGATCATTTGCAACGTGCAGGAGATTCTTGTCCCGCGAGTCACCCACCCCAACCCGTCCCTGGGAAGCATCCAGGGACTGTGGGACCTGGAAGTGTCTGAGGCCGCAGCCCCCAGTCCAGCCCCAGCTGGGAGAAGAGGTTGGGGGGAAGGCAGGCCCGGCCCCTCCTGGACCCCAGTGACTCCAGTGCTGTGTAGGGGGAGGGTCGGCCCCAGCCACCTGCCCCACAGGCTCTCTGCCACCTCCACCCCATGTAGTTGTGGCAGGTGCTTGAGTTCTCTTGCCCAGGGGCCAGCTTTGGAGGGGAGGAGGCCTGGGTTCCCGGGCCCTGCCCCATCCATGCCGGTCCATCCTGTCTGCAGCCCACTGTGGCTGGGCCGGGGCGTTCTTAACGGGGACACTGGGGTCCCACCTCCCCAGTGCCACCCACTGGCAGCACTGGCGCCCCTCCCATGCCAGAGCCCTTGCAGTGGCCTGTCCAGGAATGGCCTCTTATCTGGCCCGAGGCTGGACTCAACCTGGACGCCCTCCAGCATCCTCACACACCCGATCTCCCTGTGATGGCCGCTCCCTGGCAACTCCCCCGGGCAACCGTGGCTTCAGACCTTGGCCAAGCCACGTGCCCTCTGTGGGCGTGGCCCTGACTCTCAGGGCAGGTGGTGCCGGGAAGCTGAATTCAAGATTACAACAGGCAGGTGTAGCTGGGCTAGTGAGCGACACGCGCGCACACACACGTGCCCCACTGTCCTCATCCTCTCCCTCCCCGCCCTGACACAGCTCCGCGGAGGAATCAATGCCCCTAGATCTCCTACGAGTGATGCTGACTTGCCTGAGGGCTCTGCTGGGGAGCTTGGCACGCCCTCGCCCCCAACCCTGCTGCCGTAGGAGCAGAAGGCCTCACCCTCGCACTGCCCACCCTGTGGCCCCAGACCCTCCTCCCCCTGCTGCCCTTTGCTTGCAGAGCGACCAGGACCCGGCTTGGGAGGACGGGGCCATCGTCCTGGGGGTTTCTGTCTCCAGGGAGCTACGGGGCTGGTGGCAGAGGTCCCGGCTCTGCTCCAAGGAGAGGAAGGCAGGGCTGGCCAGGTGCCCTGGGAGGCAGGCAGACTACGAGCTTCTGCCCTTCCAGGGCCCCTTTGACGGGCACCTTGAGATGGGTAGGAGCCATGGCGGTGGCCGCAGCCACCGTGCGCGGGGAGGGGCAGCCGCACTACTGAGGGGGCTTCCAGCCTCAGCATTCCTGTCTACATCTGCCTTGAAACATGATGTAGGGGTCCCTGATGGAGCCAGGCCTGCAAAGATCAGGAATTGTGGCGGCCAGAGTGGGGAGCGCCCAGGAAAGCCTGGCTGAGGGCAGCAGTGGCAGCACCCTGGGCACTGGGGTTTGGAAGAGGACCTGGGCAGTTGATGGGGCTCTCTTGGAGCGGCCTTAATCTCCCCCCGCCCTGAAAGCCTGGGCCAGAGCCCCCCGTAGGAAATGAGAAGTGGGGTACTCAGGAGAGTCAGCCCTGGGGGTGAGGGCAAAGGCCCCCTGAGAAGTAAGGTTACACCTCTGGGGAGTTGATTTTCTCCAGACATTTTCTCAATGCCCGCACTCTTTGCTGGACCCTCCAGTGCCCTTGCCAGGTGGAGGCCTATGCCTGGGGCTCATTCCCTGCATGAGGTGACTGCAGTTTTTGAGGCCACAGTCCGCATCTAATGCGGGCACTGGTCCCTGCAGCCAGGCCCTTCTCTTTGATAACAGGGGAGAGAATCATGGCACAATCTGAAGTGCTGCATCTGAGCCAACACACTGCTGTGAGCTCCCCGGCAGCCAAAGCAAAAGGGGTGGCAGTAGTGGCATCGTTTTGTGGGTAAAAGGGAGCAGAAGGCTCACAAGGGAGAGACATGGTTTTTCATGATAATGTGAGCCGGCTGACCTTGTGTCTCTACTCCACTGGACAAAAGGCAATGGGACCCCATGCTCTCCTTAGGAATTATACCTAAGAGCCAGGAACCCCTTTCAAGGAGCCCCTTCCTAGAATCAGCCCTAGAATCAGAGGCAGGTTCTACTGCCACTCCTGCCAGGGTGCGCCAAGCAATGGGGAGGACTGTTAAGAGTCCCTGACCTCAGGGAGATGGGGTGGCCCATGACCAGCCAGAAACGCATCCAACTCTGTGAGAGCAGTCCGGGGAGGCTTCCTGAAGGAATGAGCCCTGCAGCCGAGCCTGCGGGATGAGTACCAGCAGGAGGAGCAGGAAAGGCCAGAGGCCGGGGCTGCTGTGCACAAGCAGGGGCTTCCCCTGAAGGGCGCAAGTGAAGGGTTTACGGTGGGCAGTGTCGGCCATCGGTCGCAGGCACGCGTGGCCCTTACCACCAGCTGCAACCGGGCGGGCAGGGGTCAGGGTTCGCGGGCCGTGGCTACCGGAGGGCCTGGCGGCGACCACCGACCCCCGCAGTGCTGCAGTCCGGCTTCATCACCGTCTTCGTGGCCGCCTGCCTCCTCGCGCCGCTCTTCGCCCTGCTCAACAACCGGGTGGAGATCCGCCTGCACGCGCGCAAGTTCGTCCGCGAGCGCCGGCGCCCCGTGGCCGAGCGCGCGCAAGGCATCGGCATCTGCTTCCACATCCTGGCGGGCATCACCCGCCTGGCGGTCATCAGCAACGTGAGCGCGCGGGGCCCGCCCGGGGTGGGGAGGGTGTCCGCGGGGGAGAGCGGGGCCGGGCGGGGCGGGGCGCGCGGCCCCGCCGGTCTCCCAGGCCTTCCTACCGGCCTTCTCGTCCGACTTCCTGCCGCGCGCCTACTACCAGTGGAGCCGCGCCCGCAACCTGCGCGGCTTCGTCAACTTCACGCTGGCGCGCGCCCCGCCCGCTTTTGCCGCCGCGCACAACCGCACGTGCAGGTGAGTCGGTGCCGGGGGCGGGGCTGGGCGGGGCTCCCACCCGGAGGGGCCAGGCTGGGAGGGCCTCGCGCCCCTGGCTTCCCGCCTCCTTCCCGCCTCCTGAGCCCCGCCGGTCCGGTTGCTGCCCTGCGGGAGGGATCTTGATCACCAACCCCATTCCTTCCATGGGTACAAGCTTCTTTTCTTTTTCTAGTTCTTCTTGAGTCAATTTTGGTATTTAGTATTTGTTTTTACGGAAAACTGTTTCAGTTAAGCTTTAGAATGTAACGACATGAACTTATATTCTCTTAGGACCTCGTTTTGTAGTTATGGCCCCATTTTCTTTCCAGATATAGTACGTGTATTTCCTCTTGAAAATCAATTTTCTGAGTTGAAACCTTAATTCGTTTCAGACTTCTTGGGTTTTAATAAATTGTGTCTATAAATTTATTTGAACATACTTTTTATAAATTTATTTATTTTTGGCTGCTTTGGGTCTTTGTTGCTGTGCGTGGGCTTTCTCTATTTGCCGCGAGCAGGGGCTACTCTTCGTTGCAGTGCACGGGCTTCTCATTGCAGTGGCTTCTCTTGTTGCGGAGCACAGGCTGTAGGCGTGCGGGCTTCAGTAGTTGTGGCTCGTGGGCTCCAGAGCACAGGCTCAGTAGTTGTGGCGCATGGGCTTAGTTGCTCCATGGCATGTGGGATCTTCCCGGACCAGGGCTCGAACCCGTGTCCCCTGCATTGGCAGGCAGATTCTTAACCACTGCACCACCACGGAAGCCCCTGAACATACTTTTTAAAAGCTTCATTCCACTAGTGTTGATAATACTTCTATCCTTCACTTCTAAATATTTCATCACTTCAATTGTGATTTACCTATTTATCCATGAATCACTTAGGAAAGTAATTTCCCAAACACGCAGAGTTTTGTTTTTGCTACTTTTAAGAAATCATTTGTGGTTTAACTGCACAGAGGTCAGAGAGCCTGAAGAGTTGACATAATGTAAACCTCACATTTGTTGAGTCTCCCTTTAGGATCTGCTGGTCACAATGGATTTTTGCATACGTTTCAAGTGAACCTAAACAGAATCTTTATTAATTTTGGAGCAAGGTTCTACATATACCCATTAGGTCAGGCTTCTAAGCTTTATTGTTCAGATTTTAATTTTACTACTAGAAGAAGACAAAACACTTTTAGTCACTTGTTAATCACAACTCTGGTGTATTTCATTAACTTCTGTGGCTACAGTGTTTTCTTATGCATTGTCTTTCCTCTGAGTTCATTTTTCTTCTCCCTGAAGTTTATCCTTTAATAGGCACTTTTAGGAACGGTGTGGCTGGTGAACTCTTAAGTATGTTCATTTTGTCCTTCAAATGGCAGGTATAAAATTCTAGATTAAGCATTATTTTCCCTCAGCTCTTTCTAAATATTTCTCTTTCGTGCACTGGCTTTTCTTGTTAGAAGCATTCGTTGCATTTAAGACTTTTTCATTTTCCTTCATTTGTGTCACTAACAGGCCTGTCACAGAAGGGTTTATTTAAGTTTCTCACTGAGACTCAGGTGCTACTGATCTAGAGTGATGCCTTTCTTTAGTTCTGGAACAGCCGCATTCTATTACTTCAGGCAGTGATTCTCCATGCTCCCTGACCTTCTCTGCTGTTGGAGCATCTCCATTCCCCCATGTGTCTTGAGCACTCTCTCCTATTTGTCTGTCTTTCTGGGCCTCAGCACTGCGTAATTGTCTTCCAGCTCCCACGATGTGTCCCTTCTGTCATGTCTCATTTAGCCACTTAAAGTATAGCCCATTCTTTGGGGAATTTTTATTTTCAAGATTTTTGGCTTTTTTCTTTTCCTACAAAGTTGGCCCTGGTAATGCTTTGTTACCACAACACAGAAATACGGAGGACATGAAGGGACGGCAAGATGACCATTCAATCTGAACTAGCCAGCAAAGCCCAGTGTCGTGCTCAGGATAGCAAAGGAGCTGGCCGGGAAGCCTGCGTGGGGACATTCCCTGCTCCCAGTACCCTCGCTGGTAAGCCCAGCCGGTGAGGAGGAGAAGCTGAGAAGTGCGTCTGGCACCCTCAGCCCGGCTCCCCACTGAGCCCCATGTCTCCTGCAGGTATCGGGCTTTCGGGGGGATGATGGACATCATGCCCGGACCTACTGGAATCTTCTGGCTATCCACCTGGCCTTCATCATCGTGTGTGAGGCACCAGCATGGTGGGCCCCACTCCCCACCCCCAGTACTTTGCCTAATCCCAGCACAAGGTGTGCAGGGGTTGGCGTGACCAAGGGCGCTCACTGCTGTGTCACCTTGTTCAGATCACAGTCCTCTGCATCCCTTCCCTGCCTGGCCTCTGTCTCCAGCTGTGTGGACGTCAGAATGCCCTGGGCACTGAGGAGTGTCCCACGGAAGCCAGGGGGTGGTCTCTGTCGCTGTGGCCTCTGCCTCTTCCGGGAGTTTCCTTTTCTGCACTGATGCTTGCTGTCCGCTCAACCCACACCTGAGGAGCAGGTGCCCCACGAAGGCCACCCTGGGGCACTTGTTTTGCCAAGGGGTGGGGGTGCCCTGCCCCCAGCACGTGGTGTTCTCCATCGGCCGGGTCCTTGACCTCTTGGTGCCTGACATCCCCGGATCTGTGGAGATCAAGGTGAAGCGGGAGTACTACCTGGCCAAGCAGGCACTAGCCGAGGACGAGGTGAGCACCCCAGCCCCCGGTGCTCTGCTGCTGTCCCGCTCCCCCTTCTCTGCCCTTTCCTGAAAACAGGTTCTTGGTGGAACAAACGGGGTGGAAGGACGAGCCCTCGGGCCCAGAGATGAATCTGGGCCCACAAGCCTAGGCTGCCAGGAGCCAGAGACAAAGGGGTCGCTCTGAGAGCAGCCCCACCTGGAGGGCGGCGGGGAGATGCGGAGCTGTCAAAGGCTCACCACCCTCAGAGGCCACAGCCCGTCTCCTGGCCCCTCAGGCCTGCTGTGGCGCCCACGGCCAGCCAACTGCAGCGTGGTACCTGGAGCGCTGGGCATGCTGTGCCCGGGGGTATCAGGCAGCTCCTGCCCAGCCCCAGGGACCAGTGCTGTCTCCTCACTCCCCTGGGGCAGGACGGCTCCTGTCCTTCCAGCCCCTGCCCCTCCCCCTTCCCCATCGCCTGGCAGGCATAGGAGGTGGCTTCCACCAGGGGCTGCTCCATTCACACTTCCATCCCCCTCAGCCCTTTGGTGAGGCTCATCTCCTGTCCTCTGTCTTCTCTTCCGTGCTCCCTGCACGTGCTCTCCCTCAGATGGCGGTGTCCCCTCTCCAGACCAGCCCCGCCCCTTCCCACCCTGTCCACGCAGCGTCTTGCGAAACCTGCTGGGAGTCTGCCCACCACCCCCGCCCCGTCCCCTGCGTCCCCCTGCGTTCCCCGTCCCAAGGCCTGCAGGTCTGTCTTCTCATCTCGAGCCCCTTTCCTTTCCAGCCTGTCCACTGCCTCTGAGCCGCCCTTTCCTCTCCTCCTGTGGCACCACCTGGCTCCCCCAGACGGTGCGCTCTGAGGAGTGGGCACTCCTTCTCTCCGGGCAGCGAGCGCCCAAATGGGGAAGGTTTGGAAGGAGACTGAACTTTATCCCCTGACCAGTGAATGCCTCGAGGAAAGGACACTCCTGCGATGCTCGGTGCATCTCCTTCAAGAAGTTCTGCCTGTCTGGGTGCACATGGTCCTCTTCAGAGCTGGGAGCTTAACGGTACCTGCAGTTCGACTTTGTCCACTGACTGGCTTCACAACCCCTCTCTTGTGTTTACCTTCTCCTAGCTCGGATCACACAGCACCTCCCAACTTCACCATCTGCTTACCGTTCTCTTGCTCTGCGGTTAGAAATCACACAGCATAAACGCCCGGAGACACTGCCCACCTTCGATTTCCTTAGGGGACGCTCCTCAAAGTGCACAGCAGTGTCAAAAAGGACACGTGGTTTTTAAAGCGCTTTGATGCACTGCACCACCGCCCAGCTTTTCCCCAGAACTGCCGGTTGACACCTTTATTTAAAAACCCACGGCTCTGGGCCTTGGGCAGCACTGAGCATTTCTTGACCAGCGGGGCTGAGGCTGTGGTGTGGCCACTGACATTTTTTTGGAATCTGCCATTTGCTTACCCACTGTTTAAAAAATGAGCCGTCCTTCCGCTTGTGGGTGGTGGGGCTGCACGCACCATGCCCTTGTCACCAAATCCACAAGTATTTTCTTGCCAATGGTTGCTTTGTTGTTGTTGTTTCAAACTTTTTAAATTTTAAAGTAAATTTATGGAAACATAAATGCTAGGTCACACCTCGGGTTTTCATGAAGTGAACACACCAGTGTAACCAGCTTTTGAACAAAGACACAGCCCTGGTCACCAGGACGCGGTCCTGACAAGGACCTTCCCACACCACCCTCCTCCTCCCACCTAGAGTAGCCACCAACGTGGCCTCCGTTGGAGGGACGGAATGATGGAACCCACAGGTGCGACCTTTTCCACGGGCCGCACAACCACGAGCCTTCCCTGCAGCGTTGTGCCTAACTAGCCAACCCCGGCTGCTGTGTCAGCTCCCTGAATGAAGACAGCCACTGAGCCGTTCTGCCCAGCTGCTGGGGACAGCGCTGCCTTCAAACTTCGTCCACACCTCCTGGTGCCTGCTGGTGCCCCCGCAGGGTGCATGTTTAGGAGTGGGAAGTGCCAGGTCACTGTCCACCCCCAACAATGACGCCTCCCAGCGCTGTGGCTCCTGCGGGAACAGTTAACACAGGGCTGAGAACCCTATGCCAGCTGGGAGAACTACACCAAATACCTGTGGGTGTCCAGTTACCACTCAAGAGCATGCTGAAGACACGCCTGGTTTCACAAGGCTGAGCACAAGGGCTTCCCTGGTGGCATGATGGTTAAGAATCCACCTGCCAATGCAGGGGACACAGGTTCGAGCCCTGGTCTGGGAAGATCCCACATGCCGTGGAGCAACTAAGCCCGGGCGCCACACTTACTGAGCCCACGCGCCACAACTACTGAAGCCCATGCACCTAGAGCCCTCGAGCCACAACCACTGAAGTCCACGTGCCTAGAGCCCGTGCTCCGCTACAAGAGAAGCCACCGCAATGAGAAGCCCACGCACCACAACAAAGAGCAGCCCCCGCTCGTCGCAACTAGAGAAAGCCTGCGCGCAGCAACAAAGACCCAACGCAGCCAAAAATAAAATAATTTCCACTATTAAAAAAAAAAAGAATGAGCACACGCGGGACGTGATAAAATGAGTCCCAGCACACTGTATCTGGTTTCGGGTTTTATTTTAGAATTTATAAAATTCCAGTGTCATCCATATTCATGAGCCTTTACACATGTTTGCATATAATCTCCAAATTTTAAAGTTAAGGCCAAGGGATGGATGGTAGCCATGGACACATATGATATGGAAGACGTTCAACAAGGAGGAGACGGACACACGCGCCCATTCCCGCCAGGCTCTCCCCGCAGCATCAGAGGCCGCAGGGGACAGGCCTGGGCACAGTCATCTCATCCCCTTTAACAACAACCAAAAACAGAGCGAGCGAGACCCCAAACACAGTTTAGGAAAGGGGAGTTTGCATCTATGACGTTTAGCAGTAAATGCACGTGTGCAAAAATCTGTTGTGAGAATTAAAAATTTAACTCTGGGGAGGACAGGGCTGGATGCTGTAGGAAAGACAGAGGGAGGGGGAGGTGTGGGCAGACTCCTGGGGAGCCAGTGGGAAAGGCTCCGAAACTCATGCCGAAGGAGAAGAGGGGATGGCCCTTCCCCTGCGAGGCTCCCAGAGGCGGGGGGGCCTTTCCTCCTGTCTCCCTATTGCAATCAACCCCACCTCCTTCGGGGTCACGCAGCCCACCCAGCAGGAGCAAACGCCCCTCCTTTCCTCTTCCAGGTGGCCACGCCTCTGAATGGGCACACTTAAGGCCGCCGGAGCTAGTGGGGACTTGCAGAGGCGACCGCAGTTAGACTCGGGGTCTACTCAGGAACTGAAGAGTCAGAAGGGGTCCGAGCTCCAGTTAATAAATTGAGAGAAAAACTCTGGGGGTGGGGAGAAGGTGGTCAGAGCAGAGACGACTGTCCCCAGGGCACAGGGCAGCTCCTCTAGGAGGCCCAGCATCTGGCAAGACAACTCAGAGTGGCCCGTCGCGTCCGTGGACACGGGGCCCCACCTTTCCCTCTTCAGGGTGGACCTTGACCAAGCTGGCTGGGGCCGGGGCACCCTGACCCGCCAAAGCCTGGGGTCCAACCGCAGGACTGACCTACCACACACCTGACATAGAGGCCGCCAGCAGCACCAGGGCCTCTGGTCCCGGCCGAGCGGCAGCCTCTCTCTACCCCAGGGCCAAGAGGCCTGCCCTTCGAGCATGCATCAGCGGCCACCTGGGGGGTGGCCCGTGTGCTCCCCGTTGGACGGGCCCACTGGCCACCGGCCCAGTGGGTGAGGGACAACACAGTCTTGAGCCGGGCATTCGGCTTCCAGCCCCCAAGGCCGCAGCAAACACACCCTGAAGCTCGGGACACCCCATACCAGCTCTGAGGTAGAAAGAGGCAACTAACTCAACAGGGGGCATCTGGGAAGGGGTGGGTGCGAGGGACCGGAAGGTGGTGTAAAACCAAGTCAGCCAGCGTGCAAAGGGTGGGGCCTCCGCCCAGCAGGAGTGGGTGGTCTCCACCTCCCCGGCCAGCCCCCTCCTCTCCACCTGGCGTTCCTCAGGCCCCGCACTCACCAGGCTCACCAGACGCGGGGCCTGCGCCTGTGCGGTCCGGGGCAGAGACCCCGACGGGACACAGGGCAAGCCAGGGCCCCCCAAGAACCGCGTTTCCCTCCTGCCTTCCTGATCCCTCTGGCTCCACCGTGGCTCTCCTTTGGGTCTGCAGGCGCCCAGTGTGCACACTGGGCCTCCCGACCTGCCCTGTGGTCTGGGTAAGTGGGCTTTTTGGCACCTGGAAGAAGGCGGAGCACATTCTACAGGGAGGAGCATCTGGATGGCAGGCAGGCACGAGAGAGGGAGGGGGGTGGGAAAGGAAGAGGGCAAACGTTTTGGCTTTTATAAAGTCAAGGAAATTTATTTCCTGAGGTCATGACACAGGAAGTAGACTCGGCTGCACCTGTGGTGCTCTCCTGGCGGAGGCCAGAGCCTCGCCGACGTGCTGGGTGACACTGTCCTGTGACCTCCTTAGTGTTCACAAGAGTGGAGAGCCGCCCAGAGCGAAGGCTGGGAGCAAGCCCCGCGCTACGCTGGGTGCCACCAGGCCCGGGACCGGGCCACACACAGCGCGGGGCGCCGGCTTCGCTGTGAGACCTCGGGGAAGGGGAGCATCGACAATTTACGGAGGGTCCAGCCGCTGGGTCAGATTGAGACAAACCATCATGTGGCGGGTTCAGGTCAGCAGGCTGGAGAGGGTTCTGCTCTTTGATCATTATCGTTTGGGGCCCCATGGGAGGGTCTTGGGGGCCACCTGAGCCCCAAAGCTGGGAAACTCCTCGGAGCTGCTCATATCGGGAGCCTGTGGGGGGAGAGAGGGCTCGGCTTCAGTGACGAGGTCGCCCCCGCCCCCTAGCAGCTTCTGGAACGGCCGCCGAGGCGCACGCGCAGGGGCTGGACGGCTGAGCCTCACCTTCTCGCTGCTGCTAGCGGTCCAGGGCGCGTCACGCACCACGAAGCCCCTGGACGGCACCTTAGACTCCTCGTGGGGGGCGGGCTTCACGTACAGCTGCAGCGCCTCACTGTCCACCACGTCGGCCAGCTG